ATCCCTGAAAATTTCAGCTCGCGCTTTGCAAACAGAGCCAAGATATTCAACAATCTTTTTTCGAGAGAGCACGTAAAATGAGGAGAGACGACCAGAGAAGAAACTTTTTTTGGCTGTAACTTCTTTCATTTACTTCGAAAAAAAATAATTTTTGGTAGAAATACTATACATGCCGCTTGTAATAAACTCTGAAATTTTCAAACCCAAAATCAAAAAAAAATTTTTTTTTCTCCAATTTTCGACCAAAAAATCTCTATATTTTCAACAAATTCTGGGTTGAAAATCTCTTACATGCCTTATAAAATTCCAAACTAAATGAATCGCATGTTTCACGCTATTTAAAACATAAAAAATTTGAAATTTCATTATCAAAAAAATCGAAAAAAATTCCAATTTTTTGCAAAATGGCACGACCTCAGCCAGTCAGATGGGTTGAATTTCCGATGCAAAAACAAGAAACAAAACAAACAACCAGCCTTCCGAAACAAGGGAAGACATTCGAATGTCAGAGGGCGAGTCGAGTTTGTCCCCATGACATTTTCAAAAATCGGAGAAGGCAAATTTAGCATGAAAAATTTTTTGGAGGACCTTTAAAACCTTCTGATCGAAACGAGGAGAGTGTAATTGCAAACTTTACCGGTTATATGACCAATTTGCCAAATTTGCCCAATTTGCCCAATCTGGCCGGCCAAGCCTTGGCCGAACAGGCGCTGAAAGCCCTTCTAAACCAACGAGAAGATTGAAGTTGCAATTTTACCGATCATATGACCAACATAACCAATTTGCCCAATTTTCCCAATCTGGCCGGCCAAGACTTGGTCAAGCAGGCCCTGAAGGCCCTTCTAATCGAAACGAGAAGATTGAAATTGCAATTTTACCGATTATATGACCAATTTGCCAAATTTGCCCAATTTTCCCAATCTGACCGGCCAAGCCTTGGTCAAACAGGCCCTAAAAGCCCTTCTAATCAAACGAGAACATTGAAATTGCAATTTGACCGGCTATACGACCAATTTGCCAAATTTGCCCAATTTTCCCAATCTGACCGGCCAAGCCTTGGTCAAACAGGCCCTGAAAGCCCTTCTAATTAAACGAGAAGATTGAAATTACAATTTTACCGATCATACGACCAATTTGCTAAATTTGCCCAATCTGACCGGCTGGATCAAATGTCTTGGTCAGACAGGCCTAGAAAGCCCTAAAATTACCAAAAAAGAATTTTTTTCCAAAATTTAGTCATATTGGGTAAATTGGTGATACTTTATTGCCGGTCATATTGGGCAAGTTCTAATCTTTACAAAAAAGGACTAGAAAACTTTAATCAAAGGTGGACGTTCAAGAAAAAAAAGTCAAGACTTTGTTTTGTGACCGGTAGAACTGGTCAGATTGGGCAAATTGGTTATGTGACCGGTCATACTGGCCGAGGCATAATCCAAAACCGTCCAAAAAGCTTCAAAACACTTGGCCAAAAAATTGCAAAAAATCAAAAATTTATCCAAAATATGACTTAAAATCTGCATATTCATCCAAAAATTTGCATAAATTATCCAACGTCAAAAATTATTTTTACTTTACATAATAGAATTGAAATACGAAAACAATGGTTAGCGAAAGCTTTGTCCCAAAAAACGAATAAAAAGCGCTAATAAAGCGAAAACAAACTCCAAAAAAGACGCTCCGTAAATTCGAAAATTTCACATCTTTTTTAGTGCGCCCTCTTTCGGCAAAAAAAAAACTCTTTGGACCCTCTTTCGAGGTCACTAAATTACGGCTTCAAGCTGGCTGGAATTTGAGGAAAAGGTCATGGACGGGTCTTGTAGAAACATGAATTTACTATGACTGTGTGAAGTATATATAGCAGGTTGAATAAAAAGAAATAGAATTGAAGATTTTACGTGTAAATTAAATGTCCGTTTGGCAATATCTGTCAAGTCCAGAGGCTGTTTTTATGAAGTGAGAAAAGCAGTCGGGGGATAGGCATGGCTTTGGGGCCGGGCCGACTTGAAAAGGGCGGCCCGACTTTACAGAGAAGTTATCAGGTACATCGAAGCAAAAGATAGCTTAGAATGCGTGATTTTTTTTAAATTGGAATAAAATTCATAAATTTTTTTTTTAGTTTTCTCCAACTTTCGACTTTTAAAATCTCTATGGTTTCTGTAAAGCACGAGCCAGCGCAAGCTAGAATTCTCGCATATATCTTACAAAAAAATTATTCTAAATTTGTGCCAAGTTTCATCAAAATCTGAGCGTCGCACTTGGAGTACTTCCCCTGTAAGATCGAAACAAAATCAAAAAAAAATTTTTTTTGTGTTTTCTCCAACTTTCGACGTCAAAATCTCGATAGCTTCAACAAACCACAAGGTAAAATTTTTGCGTATGTTTTAGGAAGGTGTAAGCTGAATTTATGCAAAGTTTCAGCAAAATCCGACGACTTTTATTTTTTGTCCAAAAATATGACAAAAAAATTTTAAAGCGAAAAAGTCAACTCCAGAATTTTTAGTCGTATTTTACCCCAAAAAATATATAAAAATTAATTTTGGCCTCAGTTTTTACCGTACTCATATCTAAAAAGCCAATTATTTCACCCTCCCTCCCACTAAATCAAGTGCAATATAAATAAAAAAAATTCTTGAAAAAGTCAATTTTTTTGACTTCATTATTCGTATTTTACACCAAAAAATATGTAAAAATTAATTTTGGCCTCAGTTTTTACCGTATTCTTATCTAAAAATCAAATTATTTCACTCTCCCTCCCACTAAATCAAGTGCAATATAAAAAAATTTTTTCAAAAAAAAAGCAAATTTTATCGCTTTATAATTCGTATTTTAGTCTAGAAATTATAAAAAAATCAAGTTTATCCCTATTTTTTACCATATTCTAATCTAAAAAGCCAATTATTTCACTCTCCCTCCCACTAAATCAAGTGCAATATAAAAAAAAGTGTTTTTCAAAAACTCCTCAAAAACCATTGTAACCCAACACCCTTCTCCCATATTTGATGACATCCACCCCACAATGGCCTTAGGGCGAATTGTTTTGATCGAATAAAAAGCGGCGAAAAAGTGTCGGCAAAATTCGAAATTTCGTTGCGAAAAAAAAAATTTTTGGAGGGAAAAAAGGACGCGGCCCCGGCGTTCCGTTCCTAAGTGACTGGCTTCGGCTTTTCTCCCCGGCGTTATTTTTTTACTCCTTCGTCGTTACACATTCTTCAACTCGCGTTTCGCATACATAAATATTCAAAAACGTGGGGGAAAGGCATAAAAAAAGATACATCAAAATGTTGGGTCGGAAACGGGGGAATAAAGAAAAGTTTTTTGGATGGAAAGATGTTAGCGTTGTAGGGAGCACTAATATTTTTCATATAACACAAGAAAAATGGGTTTTGCGACGCTCAGTTTTTGATGAAACTTCTCAAAAGCTTAGGATAGTTTTGTCTATGACTTATGCGAGGTTCCTAGCAAAGTTTTAAAAAGAGCTTTGTAGAAACGACTTACAGAGAAAATACTCCAAGTGCAACGCTCAGATTTTCTTAAAATTTTGCACACACGTCGGGAATAGACTAAATATGAATTCCTGAAAGTTTTAGCTCGCGCTTGGCGGGCGCCGCCGAGATATCGAACGATTTTTGCCGCCGAGAGAGCACGCTAAACGTGGAGAGCGGTCAGAGAGAAAAACGCTTTTTGGCCATAACTTTGGCAGTTTCGTGCGGAAAAATTTCATTTTTTGTAGAAACATTATCCTTTACGGTAGAAATAGGCATGAAACTTTTCGTGCCGAAATTCGGCAAAAAGTCCTAAATTTTGGCCGACTTCGATCTAAAAATCTCGGTTGTTTCTGCAAAGCGCGAGCTAGGATTCTCGCATATATCTTAGAAAAAATTATTCTAAATTTATGCCAAGTTTCATGTAAATCTGAGCGTCGCACTTGGAGTACTTCCCCTGTTAGATTTTTCGCCCTGAAATTGACAAAAATGTGACATTTACATATACATATACATATACATATACATATACATATACATGTACATATACATATAATACTACATGTACGACTCAAACTTCCAAAAGTCGCAAATTTTTATTTCATTTTTTATTATACTACCTTGAACCCAAAATTTTTTTTTCAACCGCCGTCGTAAAAAATCCCATAAACCTTTACCACCTCCACTAAACATTGTTGCGCAATAAATAACATTCTCTTTTTGGAGTGTCTCTGAAAACGCATTTATTTTTATGAAAGCCCGATTGGAAGGGGATTTCCAATCAAAAAACGTTGTTAAAACGGACCAAATAGTAGGCGAATTTTTATTTACAGAGTAGAAAATGGAAAACAAAAAGTATTCGAAGGCACCTGGAACAACGAGGTAATATCGGTAATAAAGCAATACAATTACTGTAATATTAGCAAAAAGTGTTAAAATAGTGGGACAAATAGAAAAAATAAAAAAAAAAAAAATTTTTTGCGGAAAGTGGATGTAATGAGTAATAAAAAAAAAAAAAATTTTTTTGCAAATTTTGGTCTAAAAAATTGCAAAAAAAACATTAAAAAATAAAAAAAACAAACAGAATTTGGCAAATTCTAACCATGAAAATAGCAACTCCTATCTAATTTTCGGGATTTTCAGATCTAAAAAAATAAATTTTGTCAAAAAAATTTTAAAACAAAAAAAAAATTAAAAAATCAAAAAAAAATTTTGAAAAATTTAGCCATTTTTTAGCACAAAAAATCAAATTTTTGACATTTATAGGCCTAAAAAAACTTTTGTAAAAAAAATTTATAAAAAATAATAAAAAAGATTTAAAAATTTTAAAAAAATTGGTGAATTTTGACCATAAAATAACAAAAAATTCAATTTTTCGGAATTTTTAGACCTAAAAACCCATTTTTTCAAAATTTTCAAAATAACAAAAAAATCTCGAAAATAAAAAAAAATGAAATTTTTGCTCATTATACCAAAAAATTGGCTAAAGAATAAAACAAAAATAAATAAAAAATCCGTTCAAGGTATTGTTCCATAGCAGAATTCCGTTTCCTCGATCAGTGTCTCTTCCGACGGCGATTCCGGGATTAAATCTTCGGCTTCGCTGGGATTCACTCCAAATTTGGTCCAGATTAGTTTTAAAACATAGAAGATGAATAGCATACAAGTCAAGGAGAGGACAACGGAGAGGCCTAGGATCCGCCAGGAATTAATTTCGGGGGTGGCGTCATCCTGGAAATAAAATAAAATAAATTAATCAAAAAAATTTGCAAAGCCTAAAAAATTTGAATATATTAGCTAAATTTACATTGTAAAATATAATAATTTTGGAGTTTGATTTAGAGTCCTTAATGAACATACTAGCCAAGTTTTATCAAGAACCTGCCATCAGGCCTCGAGAAATTGACATCTGATCTTACCCTTCCTTCAGCTAACTCATGAATAATATAAACTCGTTTTTCACCTCTTGAAATTTGCTGCGCTGGTCTAAAATCCCATTCCAAATATACTCAGATATCTATAGAGAAATACTAGCCAAGTTTCATCACGATCTTGCCGTTAGGCCTCGAGAAATTGACATCTGACCTTACCCTTCCTTCAGCTAACCCATGAATAATATAATCTCATTTTAACCCCCTACAACTTGTTAGATATGATCTAAACCCCATTCTAAATATACTCAGATATCTATAGAGAAATACTAGCCAAGTTTCATGAAGATCTTGCCGTTAGGCCTCGAGAAATTGACATCTGATCTTACCCTTCCTTCAACTAGCCCATGAATAATATAAACTCGTTTTTAACCCATTGCAACTTGCTAGATCTGACATAAATCCTATTATAAAAATATTAAGAGACTTACTGCTCTGATCTGCGTATACAGCATTCGATGCGGACTTGAGGCAAAGTCGCCTCCGGTCAATAAAAGATCCGCATCCCTGTCCACACCATACTCGAACTCATTTTGCGGCGGAAACACTCGATTGATCGGAAATCTGCGGCTCAAATGCCACATTCTACAACAAGAAGGGATCAATAATCGGCCAAACGACATGATTATATTATACTTGATATTAAATTGGAGATAATTCAATTTTCAATATTACACTTAAGTTAATGTCAAAATTGGAAAAATAGATAAATACAGGTAAAATAGCGCCAAATCAAGAAAGCCGAATAAAAATGTAGATAACAGCAAATGTAATTCGAGCAGGAAAAGCGGAATAGGAAGGTAAATGGGGCCAAGGGGGGAGTTCAAAAACGATGACTGATGTCAAGTGTAATGTAATAAGCTGTATTTTTCACCACTCTGGAAATTGTATTAAGGACAGAAAGTCCAGTACGTACATCTTTGAGTGTTTTTAGCCAATTATAATTCAAATTTAAATAAGGGAATTTGCATAATTTGCAAAATTTTTTGTTTTGGCGAAGATAAAAAAAATCGTATTTTATGGTCAAAAACGGATAAAAATCAATAAAATATAGTTTCAAAATATCTATCAGGCCCTTAAAAAGTATTATCACTTAATTTTCAACATTAATTTTTCAAAAAATCCCAATTTTTTGCGAAATTCCAAAAATTTTTTGCCCTGTGAAATCATCAAAAAAAGGTAAAATACGATAAAAATAAATGACGGAATGTCTCAAAAAATACTACGAAATGATGTTTACACTTTTATTTTAAATTTTATGCCGAAATTTTGAAACATTTCCTCAAATTTCGATATTATTTATGCACTTTTAGGTCTGTCTCTGGGAAATGTTATTTCTGGTAAGAAGGCGCAGGTGAATTGAGGTAAAATTAGACATGGCTCGTCGGCCGGCCCGGGCCGAAAATCTCGGCCCGGCCCGTCGGCCTGAAGGGTTCCGGCCGGCCCGGCCCGTTTCAGATTTTCCGTCGGCCTGGCCCGGCCCGTTCTAAATTTGCTTCGGCCCGGCCTGGGCCGGCCCGGGCCGGCCCATTAAAACGAAAGTCTCCCCAAGTCTAACTCCTTATGACCAAATTTTTTTTCTATCATCATGTAAATGGATAAATACTGTGTTCCATAGCTATCTAAAAACAAAAATACCTTTAAAAAAATTAATTGTGTCTTGACATTTCGTTTATTTTCATTATGAAACCCAATTTCCGCTTCGAGATTCTGGATTTTAACTATTTCGGGCCGGGCCGGGCCGAAACGTTGGCCCGGCCGACGGGCCGGAAATGGTCCGGCCGGCCCGGCCGACCTGAAATCGGGCCGACGGGCCGAAATTTCGGCCCGGCCGGCGGCCCGACCCAGGCCGGCCCGGGCCGGCCCGGCCCGGGAGCCATGTCTAGGTAAAATACGAGCCAAACGAAAAATCCATCCATTGGAATTGAAAAAAGGCACAAAAAGGGGTGACTTTTCGGAGGAACGATAAAAATTCTCCGAAATTAGACGTTTTACTGTAAATTATTGGAAATTTTGATGGAAAATGGCAGGAGAGATGGTCAAACAGTAAAGATTAGAATGTGAAAATGTCGGAAATGTCACGTGTGACAAGTGGCGGAGATATAAAGTATCAAAAACGAGAGATTTTTTTTATTGTTGTCATGGATGTATGGTCTACAATAAATTGGTCATAAAAAATTACGTAGATGAGATATGACCCTCAAATTTAGCACACCTATTTGCAGTAGCCTACAAAACAATCGCTGAAAATTTTAACTTTCGCTTTGCAAGCGCAGCCGAGATATTCAACGATCTTTGCGGCCGAGAGAGTACGCGAAATGCGGAGAGGTCAGAGAGAAAAACACTTTTTGTCCATATCTTTGCCAGTTTCGCACGGAAAAAAACGGTTTTTTGTGGAAAGAGTGTACAAAACAGTTAAAATAAAACGCCAAATTTTCAATTGAAAATCAAAAAAAAATTTTTTGGTCTAGAAATTTCAGTTTTCTATGCAAAAATACGCAAAAAATTAGTATATAGCCTAAAAATAAATTCTAGGCTTAATTTCAACCTACTTTATTGCAATGTATACATCAAAATTTTCAATTCTCTCCGCAACATTACAATTCACACTTCTTCAACATTTCAACGCCCTCTAAATCATCCCAAAACCCTCATAAACTAAAGATCTTCAGACTACATTACTGTAGGACCCTTTCATGATATCCCGACTCCATTTTTATCCCACCAAATTCTCGGAAGAGCCGAAGCCGAAGCCAATAAATCAGGGGCCATAATAAAACTCGCTATAATTCCTCCCAAAGGGCATGCGGATTTCGAAAAAACGGAGATGATTCCGAGAACCGGGACAAAGGACATCAAAATTCAATGGTAAAAAGTTTGGTTCATGGTGAATTTTTGGAGGAAAAATGGAGAAAATAGAGGTGCGAATTTATCAGGCTGTCGGGAAAATAATGAGCACAGTGTCGCTGTACAACTTACCATTTCCTTAAGAAATCCGCTCAAAAAATTTGAATTTCAATTTTACCCGCCATTTTTGGCATTCTGCACTAACCCCACAAAAATGCAAAAATTTGTGTTATAATCAGTTCTTCGTCTCTTGCTAACATATTCAGACGACGAACACAAAGTTTTCCCGGTCGATTTTGGCCGCCGAGAGACGACGCAAAACGTGGAGAGCGGTCAGAGAGAAAAACGCTTTTTGGCCATAACTTTGGCAGTTTCGTGCGGAAAAATTTGATTTTTTGTAGAAACATTATCCTTTACGGTAGAAATAGGCAGGAAAATTTTCGTGCCGAAATTCGGCAAAAAGTCCTAAATTTTGGCCGACTTCGATCTAAAAATCTCGGTTGTTTCTGCAAAGCGCGAGCTAGGATTGTCGCATATATCTTTAAAAAAAATTATTCTAAATTTGTGCCAAGTTTCATCAAAATCTGAGCGTCGCACTTGGAGTACTTCCCCTGTTAGAAAAATACCTTGAGCACAACCCCCTCTCTGTTACCCACTATGATGAAATTCAAAAACATCGACCGGAAAAATCACCTTTTAGAGGACCGAAATAAATGACCACAAATGGCGCAACGGAACCTCTGTATAGCAAACCTCGCAAGACGCAACCCATCTATCAGTCTGTCGGGAAAATAATGAGCAAAATTTCGCAACTCCAATCGCGTCACTGAAGTGAAAAGCAATTTGTTTTTGTCGCAACACAATTCATTTTCTCGGCGGCGATGCGATTTTCGATGCGGCAGAGTGCTCATTATTTTCCAGACAGACTGATAAAACCTAATTTTTCAAGACACTTGTGTAATTTTGTAGCGCGCGATTGGCTAAACACAATAGTATTTTTCGAGCAAAAAATCTCAAAAACTTTGTTATTTTTTTGATTTTTGTCATGAAACTGTCAGCCTTTTTTATATGTGGGGAGTAGAGTTTTACTACGAAAAATTCATTTTTTACGAAAAGACTATAAAAAGATATGGCTGAAAAACGTATTTTCCTGTCGACTCTCCTCGTTATGCGTGCTCTCTCTCCAAAAAAGATTGTTGAATATCTCGGTTGCGCCTTTGAGATATAAGCTCAAATTCACTGACAATAAACTAGAGTCCACTAAGATTAAGTGTGCGAAATTTTGAACAAATCGACCAGTCGAATTTCGAGAAATTTTTATTTGAAATTTGTGTACAAAATTATCAAGAAAAATGTCAGAAAGATCGAAAATCACTAAAATTTCCGTCGAAAAATCGCAAATTTATAGTCGATTTTTGCTCTATTCCCAAGAAGACCGCCTACACTATCTCAATCATCAATCAAACATCAAAACCTTCTACAGTAATCCAGTGAAATACCCCAAACAATCAAACATTATCATCTCCGACCCCGAAATTAAATAGTTGACCGCCGGAAAAACGCAACAGAGAGATTTCCGGGCCGAATTCGAGGCTTGAGTTGAGTTCCCAACCGCGCTGCCCTCTGGGGATTCGCCCCAAAACAACTTTCAACGCCATGAATTGGGCCCTGAAAATGCGGGCCGAGCACACGGAGGCGCATTTTTCGGACGTTGACATCTGAACGTAGGCGGCTAAGAGTGCGTTAGCAAATTGATTTGTTTTGAAAATACAATTTTTGGTCGAAAAATGGTCGAAGATAAAAAAATATGAGGTTGTTGCGGAATGCCAAAAGATCAGGGGCCTGTTTCACTAACATAAAAATAAATAAATGAAAAGTAGGGGGGAGCGAGAGAGCATCGAAAACGCGTTTGCGAGCGAGAGAAACCGGACGAAAAGCAGAAGTAGCCTACTTCTCTTTCGGAGTGACTTTTTACGTCCAAAAACCGGAGTTGGCCGCAGAATTTTGGCCATAACTTTTTTCTCAATTGGTATAGGAACACCCTTCAAAAAACCAAATAAAGCTGACGGTTGAGACTACAACATATCCAAATTTCGTTGTTTTATTTTCAAGAGTAGATTAGCTATATAGCTTAAAGTACAGAGTACATTTACACTGAAGATACGAAATGTTTTATTTCTCGGTCAATTTCAAAATGTTGACGCTTTAATTTATACCAGTCGATAGCCCGTCTTTTTTTCTATGAGGCTTTTTTAGAGGGCCAATTGTAGGTCTTATTATGGCTGAGTTATGGCAAATTTACCTCCATTTTTGTCATAAAAAGAGCCCTCAAATCAAAGGAAGAGGAAAAGTTCGCCCCTTTCGGAACGACTTTTTATGGTCAAAAATGGAGGTTACCTTGATTTAATTGCCCGTAACTCTATCAATTTATGATATATCGCCACCCCTCAAAAAACATAATGTAGCTAAGAAACGTCTTTACACACTGATGTGAAATTTGTAATTATTCTTATAAAAATTGGTGAGAAAAATGCGTTTTTATTCCGCGAAGAAGAAAAAACGAGATGGTTGGCCGTACTACTGTAAAATTAGCGGTCCACCGGGCTATAAAAGGAATTCAAAACACATATTGTCTAAAACTACTTAAAAAAGTCTATGTGTTGTTTTTTGGAGAGTTTCAATCCGAAAAGTTTTTCCCAAGTTATGGGAATTTTAAGCTCAAATTTAGTCGGTTTTCTCAAAAATTAAAGCACGCGTACTTTACGATTTTTTTAAGGACGGGTTTTGGCACCACAGCAATGAAAATAATCTTGGTGATAGCTGAAACTGTCAGCTTCATTGTAAATTTTGAAGGGTGTTCCTAGACCAACTGATAAAAAAGTTATGGCCAAAATACTGCCGCGAACCGCGGTTTTGGACGTAAAAAGTCACTCCCGCAAAAGTAGGCTACTTCTGCTTTTCGTCCGGTTTCTCTTGCTCGCAAATGCGTTTTCGATGCTCTCTCGCTCCCCCCTACTTCTCTTTTTTTTATTTTTATGTTAGTGAAACAGGCCCCAGGATTTCGCGGTGAGACTGAAAAGTATGAATAAAAATTACAAAAAATGGTGCCTAAGGCAGTGATAGGTCAAAAATGACCAAAAAATGAAGTTGTTGCGGAATGTCAAAATTTCAAGATTTCGTGGTGAGACTGAAATGTATGAAATGTTATTTGCATAAAAATTGCAAAAAACAGTGCCTAGGGCAGTAATAGGTCAAAAACAACCAAAAAATGTGGTTGTTGCAGAATGCCAAAAGATCAAGGTTTCGTGGTGAGACGCAAAATTTTGAGCGAAAATATAAAATTTTGATTCTAAATTGTCTCCTGCAACGAAAAATAAAAAATAGAGGGCAGTGCACGTCAAGAAATTCCGGGCATTGCAAAGGTTCTCACAGCGAAAAAAAATTCATAAAATCTGTCATCCAAATCGCACATAACAACAATGTTTGACCTAATTTTTTTATGGGAACTCTAGAGAGTACTAGTAGTCGTATACAACTGTTTTTTATACCACTGGCACATTCTGAATGGGTGTCATCGTAACGCATTTTTTGAACACGGTTCAAGCTAGGCTAAAAATAGTGCAAATTTCAAGGCCGAATATCAAAAAAACTGTCCCATCAAGCGGGACGAGACCGATGTAGATACTCGAAGAATAGTTTAAGGATTTTTTTGACGTGGAGCCTATACCCCCTTCCAGTTCTCTCTGACTCGGTATCGTCGATACAAGATTTTATTTAGACGTTGTTTTCTTCGCCTTGGAAGACTGTCAAAATGCTATGATTATGGGTATATTTTGGTTCTATTAGCTTAAGCAACTCTCGAGCTTTCTATTGGTATCAATATCTTGTGATTTACTAATAATCTTTATGTCAAAATATTGCAAACCATTTGGACAAAAACGGATTTGCACCGGGCAGAATGCCAAAAAAAATTCTAGGCTTTTTCATTGGGCGCCCGTTTTTCTTTTATTTTTTCTTGACGTGCAGTGGCGGCATGCTAAATCATCAGGCAATCCTAGGTGGACCAAATTTTTACCAAAAATACCAAAAAAACTAAAAGAAATACCACTAGAACAATCAAATACCATGCAAAAAATCCAAAACCGCATAAATAGAAGAACACTGGCCTTCGGTTCTTCAAAACTTGTCAAAAATTTTTGGTCTCTCCCGTTTTCTAACTCAATTTGCACTTGGGTTTTTATTGTTCTCCAAGCCACCGGAAGACCTTGTCTCGACCGGCAAAACTTTGTGTTCGTCGTCTGAATATGTTAGCAAGAGACGAAGAACCGATTATAACACAAATTTTTGCACTTTTGTGAGGCTAGTTCAGAATGCCAAAAATGGCGGGTAAAATTGAAATTCAAAATTTTTGAGCGGATTTGGTAGGAAAATGGTAAAATACGCATTATGAAGTTATGTAAAAGATTTTTGTGTCATTTGATTGCAAAAAAATCAATTTCTTGTAGCTTTTTAAATTTAAAAAAAATTGGCGGGAAATTTGAAATTTCTGCAAAAAAAAAACACAAAAAAACAGTCAGCAAATATGCGAAATACGATAAACAACATACTATCAAAGTTTAAATTGACATAAGGAGGTTAGAAATATTGATTTCATAAATTTCCACCCCTTGAAACACAATGCCAAATTTAGCGCGAAATTCGAAAATTCAAAACATTATGGCTTCAAATCAAAAATTTGGCCGTTTTAAGTCAATTTCCTGAAAAAAATCGATTTCGTTTTAGATTTCCAAGCCTTAAAACACTATGCCAAAAGTTGCGGGAAAAAATTAAAATTAAAAAATTGCAAAAATAAGATTTTGATAAACAAAAAATCCGAAAAATTGACCTCTGAAGATCTAAAAATTTTTTGAAAGAGCCAGTCTTCGCAAATTTCAAGGAAAAACATCTTAATTGACCAATTACCGCCTCCACATCTCGAAACAATTTGGTCGAACAAATTTTTTAAAGCTTGAGAAAGGCACGAAAATGTTGTGTGACGCACATATATTTGGTTGACTTTGACTAACTTTTGGTCTGAAAAAGCTGATTGTTTCTGCAGAACAGTGTTTCTGCAGTCGAATGTAGGGCTGTAACAAAAAACTTAGGCATATCAAGTTTCACACTTATTTCTACCGTAGAGATGTGATATCTCCACAAAAAATCAATTTTTTCCGCACAAAACTGGTAAAGATATAGCCAAAAAGTGTTTTTTCTCTAACCGCACTCCGCATTTCGCATACTCTCGCCATACATTGTTGAATATCTTGGCTGTCCCTGAAAAGCGCGAGCTAAAATCTTCAGGGATTAATATGTGGCCTATGCCCGAAACGTGGGAGAAAAATGAAAAAAAAATCTGAGCTCTGCCATTGTAGTAGCTCCAGGGGGATGTTTCACGTACAAAAAGGGCACCAACTCCAGTTAGCGGCATCACAGAAAAAGCGGAGAGAGCAGAGAAAAAGAGGAGTGGTAACTCGAGTGACCTGACTTTTTATCGACTTTGGCCGCACATTTTGGGCCATAACTTTTGATACAGTGGACCAATTTGCGCCCTTCCAAAAAAATATTAATGCTGGTGGTACACAGAATACATGGATATAAATTTGTAAATTTTTCTTCTAAATTATGCAAATTATATGCAAATTTTGTTCTTGGTATCTTAAAGCTCGTCTTTTATTAAAATCTTTATTTGGACATGTTTGTTACGCTCTCAGCATCAAAGGGTTTTTTGAAGGGTGTAAATTGGTATGCTGTATCAGGAGTAATGGCCCGCGCAACAGTGGGCGAGAATTTTTTGGTCATAACTTTTGTCACAGTAAACCAATTTGCAAATTTTTAAGAAAGTTTTAATGCTGGAACCACGCTTCGTATGACGTTATCAAAATTTTTTCCGTATCTTGCATCTTAAATACCAAGAGAAAAATTTGCATATGATTTGCATAATGTAAAAGGAAAATTTACAAATTTATATGTGTGTATTCTGTGTACCGCCAGCATTAATATTTTTTTGGAAGAGCGTAAATTGGTCCACTGAGAGTGTTGCAGAACGCACGGCCTAAAGACTGGCCATTGTCATTGGTGGAGTGGAGCCTGGTGTGATTGAGGCCCAAAACAAAGAGCAATTTTCCAAAATCATACTCCCACATGTTGAATTTTTAATTATAATGAAATGTTTTATGTCGCTTTCTTCGGATAAAAGAATACAAAAAGCTTTGGCAATTTGTCCTTGAAGATTGAAGCTTCTGAAGATCACTTTCTACTGAAACTTACAGGGGAAGTACTCCAAGTGCGACGCTCAGATTTTGATGAAACTTGGCACAAATTTAGAATAATGTTTTCTAAGATATATGCGAGAATCGTAGCTTTGCAGAAACAACCGAGATTTTTAGATCGAAAGTCGGCGAAAATTTAGGACTTTTTGTCGAATTTGGGCACGAAAATTTTCATGCCTATTTCTACCGTAAAGGACAATGTTTTTACAAAAAATCAATTTTTTCCCCACGAAACTGCAAAAGTTATGGCCAAAACCCGTTTTTCTCTCTGACCGCTCTCCACGTTCAGCGTGCTCTCTCGGCGGCATAAATCGTTCAATATCTCGGCGGCGCCTGTAACGCGCGAGCTAAAACTTTCAGGAATTGATACTTGGTCCATACCCGACGTGTGTTCAAAATTTAAAGAAAATCTGAGCGTCGCACTTGGAGTACTTCCCTTGTTAGTACGTCAAATTAAGAATTTTGCAACCTTTAAAAAATCAGTTAAAATTTTCATAAAGTGACATTTTTTAATATTAAAAGTCTATCAGTCTGTCGGGAAAATGAGAGCGCAGTGTCGCTGCGTCAATCGCGTCGCTGAAGTCAAAACCAACTTGATTTTCTCGGCGGCGTTGCGATTTTGGATGCGATAGAGTGCTTATTATTTTCCCGACAGACTCATACGACATAGATATCAGCCAACAATACTATAAACTCTACTTTCCAGTGATATTACGGACCTTGAAGGCAGTTATCGTTGCAGTTCGACGTGTCTTCTGAGTGGATGGCGGTGCTGCCAAGACGATGACTATAAGCGGAACCCAGACAAAAACAAACGCATTTTTAAGTCGCAGTGCTAATAAGGGGAGGGTTCTTTGCGCTTTGCATGCACATCAAGCACAGCCCAAGATAGAGAACACACGAAATGGGGAGAGCGGTTAGAGAGAAAGGCGCTTTTTTGCCATGTCTTTTCCAGTTTCGTGCAGAAAAAAATAATTTTTTTTTGTGAACACGTCACTGTCTACGGTAGAGCCTTTGCAAATTGCGACCTGCTATTCTTATGTCAAGTTTTATCAAAATCTGAGCGTCGCACTTTGATCACTTGGAGGGAGAATTGCCAAAACATTTTTAAACTCTTTTATTTGAGCAAACGACATAAAGACCTTCACAAATGTATAATTAAAATATGTGGGAGTATGAATTTCTGACATCGGTCATTGTTTTTGTGCCTTAGTCACACCAGGCTCCACTCCACCAATGACAATGGCCAGTCTTTAGGCCGTGCGTTCTGCAGCATTCCCTCACATCCAGTCCCCCTGTACAGTAAATGTCGCACGGGGGCATTCGAATGGAGCCGGGAAAGGCGAGTTCGTGTTCAGCGGCTGAAATAAAACAGGATTTTGAGCTGAAATAGTAACAATCTACCGGTCAAATTATGTGGCTTTTGGGTGGTGGGACGTGGGCTGCGAGTTGCATTCCGATGGAGGTCATCATCAACAAGATCCTCGGCTGGAATGAGTGTAAAAGTTGAGGGGATTACAGAGATACACTTCTAGATTACCAATCACCTTACCATGGACAGTATACGGCTTTTGAGTGGTACTTGGAGGTCTTGGCTTGCGAGTAATGTTCTTGTGAAGGCCCTCCTCAACGAGCTCGTTAACTGAAAGTTGTAAAATGCAATGTTTCGAGCAATCCACCAACTTACCTTCGGAATTATGAGGCTTATACGTTGTAGTTGGACGGCCTGGCTTGTGAGTGGTCGGCGGAGCAGCCAAGGCTACGGTAATAGAAAGAATGAGGAGGAGGAGAGAACGCATTTCCAATGGGATACAGGAGTTGTTGGATGATGATGTGAGGCAAGTACAAGTTCACTCGTTTTATACTTTTCAAAGTCTTATCAGTATCCGAGTTTCAGCAAGAAATGCCGGATCTGTATTCACGAACATATACGAATATTCCTTTGTTAGTTTCCGGAAGGAATTACGATTGTGGTGTTTACTTCTTATCAGCGAATGTTTCGTCGGAAAATTGAAAAAGAAACAAAAAAAACAGATGGAATCGAACTCGCGCCATCAAGAGCACCGTTGCTCAACTTGTCAGATCGGACGCAATGCCATTTTCGTACTCGGCTATTTAGCACCACTAAAGAAGTCGCAAAGGAGTGAACGCTAAAGAGAGAGAGCTAGAGAAGCAGAGAAAAATCTCGGGAGAGTTGTTACCCCAGACCAAAAGTTGTTAGTGATCTTCTTAGCTGCAGTTTGAAAGGTGCTTGAGTTGCTATATACAGCCTAACTTGAGGTTAGTTGTATTTTCGGCTCATGAAGTGTGGCTGAAAAGTGAAATTTTGGAATGTCCGGCAGTTGTGTTGGACACATTTTTTATGCAGGGTGAATATATTCGTGAATGTGCTTGTGGGCATTGCGAAGACTTTGGCTTTTCAAAATTGTAAATTTTGTCAAAAACGAATGTCTACTCGACTCCAGACATTTTTCCGGCATTCCACGACAAACGAAACATTCGCTGATAAGAAATAAACACCACAATCGTAATTCCACCCGGAAACGGGCAAAAAAATATTCGTATGTTCGTAAATACAGATCCGGTATTTGTTGCTGAGAACTCGGGTACTGATAAGGCCCTCAAAAGTATAAAACGAGCAGGTTCTTACTCCACATCATCATCCAACAACTCCTGCATCCCATTGGAAATGCGTTCTCTTCTCCTCCTCATTCTTTCAGTTACTGTAGCTTTGGCTGCTCCGCCGACCACTCACAAGCCGGGTCGTCCAACTACAACGTATAAGCCTCATAATTCCCAAGGTAGGTTAGTTGGTTTCTCAAAACATTGCATTTTACAACTTCCAGTTATCGAGCTCGTTGAAGAGGGCCTTGACAAGAACATTACTCGCAAGCCAAGACCTCCAAGTACCACTCAAAAGCCGTATACTGTCCATGGTAAGGTGATTGGTAATCTAGAAGTGTATCTCTGTAATCCCCTCAACTTTTACACTCATTCCAGCCGAGGATCTTGTTGATGATGACCTCCATCGGAATGCAACTCGCAGCCCACGTCCCACCACCCAAAAGCCACATAATTTGACCGGTAGATTGTTACTATTTCAGCTCAAAATCCTGTTTTATTTCAGCCGCTGAACACGAACTCGCCTTTCCCGGCTCTATTAGAATGCCTCCGTGCGACATTTACTGTAGAGGGTCACTCGATGTTAGAGAGTGTTGCAGAACGCATGGCCTAAAGACTGGCCATTGTCATTGGTGGAGTGGAGCCTGGTGTGATTAAGGCCGAAAACAAAGAGCAATTTTCCAAAATCGTACTCCCACAAGTTGAATTTTTAATTATTGTGAAATGTTTTATGTCATTTTCTATATACAAATAAACGAATGTAAAAAGCTTTGGCAATTCGTCCTGGAAGATTGAGGCTTCTCATAACAAGGGCCATTTCGAAAAAACGACCAATTGAGAATCTTTCAATATTTTGCATATTTGTTGTACTGTTTCAGCTCAAAATCATATTTTATTTCATTGCCAGGGTCCCCACGGCGTCCGGAATGTTGTTACGCTCACCGGTTTAGGATGGGCTATTGTTTGACTGGTTATGCCTTGTGCGATTTTCATTACTAAACGGTTTACAAACAATAACTCTGCTTTGGAACAACTAAATTTTTTCATTATTTTGTATGTATTTTTGTATAAAAAAATTTCAACTCGTTTTCAGCTGGCTCATAATAATATTTTTTCACCTCAAAATAGCCTAAAAATTGAATTTTTGTCATCGTTAAACCAAAATTTTGCTTTTTTACAATCGAACTACCACAAGTGTGGGGCTCAGATTTTCTTTAGATCTTGCACGCATGTCCATGCATAGGCCACATATCAATTCCTGAAACTTTCAGCTCGCGCCTTGCAGAAACGAGAGCAAATTTTAGGCCGATATTTTGAAAAATTTCGAATTTTTTTTGCGAATTTTGGCATGTAAAGTTTCATACGTATTTCTACAGTAGAATGTAGTACTTTCACATAAAATCAATCTTTTCCACACAAAACTGTCAAGGATATGGCCAAAAAAGAGTTTTTCCTCTTACCGCACTCCGCATTTCGCATACTCTCTCAATATATTGTTGAATATCTCGGCTGTCCCTGCAAAGCGCAAGCTAAAACTTTTAGGAATAGATATCTAGTCTATATCAAAAATGTGTGCAAAATTAAAAGAAAATCCGAACATTGCAGTTTGAGAATTAGCCTTGCCAAATCTTCAGAACTTCCTCCATAAATTGCAAGTACAAAGAACAACCCCGGCTCGTCCTCCACAACTCATCTCCGTATTCTTTTGTCTGTACCTTCTGCTTTCTGAAAGCGTTTTTTCGAAGGGTTATTATTCAGCAAGAAAGAGGATTTTTTCAAATTTGAAATTCCGCCTACTTGGAGGGAACTTTTTTTAAATGCAGTGCAAAGACCGGCCAAACACCTCTAAACTACAAAATATTTGAAATTTTTGGGCCTTCAGGGCTGTGAATTTTACTTTTGCTATTGAAAAAATTGTCAGTGTAAGTGAATTTGAAAATTTGAAAAAATAAAAAAAAAATTTGGTCATCAATTTGGATCAATGCAAAAATTTCGAATTGTTTTGTTTTTTTTTTTGATTTGAAATAATCGTGCTTGATTACAAGAGAAGTGCATGACATTTCTGCAAAAAATTTAGTTTTTTCCCTGTAGGATTCAAAAAGTTATAGCCGAAAAAAAGGTTTTTTCTCTGATCGTCTCTCCTCTTTTTACATTCCCTCTAAAATTTTGGAGAATATCTTGACAATGGATGCAAAGCGCTTGCCGAAATTTTCAGGGAATGATTTGAGTCTTCTTTGGAGAATGTGTGCCAAATTTGACGAAAATCCAGACATTGCACATCAAGAAATTAAAATTTTTTCAAAAAATAGCCTGAAAACTTAAAATTTTCTACCGTTTTGTCAATTTTTACCTTTGTAAGTTCTCTTTCTCGCAGATCCATCTATTCTGAAGATCATAAAATTCTTTCCAGTCCCAGATTGAGTACGTTTTCTTATTACAAAAAGTCATTTGGCCCGAAACATCGGAAATTTATTCGTGCAGACTTCCCCTCGTTTTATGCTAATATCCCAGCATTTTTCGGGGGTTTCTAGGACACGAAAAGCAAGCTTCTCTTCATGAACACATCCTTTTCCGGCGATGTTTTTAAAACACGATTTCTGAGTCAGTGAATCAGCCGCCAGTTAGGCCTGGACATAGGAAAAAATCGATTTTGAGTTTTTGATTTTAAAATGACCGCAGGCATCCAGTAAACATATTCCTGAAGTATTTTTGCCTAGTTCTCTCATTAACCTACTGTAATTTGCAATTTAATGTTTTTACAGTAATCGACTATTACAGCATAACTACTCACTAGAAATGGCTGAAATTGAGAGTACTGATGTTTTCGGGCATGCTCGTCATTGTGAATTTAGAATTTCGACGATCGGATTACTGTAACATACCGCAATGCGGTATCGGCCGAACAAAATCGGCCATAAAAAATTTGTTTCTGAAATGCCGCAGCTGATTTTTACATATGTTAATCAGCGTAAAATTCTGCCCTAGAAACATTTAAAAAAAGTGTAAAAAGTCATCACCCCTTTTTCGTGGTGTAGTGGATTTTGGTCAAATTTAGTAATCCGAAGGTCGCGGGTTCGATCCCCGTGGAAGGAAAATGCGTAAAACTGTACAAAACCTCAAAAAATTGGTTGAGGTGGTTGATTACGCATACCAAGAGTATGAAAAATTGTATCAAAGTTGATTTCCGAACTTGAAAGCATTTTTTTGATGATGAAACTTGGATTTTGGTTTCCGTGGATTATGGTGCAAATTTGGTCTAGGAAATGGCTACAGTTGTTTATAATTAGGTTTTTTAGCCTTCTGAATTCAATGGAGCAGGGTTTTTGGCCATAGGATTACTGTAACATGGACGAAACGGATTTCGGCCGCTTAAAATCGGCCGTAAAACGGTTGTTTCTAAACGTACGCAGCTAATTCTTCAATTTTTGGAATCAGCGCGAAATTTCACACAATTTTCACCTAAACAATGGCTTATTGGTTGAATACTTTGTTTTCAGTGGTGACTTACTTTAAAACTTGGAAATTGTAAATAAAACTATGTTAGCGAAAGAATTAGCCAAAAATATTTTGAGGCTAATTTTCATCAACGTATACAAACATTTCTAGACCAAAATCTCAGATTTTTTTTTTTCGATTTCCACGGATGACTTTTTTGACTGAAAAATTTCTAATCTGCTCGAAAATAATCCTTGGAATTTGTGTGACCAGTTAGGATATTATATTTAATGTTTCTAGAGCAGAATTTCATGCTGATTCCAAAAATTGAAGAATTAGCTGCGTACGTTTAGAAACAACTGTTTTACGGCCGATTTTAAGCGGCCGAAATCCGTTTCGTCCAAGTTACAGTAATCCTATGGCCAAAAACCCTGCTCCATTGAATTCAGAAGGCTAAAAAACCTAATTATAAACAACTGTAGACATTTCCTAGACCAAATTTGCACCATAATCCACGGAAACCAAAATCCAAGTTTCATCATCAAAAAAATGCTTTCAAGTTCGGAAATCAACTTTGATACAATTTTTCATACTTTTGGTATGCGTAATCAATCCACCTCAACCAATTTTTTGAGGTTTTGTACAGTTTTACGCATTTTCCTTCCACGGGGATCGAACCCGCGACCTTCGGATTAATAAATTTGACCAAAATCCACTACACCACGAAAAAGGGGTGATGACTTTTTACACTTTTTTTTAATGTTTCTAGGGCAGAATTTTACGCTGATTAACATATGTAAAAATCAGCTGCGGCATTTCAGAAACAAATTTTTTATGGCCGATTTTGTTCGGCCGATACCGCATTGCGGTATGTTACAGTAATCCGATCGCCGAAATTCTAAATTCACAATGACGAGCATGCCCGAAAACATCAGTACTCTCAATTTCAGCCATTTCTAGCGAGTAGTTATACTGTAATAGTCGATTACTGTAAAAACATTAAATTGTAAATTACAGTAGGTTAATGAGAGAACTAGGCAAAAATACTTCAGGAATATGTTTACTGGATGCCTGCGGTCATTTTAAAATCAAAAACTCAAAATCGATTTTTTTCTATGTCCACGGCTGATTCACTGACTCAGAAATCGTGTTTTAAAAGAGAGTTTTTTACAACTCGAAGGATGGCCCGGACATTTCGAAAAAACGACCAACTCAGAATCTTTTGATATTTTGCATAGCTGTTCTACTATGTTAGATGAACGTCAGTACACATTTTTAGTTTCGGAAATTACCGTATACGGGGGTTACGGTAGGTACAATTTTTAGAAAGATTGGGTTCGTATGTAAAAACCCCGAAGAGTAAAAGGGCGAAACTTCGCTATTTTACGTTTTCAACCATGGGGAAGATTTTCATAATTGACACTTTCGCCGTACGATGTAGCCTTTGACTACTTTGAAAAATACCAAGGTACCATATTGAATGTAACTTTTTTGCAGAGAACTTGTCTCAACTTTTGAAACCTCTCAAAAATACTTTGGCATAGATGTAACAACATATCAAAAATGCGCGAAAATAAAAGGGGTGGTTTTGGAGTTATGGTATTTTGATTGTGGCCCGAACGGTATATCAAAATATCATTTTTTTCAAAATAGGTGTAGAAGAGCCGCAAATATTGCTAAAATATGTTTTCGACCATGGAGAACATTTTTCTAATTAACACTTTTTCTGTAGGATGTCGTCTTCGACTACTTGGAAAATGACCAAGGTACCATGTTCAATATAACTCTTCGGCATTCTATTTGTCTCAACTTTTGAAACCTTTCAAAAATACTTTGACATGTATGTAACAACATATCCAAAATACGCGAAAATAAAAGGGGTGGTTTTGGAGTGATGGTACTTCGATTGTGGCCCGAACGGTAAAAATGACCAAGGTACCATGGTCAATATAACTTTTCGGCATTCTACTTGTCTCAACTTTTGAAACCTCTCAAAAATACTTTGACATGTATGTAACAACATATCAAAAATTTAGAAAAATAAAAGGGGTGGTTTTGGAGTTATGGCACTTTGAATGTGGCCGGTACCGTACATCAAAATTTTCTTTTTTCTAAACTTGACGTAGAAAACCCGCAAACCTTGCCAAAATACGTTTTCGACCCTCGCGAACATTTTTGTAATTGACACTTTTTTTGTAGGATGCAGTCTTCAACCGGTATGAGAAATATCAAGATACCATGTTCAATATAACTTTTCGGCATTTTACTTGTCTCAACTTTTGAAACCTTTCAAAGACACCTTGATATATGTGTAACAACATGTCAAAAATTTAGAAAAATAAAAGGGGTGGTTTTGGAGTTATGGCACTTTGAATGTTGGACATACAGTACACCTAGATTTATTCTCGGCTAAACTTTACGCAGATTATTTTAAAAACAAGATGTAATGTTTTATGTATGTTGCACGACCCTCAGAAACTATTTTCACTAGGAAATTCAGAAAATTTAGGCCTAAGCGTACTGTAACATATCGTGCGCATATAATTGGTTACTGTAACAGCAAGATCAGCGATTTCTTATTTTTTTTTGCAACGATTACCACGGTTTAGACTCGTGTATGCCATACGACGGTGGAATCTTCCAAATTCGGATGTCAGCAGCACAACAAAAGTTTGGTGTACTGTATGATCAAGATTAAAAGTACCATAACTCCAAAACCACCCTTTTTATTTTTCTAAATTTTTGATATGTTGTTACACATATGTCAAAGTGTCTTTGAAAGGTTTCAGAAGTTGAGACAAGTAAAATGCCGAAAAGTTATATTGAACATGGTATCTTGATATTTCTCATACCGGTTGAAGACTGCATCCTACAAAAAAGGTGTCAATTACAAAAATGTTCGCGAGGGTCGAAAACGTCTTTTGGCAAGGTTTGCGGGTTTTCTACGTCAAGTTTAGAAAAAAGGAAATTTAGATGTACGGTACCGGCCACATTCAAAGTGCCATAACTCCAAAACCACCCCTTTTATTTTTCTAAATTTTTGATATGTTGTTACATACATGTCAAAGTATTTTCGAGAGGTTTCAAAAGTTGAGACAAGTAGAATGCCGAAAAGTTATATTGACCATGGTACCTTGGTCATTTTCCAAGTAGTCGAAGATGACATCCTACAGAAAAAATGTTGATTACAAAAATGTTCTCCATGGTCGAAAACGTATTTTGGCAATTTTTGCGGGTCTTCTACACCGATTTTGGAAAAAAATTATTTTTTGATATACGGTACCGGCTGCCTTCAAAGTACCGTAACTCCAAAACCACCCCTTTTATTTTCGCGCATTTTTGATATGTTGTTACACCTATGTCAAAGTATTTTTGAGAGGTTTCAAAAGTTGAGACAAGTTCTCTGCAAAAAAGTTACATTCAATATGGTACCTTGGTATTTTTCAAAGTAGTCGAAGGCAACATCCTACGGTAAAGTTGTCAATTATGAAAATGTTCCCCATGGTCAAAAACGTAAAACAGCGAGGTTTTGTGCTTTTACTCCTCGGGGTTTTTACACACGAACCCAATCTTTCTAAAAATTGTACCTACCGTAACCCCCGTATACGGTAATTTCAGAAACTAAAAATTCGTACTGACGTTCAGCTATCATAATACAACAACTATGCAAAATATCGAAAGATTCTAAGTTGGTCGTTTTTTCGAAATGTCCGGCCCTTGTTATGAGAAGCTTCAATCTGTAAAAAACTCTCTTTTAAATTTTATTTTTTCTCAATTTTGAAAAAATTTTTTTGGTAACTTTTCAAAAAAATTTGAATTTTAGTTGCCTTAGGGGTTAAAGAGGGCAACGGAAATTTTTTTTATTGTTCGAACACTGGACATTTAATTTTAAGACATTTTCAACCTTTTTGGATCACTTTCAATATTTGAAATTTAAAATTTCGCGGGCTTTTGGCAAATTTGTGGCATTGGACAAAAATGGTTTTAAAATTATATTTAAAATTGTTGTAGCATTTATTAACGCAAAAAGGGTCTTTTCAGGACATTTGCAGCTCTTTCGAATCACTTTCAAAATTTGAAATTTCAAATTTCGCGGGTTTTTGGCAAATGGTTGGCATTGCTCAGAAATGTCACAAAAATGCTATTTTTGCAGATTAGGACCTTTTCCACTAAGCAAACAGCTTTTCCGGCCATTTCCAACCTTGTCTCACCACTTAAAAATTTAAATTTTGAATTTCGCGGGCTTTTACACAATTCTTGGCATTGTGTTTCAACCCCCAAAAATCTCCCAAAAAAGTCATTCCATTCTCAATACCACACAAATTCGATTACAAAACCACAATAGACCGCTAATTTGACTTGCATTATATTTCAATAATTTCGTAACGAAAATGGTCAAAACCCCCTCAGGACTTTTGACTCATTGCACCGTTATTCATCGCCAAATTGAAAGCAATTGCTCTCCCTCCCCATTCATGCGCCGCGGGCCAGAAACTATTCGCAACTTTCGGTTGGAATTCTGATTTGTTTTTACTTTTCTCCGAAATTTCCCTTATCTTGGGTGGAGTCCAAGCGAACTGGTCGGTTTTCGGAAATTTTTCCGCAAAACATCTTGTGGATCGCCTAGGGCAAGGTGCTAAGGACAATATGGAGGCAATTATGGACTTGTTTGTTGATGAAGAGAGAGCCAGGTCTGTAGAAGTTTGAGATTTCAGACTTTTCTGTGCGTTTTCGGAACAGCTGAGCAAATATTTACTGTTTATTGATGCGAAAATTGTTTCAGAGACTTCTAATTATACTTTGAACTTCAAAAAAGCATGAGAAAAAGTTCTAAAAGCTAATGTTTGAGACTTTCCGGCAGTGGGATTCAAACCCGCAACCGTTTGATTTTCAGTCCGAGGATTACCCAGTTGCGCCAAAATGGAACATTTCCTAAAGTTTACTGTAGTGATTTTCGTTTGTAAAAGAAGTATTTAGTGAGTAATTATTGCTATTTTACGACCATATTTGACCCAAAAATTGAATTAATAAGTTCTCAGACCTTAAAAATCTTCAAATCAAATTTCCTCCATATTTTAGGATCCAAGCAGATCCGATGAGCGCACTCCACGTCCAATACACCCCCTCAGTTGTGCTTCCCTTCGAGCATGGCCTTCCACACGAGAAAATCGTCAAATTCTTCATGGATTACTGGCATTACACCGTCCATCTCTCGCTTCTCTACATTGCCATTGTTTTGGGACTGCAGCAGTACATGTTGACTAGGAAACCGCTGAGGCTAAGATGGACGTTGGTGGCGTGGAACGGAGGATTGGCTGTTTTTAGCATAATGGGGTAGGTTTTTGGGGCGAAATAAATTTTTTGGGTTAACCACGGAATCCTGAATTTTTGGCATTCTGCAACAAGCTATGAAAAACACTCAATTTTGTCTGAAATTGAGTTTTGTAGCCATTTTCTTCCAAAAATTCACATTTTCCAAAAAGAATTTTAGTTTCACCACGAAATCTTCAAGTTTTGGCATTCTGCAACAAGCTTTTAAAACCTTTTATTTGACTTTGTTCTACAATCACAGACCAAAATATGAAGCTAAACCGGGTATTTTCGCATTTTTGTAACTTATTGCACAATGCCAAAAGATCAGGCTTTCGTGGTGAAACCAATTTTTTTTGGGGGGAAATGTGAATTTTTTGAGAAAATGCCATAAAGCTCAATTTCAGACAAAATTGAGCGCTATTCACAGCTTGTTGCAGAATGCCAAAAAATCAAACTTTCGTGGTGAGACCCAGAAAATAACACAAAAAGAAAAAAATCGAATATTTTTAATAATGTTGTTTTCAGGACAATCCGCACGCTGGAAGAGCTCGTCTTCACCCTGTCCAATCACGGAATCCACAAGTCCCTGTGTTTTGGGTACGAGCCCAGCTCGGTGGCGGCCCATTGGTACCTCTTCTTCGCCATCTCCAAGATTGTCGAGCTCGGCGACACCGTCTTCTTGGCCCTAAAGAAGCGACCGTTGACCTTTTTGCACTGCTATCATCATTGCACGGTACTCGTGTACACGTTTCATTCCGGCTCCGAGGTCCTGGGCATGGGCCGATGGTTCATGGGGATGAATTTTATCGCACACAGGTAGGTGAAGGCGGGAATTTTGGGGAATTTGGTATTTTTGTAGAGTGTAGGATGGGTTGTTGTAAAATACGTCAACTTCCGCTTGGCTAGAGTATCTTGTAAGAGTTATGCGCAAGTTTTTCCGAAAAATCATCATTTTTTGCAGATTTTTGGGATTTTTTGCAAAATTTTTGCAGAATTTTATGATGTATAAGTAAAATACGGCAGCGCATACTTTATTGGAGCCCTATAAATTCCAAAACCATAAGAAGATTCAATTTTTTTAACAGAAAGTCCGACATTTTTCAACCTACATCAATATGATGATGTAGCTTGGAAAATTGATCACAACTTCGAAACTAAAAGTTAGATCAGAGTCGTCTGGTCTCAGAGTATTCCTTTTTGCATATGTTATCGCGTACTGACACCTATTCCTTTTAAAAATCTCAATAACGCCTTCATTTTTCGACCAACCTTTAGTGTCATCAATATATTGGACTATGTTAGAGAATTGATCATAACTTCTGAACTAATTGATAAACAATCATCCGCATAGTCTTAAAATATTCCCTGTTGCATTCTTTATCGCAAACCAACAAAGTATCCTTTTACAACTCTCAATAACACTTTCATTTTTTGACCAACATTTAGTGTCATCAATATATTGGACTAGGTTAGAGAATTGATCATAACTTCTGAACAAATAGTCGAACAACTACATGCATGGTGTCAAGAAACTCCTAACAGCATATTTTTTCAATTGCTGGAATCAAAATTCACATCCATTCCCAGTAACCCCCTCATTTTTCAGTTTTATGTACACCTACTATGCTTTGATGAGTGCGGGCTTCAAAGTCCCGAAAGGTGTGGCCAAGTTCGTGACCTCGATTCAGCTGATCCAAATGTTCGTTGGACTACTTGTTTCGTTTTCTGCCACCATCGCCAAACACCTGCTACATCTGCCGTGCCAACAGTCGCTACAGAACTTGTACTTGGCGTATGGGATTTACGCGTCGTACGCGGTCCTGTTCCTGCAGTTCTTCCTGGCCAAATATTCGAGCAAATCGAAGACGGAGTAACTGGTTTCTGATTCCCTTACTAATGATATGTAAATTTACATAAATTTCTGATTTTTGAATGTTTTGATTTTTTTGGGTGTTAATGTCATGAACACTATAATTTGGAGCAAATGAATGTTCAATAGAGCACTCCAGACATACAGCGACGGAACTGATCCAGTGGCAAAAAACGTACCATTTTGCATCCGGGAAGTATCAAAAACTGTAGCAAAATGCCTCCCTCTCCAACTAAAAAAAACTCCTTTTTGAACGGTACGCAATTTCCCTCACAAAACGGGTGGGCGCTAGATTTTTTTGAATATTTGAAATCGAAGTTTTTTCACTTGGAGAGGGAGGTATTTTGCTACATTTTTGATGCTTCCCGGATACAAAATGGTACGTTTTTTGGTACTAGATCAGGTCCGCCACTGTAGCAAAGATGAAAACAGTAGTTTTAATTAATAACCACACAGTAAATTTGCATAAAATTTCAATTATTAAAAATTTTTAGATCTAAATGTCATGTGTAATACAGGGTGGGCCACTCGAAACGGGTAAGTTTTTTCTTTGGATTTCTCCGCGGAGACTCCGCCGATTTTTCTAAAATTTAGATTTTTCTGGAGCTGAGACCCGCCATTTTTAACCGATTGAATTTCAAAAAAACATATTTTGTATTGACCTTTCTATGCCTCCCCAAAGTTTCGAAGAATTATTTTCGGGCCGAAACCGCTAAAACTTTGAAAATTTTTGGAATGATTTCGAAAACTTGGTCATTTTTTCGGGTTTTTGGGTGAAATTTTCTTATTTTTATCTCAGATAACCATAAAATATTGTCGTAAAAACAATTTTATTTAACGGCCTGATTATTAATATTTCTATCTGAGTTGGAAATGCCCATTTCCTCTCGCAGCACAAACTTGTAGGAGCTTTGAGAGTCTTGAGAGTCGTGAACAGCTCGAATTGCAGATCGTGAACATCGTCTATCTTCAATCGGGCTGGGCTCCAAGCCTCAATGACTTGGAGCTAGGGCTCGTAGATAATTGTATGGACTTTTGCAATCTCGTTGAAAAATTGGTTTTTTTTTGAAAGTTCGTGCCCTAACAGTAACGCAAACATCACTATTTTTGCTTTCAGTTTTCCTTAAACAAGTTTAGAGAGAGCATACGAAACTTTTTACTTCCCGATTTTACCAAAAAAAAAGCCAAAAATTTTCGAAGTCCGAGAAAGTCAATTGAAAATCATTCCAAAAATTTTCAAAGTTTTAGCGGTTTCGGCTCGAAAATAATTCTTCAAAACTTTGGGAAAGCATAGAAAGGTCAATTCAAAATATATTTTTTTCAAATTCAACCGGTTAAAAATGGCGGGTCTCAGCTACAGAAAAATCTAAATTTCGGGAAAATCGGCGGAGTCTCCGCGGAGAAATTCAAAGAAAAAACTTACCCGTTTCGAGTGGCCCACCCTGTATAATTGCTCTAAAACAATATTCCACTCAAATTTTTTCTCAATCTTAATTCCGAAAAACAATTTTCAGACTTCAAACTCTATCTAAAACAATTTTTCCACATCAACTTCCATCAAAAATAACTAGCTTTATTACTTTTTTTTAAATGAGATTATAGTACAATATCCGTAAAAAAATTGCAAAACAACTAGAAAAAAAAAAAACGTTTAATAGTTAGAAGTGATAACAAAACGAGAGAATACAAAGTTTGAAATTGAAAAGACAACCGTAGTAGCCCGCAGGAAATCAAAAAAAATAAAAAAAGTAGGAATTATGAATGCACAGTGCGGCAATAACAAAAACATGCGACAATCCTTAAAAATTGTGGGATGATTGATAAGATTCGAAGCAACAATTCTTTAATGATCAATAAGCAAAGTCTAAATAACTTTTTTTACCGAATTTTCGCCGGAAATTCACAAATTTGGCCAAAAAATCGCAAAATTTTCAAAAAACCGACAAAATTTTGCAAGATTTTTACAAAAATTTTTAAAAAATCCCAATTTTTGAGGCTCAAACATCCCTCAGAATGCCCCAAAATACATTACGCTGCATCTAGAATCGCTATGACCTCAAATCCCATTCAAAAAATACCTTAACATTACTTTAGATACCCCTCCCCCAAACGACTTCTAAAGGCCAATATCAACAGTAAATTTCAGACTTATAAATAGAAACTGACTTGAAATGACAGATTTGATACAACAGATTGATTTTACGGTTCATCAAAAAACCAGTTGTGTACATTTATGGGATCGCATTCAGGTTGAGGAACACCTTTTCGAGGCCAATATCCAATGTGATTCCGTTGAAGGGCTTCCTGAAAATGCGTCGAATTATTCATTTTTATGTAAAAATAACGTATTTTATCCGTGAAACCCCCAGAAAAAAAATTTCAATCCGCAGGCTGCGCCCTAGAAAAAATTGAATCCCGCGAGCTGCGCCCTGGCTGACAAAAATCCACTACGATGAATTTATATATATTCCCACTACTTTCTATCATTTGCATATGAAAACTAGCAAAATCCAAAATTTTTCAATCCGCAGACTGCGCCCTAGAAAATTTTGAATCGCGCGAGCTGCGCCCTAGGTGATAAAAAACCCGCTCAAATGATTTTACACTGCCCTAAGAAGTTGTACCTTCCATTTCCCCTAGATTCTATCCATTTGCATATCAAAATAAGCAAAATTAAAAATCCGCGAGCTGCGCCCTGACTTCAACCTCAAACTGACCAAAAAACTGGCCAAACCTGCGCCAAAATTGAACTTACATATGATACTGTAACATGAACTTCTTCGCGTTCTCATGGCTCTCGAATATCACGCTGATTGAGTCGTCCGACGTCTGCCATACCTTCTGAAACATGGATAATGTAATTTTACGCTGATAATGGAAGAACTTTCAGAAAAAAACATGTTCAAAGTGCAATAGAATTAGAAATTCATGTCTATATTGGCATTTTTCAACCAAAAATACCGTTTTTTATCGGAATTTTTTTAGAATCGACTTTTTTTCGCAATAAAATCTCGAATTCTGGCAATTTCACGCTGTCATTGCTTCAAAAATCCCTCCAACCAATTAGCATTACCTTCACCAGACTCTGTTACTCCTTTCTCGCCAACACCACGTTCCTCGCAGTTATAATCGAGGCATTCTTAGCTGCCGAATCCTGGGGGTATTTATTGTAAAAAAAAGAATAAATACACTAATATTACTATTGCAGAATACTCAAAACGGTATTTAAATTGCATTATAAACCAAATAAAATATTTTTGGATCAAACTCATTCGATATGCGAACCATTTCTTGGTATACCAAGCATCCTAAAACAAGGTGTCAAAAAAAAATTTTTTTTTTGTAAATCCTTTATCCAGATGGATGGTATACCAAGACTGTATGATATTACAACAAAATTTGTGATATATTGTGAATATTCGATATAAAAATATTAAATAATCACCAGGAAATCGACAAAAACCAGTAAATTTTGATGAAATTTGAGATCAAATAGAAAAAAAAGATATATTCGAGATCGTATATTCGATAAAAAATTGACTAGATATGACAGGTAAGGGCTGATAATACAATACATATCCATTTCAGAGTTTCATCGGCCCTTTGATCAGCATTAAAATCAAAATTTCATAAAATTTTGTCTAAAACAAGGTGCTGATCCAAGAGCTCGATTTTATATCAAAAATTGAATAAAGACCAACAAGACTTATAAAAATTGGAAGGAAAGAGCGTCATCTTTTTTGTACTCAAAGACTTCTTGACGGACGACACGGTGCACGAGATAAATCAACATTTCTTTTCGAGAAAATTTGATTCATATCGGGGTCAAAATTGACGAAAAAATCGTGGTAAAAATCTCAAAATTGAATGGAGAAACAAATAAAAGTCTGTTCTACAACTCTTGTAGACCATATACGACTCATAAAATCCAAAGAAAAATAATTCAGACATTAGAAACAACAAAAATTTTAAAAAAATATCAGATCCCTCATGGATAACATAAAATTATCGGCAAATACGCATGGCAAATGCCGACATACTTCTTTTGCATTATACAAAAGACAATAACATATCAGTTGGAGTTCATATTCCAGCAAAAATCATTGAATTCCTTTGAGAAATTTCCAAAATCCCAAAAAATCCTCAAAAACATCAAAAAATCTCAAATTTCAAATGAAATTCCAATAATTTCTGCTGAAATAAGAAGCCGCAGTACAAGATAATGCCATATGAGACCTTATTCTATCATAATTCTTCTTGAAACACTCAAATATTCAAGTAAAAAATGTAAAAAATCAAAAAAATTGATAAAAAATAACTAAATCAATATAAAATTCGATGAAACACTTTACAAAAAGCCAAAATATACATGCTCAAGCTCGTTTTCAGATGCATTATGATCCTCTACGACATGAAACCTAACAAATTCTTGGATAAAAATTGAAAATAATCAAAAACAAAACCATTTCCTCGACTAACCTTGGTGGGGCCCACGGCGTTCGCGATCATTTTCACGCGTTTGTAGGCGTCGCTGAGGTTGGTGAGGTTGTGGATCACCACTGCCAGGTAGGGTTTGAGTTTCTGATCGGGTGTGCTGGGCTTTCGTTTGGGCCGGTCGACTTCCACGACCACTTTTGTCTCGTTCTTTGTGTCCCTTTCGTCTCGGCGGTACTTTTTTCTGGCCATTTCTTCGCGCAATTTCTTCTGTTCTTCCAACTTTTTCACATATTCTTGGTCCAGGCCTAACGCTTCAGCACATTCGATCGTATTTTTCTCTTCTTGCGTCTTCCTTTCATCTCTTTTTGGCCTTGTCCGATCATTTCTTGGTCTATAAGGTTCACGGTCTTTTTCTCTGCTGTCTCTGCGATATCTTCGAGTGTCTCGTCGATGACTGCGTTTGGGAGAGGGTCTTCTACGACTCCTTTGGCCGGCCGACTTGCTCCTTGATCGTATCGGTGATCTGGACCTTGATTTACTCGGGGACCTCGAGGACCTGCTGTATGATGAATAAGACGAGGATCTGCTCCTTGATGAGTATGACGACCTTGACGATGACCGTGATCGACGTCTTTTCGCTGAAAATAGCAAAATCAGCAAGAACTTAGACTAAAAGTTCAAACTTTTCTTGTGATCCATCATGTGTAATATCCAAGAATCCACTAAAAACCAAAACAACAAAAATAAAAAGCACTTACAAGCTTGTGTCCTCTTCAAGAAGTCCTCTACGTTGCTATCCCAATTGCTTTTTGGCCCCGGATCACAATGGCCAGCCCGAGCGATAGTAACTTTCGGTTGAGTTGGAGGTGGGATCATCGCTCTGAATCTAATGGTCCCGTCATGATCTTGCACAACTTGAGCTACTGGGCCACTTGTCGGCACTGGAGGGACGAATTGACTGACCACTGTTTGTCCCGGAGCAACTGGAAGAAGCGGTCGCATAATTGGTGCGGGAGCTCGTTGCATTGGAATAAAAGGAGGCGCATGAATGTTCGTGGGTGGCACATGGAACACTGGAGGCGGTGGTAAGGTGGTTAGAGGGCGGGGACCAACATTAACTGAAACATCGTAATTTTTTAAAAAGAAAAACATTATTTTAGGTATGCTGATGTAAAATTGGACAGATCTTGACGGTAATTCGTAATTTCGGCAGAAATTGAGTACGGACAGAAAGAAGAAGACGTTGGCTTGCTCTAAAGATCAATCTTTCACCTAAAAACCAAAGAAAGAATCTCGAAAATCGACTTACAAGGTAGCCGACCCTTGAACTTCGGGTTAACATAACATTTCACTGATCCATTCTTCACTGGTGGTGTGCTTGGCACAGGCTTGCTTTCCACAACCTTACTATCCCCAGTTTCGTCCACTTTCACTTCCGTCTTCACAGAAACATCCGGTTTTGGAGCCTGCGATATTGTAGTAGTTGGTTTTCTTTCGGACTCAAATTTGTCCCTCGGTTTCTTCTCCTCCTCCTCATCTTCGTCATAATCCAACTGCTCCTCGTCCTCACACTCTTGACTAGTGTTCAGTGTCTCGGATTCGGTGGGGTTTTCATCGGTTCCAAGCAAGACATCTTCATCGATCTCTTCATTCCCATCAAACTCGTTATTGCCTCCAAATTCATCAAAGTCGCCTTCCTCCAAGGCACTCATTTCGTGCGGCACACTGAAACCAACCAACTACATCCCATTGAGAAGGCGGAAAACTGTTAAAATGCACGAACTCGCGAGTACACTACAATTTTATATCTAAAATAAGATTACAGCGCGTTGTAAACTCCCATCTCTCTAATTGCACGCCCTTTGCGTTCAAGAGTTCGGTTGCCATAGCTGTGGAGTCATAAACACCCCCGAAATAGGCATTCAACTTCAAACTGAGCGTTTATATCCGACTACACCTACATTTACGGCAAGTGTAATATAAATGGAGTTGAAAAGAGTGGAACGGATGATGAAGGGGTATAAACGATGCGGGATTTCGCAAGCTAATATTAGACTGGAGATTTCTCCGACAAAAAATCCGAGAATTTAGCTGTTTTGTTGGCATTCCGTTCCAAAATTTGTTTTCGTGGTGGGACTCAGAGAAATGGTCGGTGAAAGTGAAATTCCGCCTAAACTCGGGGAAAAAACTGTCGCAGAATGTTGGTAGCTTCTTGAAGTTCCTAACCAAAGCAATTTTAGCTAGCTTTTCTATCGTTTTCTCAAATTTATTGACAATCTTATTGTACTAGATCCGGATGTAAAATCCGCTTTTTTATTGTTCTAAAAACAGCCAAACCAAGGCGAATATAACAATAAAATTTATTTTTTAGCTTTTTGTCAACCTTTTTGTAAAGAATAAGACACGAACAACTGAGGAGAGTCGGGTATTTACACTAAAACAATGTAAATTGCTGGAAAACGTGAAAACTGAATGTTAGTGGGCGGAAATGGCAGAAATCTAAGGCAGCACCATAGAAAGGACTAGATTATTGTTCTCTGATTATGTTTCAATCGAGTTTCGGGCGAATTATCCCCATCCTCCGGTGAGTTTGTGGAATTTCTCCTCGTCTAGCTCTTGGTTTTGTTCTTTGGAGCGGAGCGAGACGAAAATGTAGCCTCCGATGAACTCGTGGACTACCTTGCAGTCTGCGGAGAGGGGTTTGAACTCGATTTCCTCGTTGTCGAGTTGGATCTGGAAGAAAAATCGGGTAGAATGGGTAAATTTGGAGTAAATAGCTAGCTTTTAGGTGGAAAATCTCAAAATTTGATGTTTTTGAAGGGAAAAACGGTTTACTTAGCACTTTTCGCCTGTCTAAAATGAAAGATAAGCTCTTTTATTGTCTAAAAAATTCGAAATCCACCTGTAATCCCCTTCTAAACAAGAAAATTTTCGTCATCTGCTATTTTGGCTACTACAAGGTAATATTTGCGAAATTTCAACTAAAAAATCAAAACTTTTTTTTACTTTTTCGCATCCAAAATCAAACTACAATCAATTTTCTATCCAAATTCGTCAAAATCCCCTAGTTTTAACGCTCAAAACCCCTCCAATTTCACATTATATTCCACATGCCTACCTTAATGTGTCGGATCTCCCAGTTCACATGCCACTTCTGCATTTGGTTGAAGGGCCAGGTCTTGAGGATCTCCCCATTGTCCGGGTTGATCCTCATCAATCGGTTATGAGTGATAGCGATCAGGTCGTTCTTTTTGGCGCCTTGGAATCGGACAACAAAGTAGTGGAGGCCGTGTTCGGGCAACGCTTCCCAGGTCCGAATGTATTGAAGTTTGGCCTCGGTAGACGACAAGTTTTTGACGTTATTGTGCGCATCCGCGATTCGTTGCTGCAGACTCTGCTTGGAGCGGGCTTTTTTCACGTAGCGTTGGGCAACAAAGTCGTCTACGACAAAGTCGTTGGGAAGTTGGACGGATGGCGCGCGTTTCTGGCGCGCTTGCCCGTTCTGATCCTTGGGGGTGGCCTGCATTTGGAGCACCTTGCGGATGTTCTCCACTTCTGTTGAGTAGCTAGCATCGGCCATTGTTTTTCCGCGCGACGCAAGCCGGCAAGCCGCCATCCATTTGGAGAAATGATGCTCCTAAAAGACAGTAAAAGTCATTTAGGGTAGTCTTGTGTATTCTGCATTCAAATTGTTAAATTTTGACAGCAAATGCATGTGGTTTCGCGTTTTGGCTGATTTATAGAATTCTATTTCTTTTTGGACCTTACAGTGGCGGAGCTGATCCAGTGGCAAAAAACGTACCATTTTGCATCCGGGAAGTATCAAAAAATGTGGCAAAATGCCCTCTCCAACTAATAAAAAACTCCGTTTTGAAGGGCTCCCTCACAAAAAGAGCGGGCGCGCTTTTGAAATCGAGGTTCTTCACGAGAGGGAGGTATTTTACTACATTTTTTGATACTTTCCGGATGCAAAATGGTACATTTTTTGCCACTGGAACAGGTCCGTCACTGTAAGGTCCAAAAAGATAGATCTCTACAAATCAGCCAAAACGCAAAACCACATGCTTTCGCTGTCAAAATGTAGCAATTTTGTCATCAAGTCCACCACTGTAGTTTAGTCGAAAATCGTCCTTTTCTTCATTCTGACGCAATTTTTTACTCGGATTGCTTCCAGAAGAGAGAACAGGCTGTCTACTATCTATTTCTAGCTATTTCCTCCATTTTTTCAATCCTTTCCTTCATCGTTAGGCCTTAACTTACATTATCACACTTCAAAATCAGATCGGTCATTCCCTCCGCAGTAGGCACTTGAATCTTAATGTGATAGATGCCCTTTGAGACATTGACTTCTTGGCCAATTTCGCACCCCTTCAAGTTGTAGTCGGCTTGAGGACGGGCATTCGTTTCTTGCGCACTGTTGTACATGTACAAGTAAAGGTCGCGGAAGACGAAATAAGCGCGCTTGAAGGTTTTGAACATTCGCTTCGGCTTGCAATATCGCAGATAGTCCGCAATCTCTGGGACTTGCGTCAGATCGCGACGTTGGAGAGTGGCACTGGCATCCAGAGTTCGTTCCAGTTCATCTAACATTATGTCCACAGCATCTCTTTCTGGGGTCTCACGTTCTGGAGATTGTCGTTGGAGGGTTGCTTGGAGCTAGAAAGAAAGATATAAGTTAAGATCTTGCGGAAATTGGAGAAAATCAGAGATTTTTGACCTTATTTTAGACAAAAATAGTCTAAAAATCAATTTTCTCCCAATTTTTAGAGTTTTTTCTCATGAATTTATGAACAAATCGATCGAATTAGCCCCTGATCTCACCTGTAATGCAGCGAACAGGTTGGCTTCCTCCTCTGTGGTTTCGGTTTCCTCCAGCAGAATCGAATTCTTTGCTTGTTCGAAGATCTGATTGATTCTGACGGGGTCGTATTTGGTGTTCAGGTCGTAGAAAGTCAAGAACTTGAATCTCAACACAACCAGGTCTCCCTCGCAAATTCCCTGCTCCATCAGCGAGCGAGAGGAATCGAGCCATCCCCGATTCAGCGCCGCTTTTTCGACCAAGTTTTGTGGTCGGAAAGCGTCACGGCTTGGTCGAGTTTGTGGCGAATGGACGAAGCGGGGGTCGAATTCGTCGGCATCCAGAGGTTCGGTGAGGCCGGGCTCGGGTGTTCGGCCGACGGCCTCGCGATACGCGGCTGGACCGGGACTCATGCCTCGAGGCAAAGTTCCGGCTCTGGGCATGGTACCGATCTCGGAGGCATTGAAAGAGTGGCCGGGACCTGAAATGAGGAAATTTTAGTGTTCATTCCTAATAAATCTTCTGAATGACACTCTAATTCAATGAAAAGCCGTTTCGGATATTTACTGGGGGTTATGAAGTATACCAGTAACTACCAAAACCTTCGCTATGTTCACACGAATTTTATGGACGTTCAACTGACCTTCCAAGATAAAATCTGTCCAGCACAATTGCCGGACATTCCAAAATTTTGCGCTTCAGCCGCACTTACATGAGCCGAAGGTATAACCAACCTCAAGTTAGGCTATATATAGCAATGTCAAATCCTGTGGAACTGCGGGTAAGAAAATCACTAACAACTTTTGGACTGGGGTAACCAACAACTTTCTCTGCTTCTCTAGCCCCCTCTCTTTTCGCGTTCACTCGGGTGTGTCTTCTTTGGTCGTGCTAATAGCCGAGTGCGAAAACGGCATCTCGTCCGATCTGACAAGTTAAGCAATGGTGCGCTTGATCAGCGCAAGTTCGATTCCTCCTGGCTGTTTTTTGTTTCTTTTTTGTTCTTTTTCGCAGTTTTGGTCGAACTTCAATCGCATAATCTTACCTAAGGTTCCAGCAATCGAAGGGGATTGCTGTCTTGCGGTGTTGTTGATGGTTCCGGCTCTAATCGGCTTCAACGTTCTCATCGTTCCGGGTCCAATCGACTCCTCTCCCGGTTTCGCGGCGGAAATTGCGGCAGGCTTGTCCGACTCGATGTTAGCGCCTTTTTTAAGGACATCTGCGGGGATATCTCGTTTGATGGAGAGCTCAACGGGATGACGAATTCCCAGCTCAGCGGCCAACTTTTTGACCACCTTGAGGACTGGGACGGAGAAATCGAGGTGTGGAGTGATGATTTGGCCGTCGGGAAGCTCGACACTGTAAATTTTGAGGTCAGATGGGACAAATTATATTGCTGTAGCCATTTCTTGAATGTTTTTCTATTATAATTCCATACCGAGTCTCCTTGTGCATTGGAGTGAACTCCAAATAGTGTGTGCTGTTCACTCCGACCTGGTCCAGCGTACTTCTGGTGTGCTTGAGCCAGCGGCGGCGGTCGGGCCACCATAGCGCGTGATCGGACCAGTCGCGGGTGTCTCTGATCTCACCCACCAGTTGCGACATCACCTGCCCCAAGGCGCTATCGCCTTTCACATCGATCTCGCGCGAGGTTTGGAGGTCGGTGATGTAGACGCCCAACTTCCAACGGGCGTCGTTCACCGAGAACCCATCTTGGATAAGATGGGTCATGATGAAGACTAAAATAATGTAATTTTTTTGTTTTCATATCTCATAGAGTTTAGAATACCATCTCGAAGGTTCAACGAACAGCCACGGATACTTTGAAAGCAATAATTTCGGAATTTTCATAAGTTTTGAGCAGAAATTTGCTTACAGTGACGAACCTGATAAAATTCCAAGGATTTATTTACTTTTCCCCTAGGGTCATTTGTTGCCCGAGCTAATTAGATGTTTAAAATTGGATGACATCTGGGTATTTTAGGGTAAAATACCACTTGTTTGAGTTGGAATGACATAGTTTTGAGCAGTATTACAGATCGTTTTGAATTTCTAATCAAAAATATATTGTAATGGCCATTTTTGGCCTAAGATAAAGTGACGGACCTGATCCAGTGGCACAAAACGTTCCATTTTGCATCCGGGAAGTATCAAAAAATGTTGCAAAGTACCTCTATCTCCAAGCGAAAAGCTCCATTTTGTTATAAAAGCGCGCCCTTCAAAACGGAGTTTTTTAGTTGGAGAGGGAGTCACTTTGCTGCATTTTCTGATACTTCCCGGATGCAAAACGATACGTTTTTTGCCACTGGATCAGGTCCGTCACTGTATTTTAGGCCAAAAATGGCAATTATAATATAATTTTTGCTTAGAAATTCAAAACGATCAATAATACTGCTAAAAACGATGTCATTCCAGCTAAAACAAGTGGTATTCTACCCAAAAATACCCAAATGCCATCTAATTTTAACCATCTAATTAGCCCGGGCAACAAATGACCCAAGGGAAAAGGTAAATAAATCCGTGGAATTTTAAGAGAGATCAACAGAAACATTGGCCGAGACGCGAAATAATGGCCAACGAACGGCTGTTCCCTGTTTACTAGCTAGAAAATTGAAGATTTTTAGTAAAAATCACCTAAAGTAAGATGATTTTTGCTAAAATAAGATAATTTCCAAGTATTTATTAAATTAAAATCGGATTTTCAAGAGTTATACCGCCGAAATGTCAAATAAAACGACATTCTTTCCACGCAATCCGTAGTTTGTACAGAATTTCGGGTCTCCTGGAGATGTTTTTCTTTTCGATTCTTACAAAAGACGATTATGAGTCAGCTGGGCTCTGTACACAGTATTAAGTAAAGCGCCAAATTTGACGCTTCAAAAGAGAGAAATAAAAAGAAATCGAATCAAGGAAACTTTTAGGCGGTCTTTTGAAGTTTTGGACCTAAAATAAGGTGATTTTAGATGAAAAATAACTTTTTGGGGTCAAAAATGTGTGAAATGATCTGATAGAGTGTGAAATGACGGTGATACTAGAAAAAATATAACGGCTATCTAAAGAGAAATTTGGGCCAACTTTTTCGTAAATCATCTTAATTTTGAATCAAAAATTTTAAAAATCGAGTAAAAATTGTTGAAAAGCGTTTGATAGAAATTTCTTTTCGACATTTTTGATTAAATTAATACCTTCTCTGCGATATAAAACCCAATACTAAAACAATATATTGCATATGAACTATGGGTTTCAAAAATAAACCCTGATGTCCAAGTATAATATAAGTTCCCAATTTTAAACTCCAAATCGATCAATTGGTGTTCCAAACTTAGAAAACCAGCCCCAAATCGGATATAAGCCTCTCGGATCAAGCTCCGATTACAATACGACACCCAAAAACAAACCAAAACCCGTTCGCCCGACCTCCAAAAAAAGCCGCAAATCAAGGTAGCGTTTAATGCAAAATCCTCATTCATTATGCGAGAGAGGAAGCCTTGGCTTATGCCTCCGATCAAATGCCAATACCTCCCGAAAGCTGGGTGTGCTTCTTTCGCCTTCTCCTTCTTCTCCCATCGCCCACTCAAAGCGCCCCGCTCCGATCGGGAAACGAGGGAGGAAAAGGCCACAACCTGGCCATAAACTCAACGAATTCTTGGCGCTCTTTGCGAGAAAAAGAATGGTCAAAGACCGGGGTGTTGTGATTGCCATGCTTTAGGACAATTTAGCAGCGTTTCCGAGGCGTTTTCGGATATTATCCATGACATTAGACATGGCTGGGAAAAAGAGGTTAAAAAATGATTTTTCACTTCCGTATTTTACCAAACTATTGTTGAACATGAAAAACAGAAGATTCGTTATCAGTCGGAATCTGTTTTCCCACCAAATGAAGCCTTTATCAACAACAAAAACACCTCCGACATTACACTAGACCATCGGAAATTTCGCCTTCAAGACGAAAGCTTCTGGCCTATTCAAACGGCCATACACCTTGTCCAAAACGCTCTCAAAGTCTTGCCCGAACGAAAAACAAGCGGCTACTCCACATTCATCGCAAGAAGATTGAATAAAATATGTCATTCAATACTCCAATGACCGGAAATGAACCGGGATTTTACACTGGATTTATTTGATTTGTTTGCTCGGGAAATGGTGAATACTATTCCAAATGGCCCGAAAATTGCTTGGAACATAAAAATATTTCGTATTTTAGCTAATAAAACTGAAATTTTTTGGAAATTTCAAAATTTTTGTGACTAAAATAAGATAATTATAAAACATCTCGACCTCGGCGGCGAACTACGTTTTATTTCCGTTTGAATCGTAAGACAGTTATATTGGGAAGGTCATTTTTCAATTACTGTGTAAAAGATAGTATTAATAGCTAATTTCACAACAAAAACAAGCTGATTCATCAAAAAATTGCAGAAAAATCGGAATTTCTCAAAGAATCGTAACAAAGGAGAACAGAAAAGAAAGCACCTTGTCGATTACGACCACACAAAGGATGTTACGGATATAACAAATCTTTTCGGATCGTAAAAATTTCATTTTTCTTCGGAATTCCGCTGAAACCGGACTCCAAATTGATAGGCAATTTTCCACGCAAAATCCAGACCCCAAATTCGATATAAAACTTTATTCCCCGGGCTCCAGAAGTTTGTGGGACGCCCGATTTTACGATTCTGAGCTTACTCTGTAGAAAGCGGAAAAGCATTATGCTAATTTCGGCGTTCCGCCGCGCAAACATTGGATGCCAAGAGATCTTGGCATTCTGTTCAAGGGGCGGTTGCGCGTTATAATTCCTCGAAATATCGCTTCCCACCCGACTTGGGGTGTAATTTGGGGCCTGCATATTTTATGGAGCGTTAAATCCAGTCAATTTTTCGCGCTCGCGACCAGCTGATATCACTTTAGTATGTTATCCTTGAAGGCTTCGTTTCGGTCCTCTCCAATTTCCCGGAGGTTTTTACAGTCGAAGCAAGAGAAAACGAGAGGGTTTCTTTCCGAATCGATCGCACTTTTTTCTAAGATGATTCATGTCGAACACTAATTTTTCGATTCTAACAGAGCTGAGTAAGCCGCCGGCTTTCGCCGAGCATTATTTATTTTGTATTGTTAGCTGAGAGAATTTTTAAATACGCTCCCGTTTCAGGTTGCCGGAGGTCTGGAAGAGGGATGGAGGCAAATAGTGTCATATGATGCGCTTATAGCGTCTCTTTTTAAATCGCGGTTTGTTAAAATTTTTGTCAAGTGTAATATCGAATTTTTTGAAGTTAGGGAACCGGATATTGACTAAATATTTTCTGTACTAAATTTGAGAATTTATTTATAGCCTTTTCTTATAGATGAGTTGCGATTTTAAATCCTGTTTTGCAATTTTTGAAATGATTTATTTCACAGCGAGCTCATGGATAATATATTGATGTATATGTCGGCCATTTGTTATTCGATTGACGTGAAATTTTGCACAAAGCGGTATTACACCTTCATTAAACTGAAACGGGTTGTTTCACTGTAATAGTTCGATGAGTTTTGTGAATTTCGACGGTTTTAGTTACCTAGTACAATATCAGAAAGAGGTCTGATTTTCAACATGATAACAAAGATCAAACTTGAACAAGTTTGATCTTTGAGTAATATTAGACACATATTTCTATTTATTTATGCAAAGTTTTATCGAATTCTATCTTTTTACCTTCCCAATATTACACCTTCTCCATGGGCTATGTCAAATCTCGGAAACCTTTTGTATTTTTTAACGTTTCGCAGCTCTGTTTTCTGGTCCGCGTTTATTTACCCATGGCAATTAGCCTGAGGGCGATCCTTGACATTATTTTGCACGCATGGGGTTTTTTAATTACTCGTTCCAATTAACCAGTTTTTTTTCAGAGTTCATGCTTTGGTGCTCGTAGTCGGATTGGATTTGTAGAATTTAGAGCCATTCCTAAGTGTCAAAATGCCTGTCCCTGTCCGATTGAATGTCTATGACATGTATTGGCTGAATGACTATGCTTCGCCCATTGGATTTGGGATCTTCCATTCTGGTGTGGAAGTTCATGGTGTTGGTAAGTAATTTTGTTTTGTTTTCTAAATTTAGATTGATGAGAAAGAATGAGCTTGGGGTTCTGCGCGGATTTCGTCCTCGTTTAGGGATGTTTTAGAAGGTTGTCTTTGATTTTTGACATCTTCGGACAAAAAAAAAAACGATTAAACGTCTTAAAGTTCCATCAGATTTTTAGCCGAGGCAGGTAATAGCCGAATCCAGCAAGAATTTTTAGTTCCTACGCCAGTTCTTCTGCCATTTTGAAGTCAATTTTTTCTTTCTCGATATTAGTCATAACGCAAAAGCTTCAAATCGAATATAGTTATCTCTATATTTCAGAATACGCTTATGGAGGGCATCAGTTTCCTTGTTCGGGCATATTCCACAACGAACCACAGGATGCGGAAGAACTTGGGGAGAATTTCAAATTCAGGGAGAGCATTCTAATAGGCGAGACGAGTTTGACCAAAAAAGCGGTCGAAAAGCTGGCCAAGAGTTGGGGAGACGAGTACCGAGGCGACAGGTAAGATATTGGCATGAGTGGGATTAGGTCTAATGCCATTTAAATTTCAGGTATCATCTTATCACCAAGAACTGCAATCACTTCACAGCCGAATTTGCCCGAGAACTCACCGGAATTGAGGTCCCAGGATGGGTGAATCGACTCGCAAATGTCTCAAATTCGATCCCATTTTTGGACAAATGGATCCCTCAGGAATGGCTCACACCCATGGCGCTAGCTGAATCGTTGGACAGGGAAGAGAAAAAGACCTTGAATTACCCGGTGGAAAGGGCGGAAGAAGCACTCTTCGAATGCGGCTCCCCAAATTCAAGGAGGAAAATGTCGAATGGTAAGGGGGAAATTTTTGGTGGAGAATGTCTTGTGAAGCTTTTTAGAAGCTTTGAAAGTAGTCTTGAAACAAATATTGCTTGATTTATATCGATGCGTTTACAAAAAGCAAAAATCTTTGCCTTGTATAATACAGGGTGGTTCAGCCGGAGCTTCTAACTTTATTTCAAGTATTTCTCCGCCAATAATGCATCAATTTCTATAAAGTTTATATCAAATTGAAGCTGAGGAACCCTATTTTTTGTCCACCGAATATGACGAGATCAAGTTCACAGAGGCCCCCGTACTGACCTTTGACATTTTTATTCCAAAATTTGGAGCCCGAAATCGGTGAAACTTGGAAAATTTTTGCAATGATTTTCAATTGAGTTTCTCGGACTTAACCCAGAACACAAGAGCAAGGTTAATTACGATTATCCGTTGACTGCCGAAATTTTTTTCCGAGAACTCAACTGAAAATCATTGCAAAATTTTTGCAAGTTTCATCGATTTCGGGCTCCAAAATTTGGAATGAAAATGTCAAGGGTCAGTACGGTAGCCTCCGTGAACTTAGGCCCGTCATATTTGGTGGACAAAAAATGGGGTACCTCAGCTTCAATTTGATATATTTTTTATAGAAATTGGTGCATTATTGGCGGAGAAATGCTCGAAATAAGGATGGAAGCTCCGGCTGAACCACCCGGTATTATGCCAGGCAAAAATTTTTGATTTTTGTAAACGCATCAATGTTTTGCGCCTCGATCTGAACTGAGAAAGAAATAATAGGCCGTACGAATTGTGGTGAAGCTGTTTTCATCTACATTCGATAAGAGAATGTAAAAAATTTTACAATTTTTCAAACTCTCAGAGCAAAATCTGAACCCCGGGACTCGTCGCTCATTCTTCACTCGCCGAGTCTCCGAAATCACCGGAGGATCGGTCCCAAACACTGCCCGGACTGTTGGAAACAACACCACACAAGTCTTCTCACGATTCTGGAACTCGATCAAGAACCTAGCTTCGGAGGAAAATTCCCCCACAACATCGAATGGGATCCGCCTCCCCGCCAAAAAAGGCCCCGTGGAAATCGACTAACAACACCTCAACGCGCAAATCAAGTCCAACTTTTACTGGTCCTAATAGCATTATCAAACTGTAAATATATCACTCTTCCACTATAATACGTTGTAGTCTTAAATTTTGACTTTTTTCACACTGTAAATCAAACGAAATTTATGGAAATTATGCTAGTTATTGGCAGTGGTTCAAGTCTTACAGCACTTTCATTTTTTTTTTTTTGAAAAATTTCGAAAATTTTCGTTAATTTTTTTCATCAAAACAACGTAGGAAATGCTGGAAATTGCGGTAAAAGTCACAAAGAACAATAGATTGCAGCAATTTCCGCCTGAATCGCCCAATTTTTATCCATTTTGAGTGCCTAGACCGAGACAAATCCCCTTCCTAAAGTCGATGTGTTCTGTTGATCACTACGTGTATGCCCCAAGTCTCTGTCCCAACCTCTTCGAAATGCCTTTGAAATTGACTTGAATTATCTTCCCGAATTTCACAACTCTTCAGCGAAAAGTTTTTGACTAAAAACGGCGATTCCTTTGCGATTTTCTTCGAATTCGTTGTAAATACTGATGGTGGAGAAGGTTTTTTACGAATAAAGATTAAATCACCCCTTTCTTTGACTGTAAAATTTAAGATTCTTTCAACAAAACACACCTAAAGTAATGTCGGAAGTCCGAAAGACACTCAAATTTATCGAGAAGGCGTATTTTACAAAATAAACTCATTTTCTGAAAAATTCCGGCTATAGTTTGATGCAATTTCGAAAAATTACTTCATTTTACATAACAATTCGTAAAACATGTCCGAAACTTATCTAATGTTACCTAAAAAGGGGGAAAAATCGTTTACTTACTCCAGGCCACATCAATCAAACCTTGGTCTAGCGTCAACCACGCTGGATTGACGCGTGATGGACGATTCCAAGCCGCGGTAAAATATTTTCCACATATATCGTAATAAAAATATTTATTTCAAACTCCTGCTATATCATCTTGGTATAACCATAAGAAACGCTCCGTCATTTGGCCAAAATCCAGTCCCTTCGATGAGACTGTATAGAATTATTGAGCCAAATATACCCCGAATGGAGCGTTTCTTGTGGTTATCCCAAGATGGTGTTGTAGGAGTTTGAAATAAATATTTTTATTACGATATATGTCGAAAATATTTTTACCGCGCTTTGGAATCGCCCATCAAACGTCAATCCAGCGTCGTTGACGCTAGACCAAGGATTTGTCGATGTGGCCTGGAGTAGGCAAACGATTGTTCCCCGTTTTTAGGTAACATTGTATAAGTTTGGGACATGTTTCCCGAATTGTTACCTAAAATAAGGTAATTTTTCGAAATTGCATCAAAATGTAGTCGGAATTTTTCAGAAAACGTGTTTATTTTGTAAAATACGCCTTTGGCTTATTTTACAAAACTATAAAGTCATGAAAGTAATTTCTGTCCAAATTCCCGGACATTGAGCATTTCAATCGAAACCCAAAATATTCATTTATCAGAATGACCGTCATACAGTACGAATAAGGCAAGGGGATCACTTGGAGTGGGATTTCGGGATGTTCCACCACGGGAAAACGTCGGGTTCTACTTTCCTCCCGCCCCGACTGTAGCGCAGATGAACGTAGACGGTGTAGAAGCGGATCAGCGACTCGACGTCGGTGAAGCGGGGCGGATCCTGCTCTCCGCATTCCACGTAGTGGAAGAGCTGGTCGTCAATGACAACGCTGTTGACGGGGAGGTGGCTGAAAATAAAAATAGGACTTTTTTTGAAAATTCGAAACTTCAAATAATGCGATATTATGACAAATTATCCATAAAATGTGTCGTAACACACCAAAAAAATCTAGAAAAGCTGTCAGCATGACACATTTTTTCGAATTTTTTTTTGAAATTGGAAAAAATGCGTAATTATGACAAATTAAAAAAAAATCTAGAAAATCTGTCAGCATGACATTTTTTTCGATTTTTTTGAAACCACAAAATGCGTAATTATGACGCATTTTCCATAAAATGTGTCATTGTATAAGAGATATTTTCCATAAAATGTGTCATAATGACCCATTTTCAAAAACACTTCTAGAAAATCTGTCAACATGACATTTTTTTTTGAAGTTTCCCCTAAAAAATCAAATATGACCACTTTTTCGACCGAAATTTCCCCCAAACTTACCAATACCCGCCCTTGCTGGTTCTGTACACCACAAACATCTTCAACGAGGACTGCAGGTCCGCCAAATTTTCGGTAGCACTCAGCTTATGGTAAAGTTTGAACTCGGTCTTCTCCTTGCACATGGTCATGGCTTGGAGTTCGGTCTGAGCGCCCAGATAAAAGTTCTCGTAATATTCGTCCTCCTCGTAGTAGATCGGCTCCAGATGGTCGGTTTTCTTGGCAACCGGATGACTGAAAAAAAAATCTCATCAAAATTTTAAAAAAATTCAGAAGCAAAGTACTTCTATAGGGTTACAGGTCGAGACATATATGAAAAAATTCGCAAAATTTTTCTGATTCAGAATGTTAAAATTAGCTGCTTAATTTGGGTTTGTAAGGGCGAAAAAATTTTTCAGAACTTTTCTTGCAACACCGCGCAAATGCCTTTTTGAGCAAGTTTTTACCAACGTGGTGTTGCGAGAAAAGTTCTGACGATTTTTTTCGCCCTTACAAACCAAAATTGGGCAACTAATTTTTACATATTCTGAATCAGTAAAATTTTGCGATTTTTTGATATATGTGACCTGTAACTGCATACCCCATAGAAGTACTTTCCTTGTGAAAAGAAAAGAAAACAAATTTTGTAAAAATCAAAAAGTCTTACGGAGTATAAGTTCCAGACCTCAGGATGGCCGTCGAAAGCTCCTCGGAACTGGAGGGTGCCGATTTTTCCGACGGTTTCTTCGGCAATCTCACCAACTCGGCCAATGGGAGCATTTCGTACGGGTTTTTCTTCTTTTTCTCCCCCTCCGTGATATCCTTCGGAAAAATGTAGTCATCCCTGCTACGACGCAAGCTTCGACTGGCTTCTTCCTGTTGAGTTATGAGAGGAGAAGCGCGCGAGCCAACCTGAAAATAAAAAAAAAAATTTTTTGCAGTGCAGAAAAGAGTGGCCGGATTTCGATGAAACTTGGCAGAAATTTAGAGTAGTTTTTTCATATGCGAGACTCCTAGCTCGCGTTTTGCAGAACCGACCGAGATTTTTTAGGGCGAAACTTGGCGAAAATTTGTAATTTTTTTGCGAATTTTGGCATGAAAATTTTCATGTCTGTTTCTACCGTAGAGAGTAATATTTCCATAAAAAAATCACTTTTTTCCGCGCGAAACTGGCCAAGATATGGCCAAAAAGCGCTTTTCTTTTGCTCGCTCTCCGCATTTCGCGTGCTCTCTAGGTGAAAAGGATTGTAGAATATCTCGGCTCTCTCTGCAAAGCGAGAGCTAAAATTTTCAACGATTGATATGTGAACTATACCCTATAAGTATGCAAAATTAAAAGAAAATCCAAGCCTCGCACTTAGATCCCTTGTCCATAAGTTGCGGCTCTAGTTTCATCGAAATCTGCTGGATTTCCCCCAAAAAAATCTCTTATTTCTCACCTCACAAGCGGTTCCATGTTCGCAGCAGGTGATGCAGACCTTCTGTGGGCGAGACTGGGCCACTTGCTCTGCTGAGGAGTCCGTATCCGACATCAAATAGCGACCACTGCCCTCCTTGAAATACGAACGACCGGATGGCACTGAAGAAGGGAATGGAAATCTGTGGGAATGAAATTTCTTTTGAGCTTTCATTTGTTTTTGAAAAAAATAAACGTAAAAAAGTCAGAAAAATCGGTAAGCCAAAAAAATTTTTTTGGGGCCTCCAAAATATACAAATTAGGGAAAAAGTTCCTTATTTTGGCCACAACAAAGGTACTCCGCGAACTGCGCCCAAGCTTGGGCACTAAAGTTACCTAGCTGGCACTGAATTACTATAATAGCTCTATAGTTTTAAGGGTACCTACGAAGGCTGTGACGACTCATTTAGTTCCATACGGAGGCAATAACTTTACTTCCGGACATTTTTCATCGTATAAAGTGTAAAATCACAGGCTGCAGCCGTTTTTGAAGGGTAAGGTGGTACGTAAAAAAGAAGGTACCTCACTAATTAAATCCACTGTTTGGGCATTGACAACGATGAATGGAGTGTGTAGGCTAAATTTGGGCTAATTCCGACCAGTTTCCGCAAAGTTATAAGTTGTGGCCAAAATAAGGAACTTTTACCCAAATTAGAAAAAAACAGATGGTACCCTTGATGTTTTATTGAGTTCTATCTATCTCCCATCACCATTAATTAGCTCTACTTTACGAAAAAAGTCTCCGTCAAAATTATTATAATAAAAACCTGTGATTTGAAACCTGGGCGCAGCTCGAAAAAATTCCGAAATTTGTGTAATTCAAAAATCTATGTAAATGGATTTTCTCTATAAAAATTACAATAAAACTTACTATTATCTTCGGGGGTTTCGCAAAATCCAAGACTGACCGACTGGCAAGTCGTCGAAAAAAGGAGAATAAAAAGGGGCTCAAAAAATGATTTTTGTATCGAAAATGCGAATTTTTCGAAAAGAAAACGATTTTTTAGAGCAACTTTTTGGTCGTTTCATAAGCTCCAAAAAGCTTAGGGTAAGGAAACTAAGGTTAGAAATAGCAAAAATTAGAAAGGTGATCTCACTGTAAGTCTTCGCCAAGTCTCCGCCGAGCCTTCGAAATTGCTTTCAAAAACAAAGCGAAAATACATTGTAAGGTTACTCAGAAGTCTATATAAGACGAACTTTCCTATAGCAAAACATATCTACAATGAGGATTTGCAAAGGTCCCTTAAGTCAATTTCACGCCGAAATAAACCTCCCTACGACGAAATCCTTCTATAACAAACACATTTTTTAGCCCCTTCAATTTTTTTTAGAAAGCTTTTTGAGTGTAACGACAGTTAAGTTTTCCCTCAGCGGTCATGCTCAGTCAAATTATTATGATCTCTGATCTTTTGGACATAATCCTTCGGCGAGTTCTTGCTGTTTATTTGCCCCAAGGACATAGCCTGTTTACGTTTTTAGCCGCAATTGATATTTACATCCCCTCAGGCTTGAAAATTATAGGAAATATTCATATGAGTTACATGTTGGGCGTGGTTTTTATTTTTTTGTCTCGAGAAAAGCACGTTTTGTTTGGAACAACTTGTATCTGCAAGAGCTGGAGCATTTTTAAGTGGTGATAGTGCAGAAATGGCTGTGGCCGGCAGGGACGAAGCTATGGGGAGGTTGGACTCCGGGTATCCCTAGATCGGGAAAAAATGAAAAAAGGGAATGGATTTTTAAACAGATGGTAACTATTATACCTGTGTTAAAAATTTTTTATTTTTCTCTGTGATAGCAATGATGACTAAAGATGTTCTTCTTCAAACAAGCTCGTAGCGATCAGCGCAAGTCCCCGAATTATTTTTGAAAGTTTTAGGTTTTGACTCGGTCTGTAATAGAGCTTCACCTGGATACGGATACAGACACTCATACGCAAGCTAGAAGTCTCTCATGCGTCTTGGTAAAATCTCGGTAGCTACTGTAAGACGCTCGCTAAAAATTTCTCATTCTTGTAAGAAAATTTTAGTCGTAATTTCTGCCAAGTTCTGTCAAAGCCCGACCTGTTTATTGTAGAATGCTATAGCCTTCGAAATGGCGGTGTTCAACGTATCGGTATATCCGTAACCGATAAGAACTACCGACACATGAATCACTGGTCGGTAAAGCAGTTTAATGAAAATATTTTCTAGACATGATCTATGTCCTACCCATTTCTATAGTTTTAACGTTGTTCTTTCAAATTGTATCCACAGTGTATTACAATTCGTCAAAGTAGCACCGTAACAACCACAATTATTCATTAAACGACACTTTTCTTTCACTTTTACGTCATTTTCAGCCCTTCCACGCCATGTTTTCCCCACCATCCATCTCTCACATTACCCTTCTAATAAGTGGCTTCATTGTCGGAGAAATTGGCATTTTGGTGTTATGCGACATGAACTCAAGCATTCAAACCTCGGCCCTCGAGTGTCTGAAGGCCCAGGAAATTTCGGAGAACACTCCGATCTTCGTCAGTATGATTGGCGAGATTTTGATGAGTTGTCTTGTTCTGCTTCAACTATATCGATGTGTAATGTTGGTGAGGGAAAAACATATTCAGCTGCATGCAAATTTAAGGGTAAGGAATTTTCTGAATTTTTCTAACATCAGCGTGCTATGCCTGAGGAACAGCACGCTAATTTCAGTGGTTTTTGGGAAATTCAAATAGAAGTTCTTTATCAGTCTGTCGGGAAAATAACGACCCAATGTCGCTGCGCCAATCGAGTCGCTGAAGTGAAAAACAATTTGGTTTCGCTGCGACACAATTCATTTTCTTGGCAACGATGCCATCTTAAGAGCGCTCATTATTTTCCCGACACACTGATATTGATGAACAGTGCTGCATTTCAGCTCCTCATGACCTGCGCGTTGATTGGCTGCATCTACACTTGCCTAACCTCCTTCGCATTTCCCTTCTTTTATCTATGGCGACGAAGTCGGCATGGCCAGCCCTGCGATTACATGTACGAAAAGTTGTACTGCTACAGTCTACGATGGCCAGTGTATTACGGCATTGTGTTCCAAAGTTTCCTGCATTTAGCTATTTCGCTGGAACGCGCCTTGGCCACCAAGTACATGCACACGTACGCGCAGGGATTTTTGTGGTGTGGAAGGGTGATTGCTGTGGGTGCGGTGAGTCAATCTGTCTGCATTTACAAGGGAAGGAAAAGCCTCTGTACGACCAATCGCAAGGACCTAGAAAATGTGGTCGTTTTATCAGTCTGTCTGGAAAATAATGAGCACTCTGTGGCATCGAAAATCACATCACGTCAAATTGCTTTTCGCTTCAGCGACGAGATCGGCGCACGTCAAACCAAGGAGTCGGATGACCGGGATAGACTCGTCGCTATCGGGTTTTTACATTTCGGTTTGAGTTCACAGAGAAGACAAAGAAAGGACGCGCAAAACGAGGATAATTGTGAAGCTGCCCCAAATTAATACCATTTTGCCCCCAAACACATGCCCCCAAACGAGCTTGGAAGCTGTCCCCCATAGAAAAAATAGTGTGGGGACCATACTTCAGGGTGAACTCACACCCCGGGCAAAAAAATTTAAAAAAATCGTGGTGGCGATTGCGTAACAAGTAAAAATTCTAAGATTATGACTAAATGTCGGATATAGGGGTATCGATGGCTCTGATTTCGAAAATGAGATTCATTTTTTTATGATTCTTACAATTTCGCTTAAGTATAATAGTACTGTGAAGTAGTCATTTTCGATTTTGTAACAACAAAAAAATATCAGCGAAAAACAATATAAAATTAAATAACAAAGTACAAACCGCATACAGAACAAGACACGGATGCCATGAAGTATTTCTCAAAATTAGCCGAACGGTGATGCCATAACGCTGCAGGTATCACTGAAGTCGGTTCGGACATTCTCAACCTTTGCCGTTATAACATCGTCAGCTAATGTTGGGAAAATGCTCCACCTCTCCGAGCTATTCTGATCCTTCCGCGACGTGTCGATTGTACGATGTGTGGGTCACGAGCTGAGTAAGGGAAAGGAATGAGGTTTACCTTGTAGTCGACCAGAATGGCGTGTTTTCACTGATTAACGCTCTTTTTACCATGAGGGCAGGAACAACTGTAAAAACCATCTTCTCCGCTGAGCTTGTAGAATACTTCCTTCAGCGTTCGATAGGACTCCAGGTCGTAAAATTCACCCTTCTCCAGTTTCAAGTGCATGTTGAGCATGTCTTGTTTACTGGTGGTCACTAGTTTGTCACTTGCGATGATGACAACATTGCCGTTGGAGCAGGAACATAGTGGTCGATTGGAACACTTCAAATCATACGCTTTTTTCAAGTCTTCAGTGGTTACGGGTGGAATCGTCGGAGGAGGATGATTCGCCAACTCGAAGCTTTTGTAGGATAGATTAGGCATGGCTCCGGGCCGGGCCGGGCCGACTAATTTCTCGGTCCGACCCCGGGCTTCGGTTTTTAGGCCCAGGCCGGCCCGGGCCTTGGCTTCCAGAACTGTTCTTACTAACAAGGGAATGGTCTGAACTTCCCCCAGCGTTAAGGAAAATGACTAGTACAGGTGGATAGAGCAGGTCGACTTTGGTAGAAAAAGGCAATTTCCAGCTGCAAAATAAGCACCGCCGACGAGAAAAACCGACCGAAACTTCCGAAAAAATTTCCTCTTTCTCTTCCCTCGGAAAAGAAGAGGAGCACCCAGTGGTTCGGTTAGTCGAGTGGATAGAGCGTCCGCTCGATGTCCTTTTGGGGGTTGGTTCGATTCCGGGGCAGCGCGAGTGGCTATGATAAGGCTTCAGCGACCAAGATAAACTCTTGTGAACCAAAAAAAATTATTTTTCAATTTTTAGATTTTCTAGAGATCATAAAACACATAAAAAAGGATTTCCATGTAAATTCCGCCAGTTTTTTTTCCAGAAGATTCCAGAACGTTCCCAATCATACTCCAATAAGGAGCAAACTGAAGCACATCTTGAGCACATTGGGGGTTTTGATAAACGTCCACTAGTGTTCGGAATACAGACAGTCCATGACTAGATTATTGAATATGACTGGAACCGTTCTGGAATCTTACAGAAAAAATGGAGGAATTTACATAGAAACCCTTTATTATTATGTGTTTTATGATCTCTAGAAAATCGAAAAATTGCAAAATATTTTTTTTTGGTTCACAAGAGTTTATCTTGGTCACTGCAGCCTTATCATAGCCACTCGCGCTGCCCCGGAATCGAACCAACCCCCAAAAGGACATCGAGCGGACGCTCTATCCACTCGACTAACCGAACCACTGGGTGCTCCTCTTCTTTTCCGAGGGAAGAGAAAGAGGAAATTTTTTCGGAAGTTTCGGTCGGTTTTTCTCGTCGGCGGTGCTTATTTTGCAGCTGGAAATTGCCTTTTTCTACCAAAGTCGACCTGCTCTATCCACCTGTACTAGTCATTTTCCTTAACGCTGGGGGGAAGTTCAGACCATTCCCTTGTAAAGAGTGTAATGTTTACACAAAAAAATATATTTTTTCAGTACCGAGCTGGCAAAGACGTGGCCAAAAAGTGTTTTCTCTCTGACCGCTCTCCGGGTTTCGCGTACTCTCTCAGCCGCATAGATTGTTGAATATTTTGGTCGTCCTTGCGAAACGCGAGCTAAAAATTTTAGGAATTAATATGTGGCCTATGCCCACATTATGTGCGAAATTTAAAAACCTGAGCGTTGCACTTGGGGTACTTCTACATATATCAGGGTAAAATTGGCTCTTGAAATTGTTTTCTATGAACGGGTCTTGTTGTCTTAAGTATTCAAAAGGAGCGTAGAAATAAAAAAAGTGTCAAATCCCACAAGCCCTCTAACGGTAAGCAGTGTATTCACTTTTCATTACAGCTACTCGCAGCAATTCTAATGGCCAGTTTGATCCTAAAACCCGACGATACGCTTGCCTACTTTACCTTCTGCAATATCACAAATCCCTCTACAGTCGTGCAAATGCAAGTTGGCCTCGCGGTCATGCTGACAATCGACTGTTTGGCGGTAATTACGGATATTACGGTATATACGATAAATTATCGAATTAAACGGCACCGCAAGAGAATGTAAGTGAGAGATACTGTATCATCATGCATCAACCGTATAGTATACATAAAACTTTTCGAAAATTATGGATTTTCCTCCAGATCGCCCAAGATTTACACCCTAACATGGTCGTATCAGCTGACGGAGAATAATTGCTCAACGACCATTGTCATTCCCGTTACTGTTTCTCAGAGCATTTGTTATTTGTTGTACATCACTTCTTCGTTGGTTGTGCGCATTACGCATCAAACGGGCGTCGCGTTCTACGCATTGACCAATTTCTGCTTTATGGGGAGTTTAGAGGGCGTACCTCTGCAATAGCCTTTAGATTAACCTAAAGAAATCGCTTTCTTTCAGTTCTTCCAGCTCAGCCTACTCACGGCGACCATTGCCTTTCATCACAAATACCTCATGAACTACAACAACCAAACGGAACGTCGAAATGCAATGAAGGAAAAACAGTCCAGCCAAGAGTATTTTACATTCTTGGAGCGACATCTGGACGAAGCCTATAAAAAACGGAGCGTTGTGACGGCCAAAAACAACTCCGCGATGAAAAATGTGGCTCATTCTGCTGGAGGGAGCGCTCCGGACCTGAGGCTGGACAAACACAACGGAGTGAACGTAATTATGATGAAATTGACGAGTTGTGAAGAGTAGATGGATAGATTGGAAATTCTGCTATATCAGTCTGTCGGGAAAATAATAAGCACAATGTCGCTGCGCCAATCATGTCGCTGAAGTGAAAAGCAATTGCATTTTGACACAAGAAATTTTTTCGGCGGCGATGCGATTTTCGATGCGACATTGCGCTCATTATTTCCCAGACAGACGGTTATGTATGTTACGCCCGTTGTCAGATGTTCTTTACAGTGAAAGTACAACTTTTTGGTCGTTTTTGAGCCAAGTCACGAGTACGCAACACAACCTTCCCAGTAACTTCAAGCAATTCGTTTAACAAAATCACGAAATTTTTGCTTTTCTAAATGGTGAGAAGGCTGGCTCCGACGGGAGCCGGAGCCGCTCAGAGCCGGAGCAAAGAGCCGGCTCCGGAGCCGTGGCAATCTCTGGTTGGGAGCATCAAAGGTCGCAATCGATGAAACTCTCTTAATTCACGTACTTCATTTGTGGCCTAGGCGGGCCAAAATGTTTCGACATTTTCGTGGTCGGGATCGCAAACTGAATTTGTGCGACAAACAAGGCCAATTAAAATTTTTGCCAAAAATCTCAATTCTCAAAACTTCCAAAAACTCAAAAAATAAATATTTATTGAAATACCTCCTTATCTTTCTCCTTGACCTCAACTTTGTACGTTGCCAACCCTAGTGCTGCGCCAAAAACGAACAATACGTCTGCCGTAATCGCCATCCAAAAGCTGATTCCGCCTGGACTGGAGGAATCATGATGATGCCAGCGGCCCGCAAAATAAAACACCGTTCCAATGCCCACGCAGGACGTTACGGCGGCCAGGAGATTAAAGACCGACAACATGAAGAAATACGTGGGTCTTACGCAGGTCGTGAAGACGATCCCGCAGACAACGCTGATAATTCCAAAGAGAATCGCGCTCATTTCCATGCCTTGGAAAATGTTGAACAATCCGGATCTTAAGCGACCTTCCTGAAAATAATCGACGATGGCGGAAAAATTGAGATTTTTTGATATTACAGTAGGTTCAGCTGGAAAAGGCCAAAAAATTCATAAAATTAATTTTTTTTTAATTCACAATATTTCACGTATTTCACCTTCAAAGGCATTAAAAATATGTTACCATAGTCTTTGGGCCAACTTTTTTTGAATTTTCGTTTTCCCGCCAAATTTGGGAAATCTCTGGCATTCTGTTTCAAGGTCCAAAAAGTGTTAAAAAAAGTATTTTTAAGCATAATTTAGTTGAATTTTGGTTGGAAAACACCTTTTTTGGCAAAAAACTCAAAATTTTAAAATTTTTTTCAAAAGCTTCGGGCGCAGCTCGAAATTTTTTTTTCGAATGGGCTATAAAAAAAAGAACTTACATTGCTCAAATCTTCGTTCATATATCGGCACACCTCCCTGTGTTCTTTGTTGACGAAGCAGAAGAATCCAAGCGCAGAGAACCAACGCTTCCCGACGTGCCAATGCGGCGAAACCATGGCGAAAACAAGCAGCAGAACAGCGGAACTTGTAAGGATAATACTCAAGGTTTGGACCACACAGCGACGACCGTGCTTCATCTTGGCAGAATCGTAGAATGAGGGGGTGAAATCGAGACAACAAAAAGTGAAAAAATAAAAAAAATCAAAAATAAATTTTTTAGATTCTTCAAAATTATTTTTTTTTTCAAAACGGAAAAGTATGACATTTTTGACCTTTTTTGGCCCTCAATATAACTGCAGCAAAGCTGACGAACCTATATGCTTGCTGAAACTGGATCCAGGACTAAGCTCGGGCGCAGCTTGGAAAAATTATTTTTTTAGTAAGGCCTCCAAAAGGAAGAATTAGAAGAAAAAATTAAAATCATTAATTAAAGAAGCTTCTGGTGCAAAAAAAAAAAAAAAAAAATAAAATTATTTTTTTTTACAAAAAAATTGTTTTTTCCTACAAAAAATCGAAACTTTCTCAAAGCCACCTTGTCAAAAAAAAGAAAAAAAAAATTTTCTTCTCAGAAATTAATTTTTTTTTTCGAATTTTCCTACTTCACTTTCCCCTCTAATTTTTTCTCGGTCCACTCTCAAACTCAGGTGTTCTCTCCGATCATGCAGTTGGCCGATTTGAACCAAGCCGCCGTCCACTCGATAATGGAGAATTGTTGGAATAAGCGGAAGGAGTGGAGAAAGCGACAACAAAGCAGCCAGGAGGCCAAAGAACCCACCGCGGTGACGTATGATGGCAGTAATGTGAGTCGTTTTGGGCTATTAAGCAAACTGTTGACTGTATTGGAAAAAGTTCCTTATTTTGGCCACAACAAAGGTACTCCGCGAACTGCGCCCAAGCTTAGGCACTAAAGTTTGGAAAGAACGCTTCGACCTAGCTGGCACTGAATTACTATAATAGCTCTATAGTTTTAAGGGTACCTACGAAGGCTGTGACGACTCATTTATTCCATACGGAGTCAATAAGTTTAGTTCCGGACATGTTTCATCGTATAAAGTGTAAAATCACAGGCTGCAGCCGTTTTTGAAGGGTAAGGTGGTACGTAAAAAAGAAGGTACCTCACTAACTAAATCCACTGTCCGGGCATTGACAACGATGAATTAAGCGTGCACGCTAAATTTGGGCTAATTCCGACCAGTTTCCGCAAAGTTATAAGTTGTGGCCAAAATAAGGAACTTTTACCACTGTATTATTTGCCTCGTTTCAGATTGTCACCCCCGCCAAACCCGAGAATTTGAATGTCAAATTGATGTTTGACACCGCCGGAAGTCCTGCATTGCCGGAACCCAAGAAGTCGACGACTGCCAATAAGTAATATCGACCTTGAAGTTTGACTGTTTTATTCAATAAATGATATTTTTGTAGAATTTTTTAAGTGTGATTTTGTTAACAAAAAAAAATTTTTTTTTTGATTTTTCCTTGAAAAATTCAGACTCTGTTACAGCTGAGGTATACCATGTTTCCACCAAAAGTAATTTTTCAAAGCAGAATTCAAAAAGTTATTGATAAAAGAAGTCGTTTCCGGGTGGACTCTCCTCATTTTCTGTGCTCTCTGGTTAAAAGATTGTTGAATATTTCAGCACTCGTTGTAACGAGGGGGCTGAAATTTTCAGAGATTGGTTTGTGGCCCATTAGGAGTGTCAATGCAAAATTTTAAGAAAATCGAAAGACGTTGTGTTTTCTGCAAAAAAATCACCTTGGTCCCCCCTTACCATTTTTTCCAAAAAATATTTTTTTGGAAAAAATTTCACAAAAAATTGCCTAAAAATCTATTTTTCATTCAATTCTTCGCCTTTTCTCAGTTTCCACGACTTTCAAAATGAGGAGCGGCTGTCGTTGTTTCACGCAGTTCTTCGGCATTTCAATCACTTTTTGCGCGTGTTTGTGCCTCGCCTTGGCGCTGTCGACGCCGTGGTGGTATCGGACGCAGGCGAATGTGGAGGTCGGAATTTTCACGTTGAATTGCAATGAATATTTGGAAGGTCTTGAGAAGGCGGACTGTCATCATGGAATTGAGAGACTGGTAGGACTTTTTTGAGCTACTCCGGAGTTTCAGAAATTCAAATTTTTAAATTTCCCGCCAAAAATAAAAACTCTTTGGCATTCTGTTTCAAGGTCTGGAATACAGGGAATTTTTGACTGGGACTCAAAAATAAGGTGTTAAAAATGTCCGTGAAGATTTTTTAGCTCTTGTTGCAGAATGCCAAAATTTTTATGTTTGGCGGGAAATTCAAATTTTCAATAAAAGATTGATCGTATTTGTTGAGCTACGTCGACATGAACTTAAATTTGCCTACAAAATTTTTTTGCTTACTTATTTTTGCTTATTTTGAGCCTTTGATACGGAATGCCAAAAAAAAATTCTTTTTGGCGGGAAGTTTGAATTTTCAAAAAAATGAGTTTTTTAGGGTTTGTGACGCCAAATACCAATATTAGTCAAATTTCAACCCCAGGAAGTATTTTTTCGGCACTTGTTGCGGAATGCCAACATTTTTTTTTGGCGGGAAATTTGAATTATCAAAATTTTTCCATTCTATTTTTGCTATTTCTTCCAGAAGGACCACCCATTCTGGATGCTGATGCTGGCAACCCTCGGAACGGCCACACTTTGCTCTTTTTTGAGCTCTGTAGCCGGATTATTCATCGTAACTTGCGCTTGTCATAAGGCGTTCCCAATCACTGGGCTTATGAATTTGATCGGCACGGCCTTGGCGATCAGTGGTGTTGTTTACTTTGCATATCTTTTTGCCGAAGATGGAATTACAAGTGAGTTGATTTTTAGAAGTTTTGAAGCTGCACAGTGCAAAAATTGTTCTTGTTTGAGCCGCACAGTGCAAAAATTTTCTTGATTTTCAGCACAGTGCAGATAGAATTTTTGACGGGTTGCACTGTGCGGTAAGAATTTCAAATTTTTCGCACTGTGCGAACGATTTTTTGCAATTTTTTAAAATCTTGATTAAATTTTGATATTTTTCGGAAAATTTCAGATTCTAAAATCAATTTCAGTGCATTTTTATTGCGATTTTTCCGGGTATTTTCCGAAAAATTTTGAAATTTCAGACACTTTCCAAGAGATTGGCGATTATATCGACAATAACTCCGGCTTCGGATACAGTTTTCTCATCGCAATCGGCGCCTCATGCCTCTTGTTGATCGCCGGAATTATCAACCTTTCCGTGGCCTGTTGTCGTGTTTAAATTATAAATTTATTTTGAAATTATTTTCTCTATAAAGTGCTCAACTGCATTCGGTCGTAAATTCATTCCTTTCGATCATTTCCTGCAGCTGAATTCCGGTGTTGATGTCCTTCCCGAAGAGCTGTGTGTTGTCGGGGAGTTGGCCGAGCGGGGTGAGATGCAATTTGAAGACGTTCATGCATTTCTGAAAAAAAAAATTTGGTCCAGGGCGCAGGTCGCATTGACTTTTTTTTGGCTAATATTTTTTGGCTCTAATTTCGATAAAATTTGGCTGAAATATATAATACAATGATTTTTTCTGTAAAAAATAGCCCAGACTCCTAATTTTTTTTGAATTATTCCTTACCTCATCCACCTTGTTGATTGCCCCACAATTGGTCGTAACAGTGACGTCAAGCCCATAAATGCCGTCTTTGAAGAACCAAAATCGAATAATCCCCTCGTCATATTCGTCAAAATGGATGACATTTGGGGCTGGAAATTATTAATCGGTCGTATTATAGATAATTTAGCGTAAAAAGTTTGAATTTCAAATTTCCCGCCAAAAATTTTAAAACTTTGGCATTCTGCAACAAGTCTCTGAAATGTCAAAAAAGCCTGTTAAGGCCCTAAATTTACATCATATATGAAAATGTAGCGTATTTAACCAGTTGCAACAGAATGCCAAAACGATTTGTTTTTGGCGGGAAATTTGAAATTTCAAAATTTTTGGTTTTATGGTACCGAAAAATCGAGATTTAGTAAAATTCTTACTCCAGCAAACATTTATTCGGCTTGTTGCAGAATGCCAAAAGAAGCTGTTTTGGCGGGAAATTCGAAATTTTTAATTCACAATCAAATGAAAAACGCCTTACTCAAAGCGTCAGTATCAATTTCCACAGTTCCGTACAAGTAAAGTGGTCCACATCGGAGATTCATGTAAAAATCGTTGCGCTGAACAGTCGCCGACAAGACGAAAAGTGGAATGAAGTGGAAGAAGATAAGGGGAAATACGACCAATTTTGACATATTTACTGAGAAAAATGAGAAGTTTTTGGAGAATGGAAAAACTTTTAATCTTTGAAGGTTTCATTTTATTTTTTTTGACAACTTATTTTTTGGAAAAAGTTCCAGGCCCGAAAAAACCCCAAAAATGAAATCGTGTAAAATTAAAAAAATGTAAATCGCGCCCTTTTTTCATTTTTGCCAGACTTAATTTTACTACTGCAAATTTTATGAATAAACCCAATTTTTTAGTTGTTTTGGGGTTTTCTACCATCATGGCGGGATGTCTCCGGCCATCGCATGTGCAGTGTCCAGATTTGCAATTTCTTCTTCTCGCTTCAGGTCTTTGTTGAGGGCTTCTACTGTCTGATACTTAACGGTATTTTACAGCGGTAAACACACTTATTTATATAAATGTTCTGCAATTTACTACATTTGGTTCAAATTATATCTTAAAATGTCTCATGAGAATATAGATCATACTTTATCAGGTTATGAGAGTCGTGAATGGCATCACATTTGGGGCTAGAACTCATGCAATGGCGGGAGCCATCCCGCCATTCATCCGCCGGAAAGTCTACTGCTTCCTCAATGAGAGATTCAAGAAATGCTCGAAGCTTACAGTCTAGACCCCTTTATCTTCCTCCATTTCATTATCCAGAGAATCCGATGGATGACATTTGGGGCTTGTCGAGAGGCCCGGGGAGACAACCACACGATAAGACGAGAAGCTCGAGTTCAAGTGATTTATTGAGTGAAAAGCGGCCCTAATAGAATCCCATGTATGGAAGTGCAATCAAATTTGAATAATAAATGATGATTTCCGTGGGAATTCGGGCTCGAAGTTCGATTGTTCCGCCTCACCGGGCTAGAAATTATTAATCATTTTTTTCGATGTGACACAGCGCTTGTTATTTTCCCGACAGACTGACATTCTTCCACTATCCTACATTCGCTCCATCATCGACGCATTACAACGGCGTTTGCTGCATTCCACAATATACTAACTATACTTTACTCTGCGCCGCTCATCATAATTAGTGCGTCAATCCGAGCGCTTCCGCCATCCATTATTACAATGTTCGGTAATGATGAGACGGAATCTGGGAAGAGTGATTGAAACCGGAATTCCTCTCTTTTTTTTGCACCGGAATCCCCCCTTTTTGCTGATGAGTTTTTGAGACAGATGCCTCGGGCTGATTATGGGCAAAAAGTCGGGTGGAAGGGAGGAGACAGTGTTTTGACTGTTTACAAAACATGATCGGTAATCAGCAGCATCGGAAGGAAGAAGCGTCTTTTAAAGACGAACACGGTGTAACAGTAATAATACTGATCAGGAAACACGTTTTTTTATTTTTAACAGTAAGTGTCGAAGAGATAGGCATACTGGAGTTGGCAAGAGGAAGTATTCAAGATTTGGCCTCGTTATTCGGTGGGCAGAATTCAAACCAATCAAAGTCTGAGCAGCTCAGAGCGTGCCTACTAGATTTTACGAAAATGCAAGCTTCGTCTGGAAAACTTTCTTGCTAGTTTGTTCGGAAAGTTGCTAGAGTTTTGGCGACGTGCCCGGCAGAAAAAAGAAAATCACTCTAGCGACTTTACGAACAGTATCAATCTGTCGGGAAAATAACGGTGGGTTGTCGTAGCAAAATGTTTCATCGAAAAAAGATGCAGTCGCACACCAAATCTCAAGTTGCGGCAGCTTTCGCAAAACGATGATGGGCGATTCTAAGCCCATCAAAACCACATTATTTTCCCGACAGACTCATAGTATTATACTGGGGAAATCGACCAGTCAGACATCACTGGGCTCTTTGCCCGGTAAAAAGTAGGCCTGGCCCGTCTTCAAATTTCCGAATGCCCGGCCCGGTTGCCATGTCTGCTGTTGTCTTTGAAAGAACGTAAATTTATTGCGTCAGACATTACAAATTATGAGTTTTTAAGCAGAACGGCTTCTTCGGATTATTTATTTTTCCGGAATACTTACGGGTGTAATTATTTTTTACAATTTGCAATTGTTTAAAGAAGAGGGCGCCTTGGTGAAGAGAGCACCTAGAGTGAACCTTGAGAAAAAATGGTTTGGTAAAGGGGGACCAAGGCGATTAAAATTTTTCTTCAACATACATTTTGTGAGGTATACCAAAAAATGCTTTGTTAAATAACGCAATTTGGTATCCTATTTTTTATCTGCTCGCCAAAGGGCCAGCTTTGCCAAGGGGCCATCTTCGACAAGATGTCCACTTCGCCAAAGCAGATTCTTAGCCAAGATGCCCTCTTCGCCAAGGTGTACTCTTCGCCAAGGCAGCCTCTTTGCCATAATCCCCTCTTCGCCAAGGGGCCATCTACTGCGGGGTGCCGTCTCCGTCAAGGTGCCCTCCTTGCCAAGGTGCCTTCTTTGCCAAGAGGCCATCTTTGCCCAGGGGCTCTTCGCGCTACTCGGAAAAACTGTGGCTGTTGCCGGGGCTTCAAAACGTTTCCGAGACAAAGAAGTCGCTGTTCTTTGCTTTTTAAAAAATTTCTTTGGACCACAAACCATTTTTTAAAAGACATAGAGACACATTCAGCTAATTCCTGATCCCCAATTGGTCTTAAATCATTGTCAAAAGTGTCCAAGCCCCTCTTCAGGAAGACCCATTCAACGACCAGAGAGAATACGCAGTGTAAAGGTCACAAGACAACAATCTTCGAAAAAACTGTACACAAAATTGCTTTACAAAGGTTGCTTGATTCAGTCGGGTCCTGAAGGCCCATCACTTGGAGAGAGAGAGAGAGAGACTTGGAAAAGACGTTGACGTCAAGCCCGGACTAATTTAGGACCAAGTTGTTCAAAGATTGGGCGGCGAAAGGGTTTAGACGAAAAGGGTGTAAAGTAACAAGTCGGAGAACAAACGGTAAACAAAAGGACTTGTAAAGAAGAAGCGAGATTTTTGGTTTGCGCTTTGCAGAAACAATGGAGGTTTTTAGGCCCGAATTTGTGGCAAAGAGAGAAAAAACAACTTTTTGGCGGTATCTTTGCCAGTTTCGCAAGAAAAAAATTGATTTTTTGTGGAAAGATTACTCTCTATTATAGAAATAGTAAAAAATTAAATTTTTCAGGTCAAAATTTGCAAAAAAATCGAAAATTTTCCCTACCTTTTACTAAAAAATCTCGGTTGTTTCTGCAAAGCGCGAGCTAGAAGTGGCGTATATGTCGTAGAAAAAATTAATCTAAATCTATGCCAAGTTTCATCGAAATCTGAATGTTGAACTTGAAGGACTTCCCCTCTAGGGGCAAAATTTCTAAAAAAAAGCAAAAAAAAATCCAAAAAAAAATTTAATTCGAATACTTTTTTTGCCTCTAGTTTTTATGTGCGTATTGTATTTTGGTCTGTGTGTCGTATCTCCAACCGTGCTTTGTGCTATTGTCTGCGATTTTTCGTCGCCGAGAAATCGAAAAAGAATTGAATATTCAACAAATTTTGTTTTCATTATTCTCACCTCGAAGAACTCAAAAATTATTTTTGAAAATAGCAAATTTAGCGTTACGAAATACGTAACGTTACGAGAAGGCATGTTAAACCGCTAATTTCGAGGAAATAACTCATTCGAATACACCGATAATTTTTTAAAAACCACCATTTAAACCGCCGCTTAATTTGTTTCTGTATAGTGTTGTGCATACGTAAAAATTGAGGCGAAGAGGTTTAGGGGGAAAACAAGACTACAGTCCGGTAACCACAAAAAAATTAGAAGAAAGAATTGGATTTTTTAGTAAATGAAAATAAACGAAATTTGCAAAATTTTCGGGGCTTTAATTTGTAGTGGTCCGTTCGCAAAGTCGCTAGGGTGATTTATGCGACATGCACTGTGCAAAAACTAGAGTTCGTGCAATTTGGGCATTTTGCACCGTGAAACAGTTTTTTTCGGCTGTCGCTCGCACCTTGGCTTTTCGTGCGTGGACGGAAAAAGTTCCTTATTTTGGCCACAACAAAGGTACTCCGCGAACTGCGCCCAAGGTTGGGCACTAAAGTTAGGAAAAAAACGCTTCGACCTAGCTGGCACTGAATTACTATAATAGCTCTACGGTTTTAAGGGTACCTACGAAGGCTGTGACGACTCATTTAGTTCCTTATGGAGGCAATAAGTTTAGTTCCGGACATGTTTCATCGTATAAACTGTACAATCACAGACTGCAGCCGTTTTTGAAGGGTAAGGTGGTACGTAAAAAAGAAGGTACCTCACTAACTAAATCCACTGTCCGGGCATTGACAACGATGAATTAAGCGTGTACGCTAAATTTGGGCTAATTCCGACCAGTTTCCGCAAAGTTATAAGTTGTGGCCAAAATAAGGAACTTTTACCGCGTGGACACTTTGTCCAGAAATTTGGCTGAAAATGGACAAGGCAACGATGAGCTAACGCCCAAGGGCAAAGAAACAAAACCACTGTAAACTTGGGCCACCAGTCGAGAGAGGAGTTCTTTGCAATCACAACGATACCACAATCATGCCTTAGCAACCCCTGGCTTATGAGTTACAAACGTTTCTTCCAAGAAAGAAAGAAAATTTTGTCATTCGTTTTTTTCCTTTTTCAAAAAACGGCATGTAAAGTGCATCAAATGAGAAAATTTTCTGGGTATGGAGTTAGATTGTCCCACCGTGTTTCGGTGCCCAACTTCAAGGTTCTAGGCCCAGCTGTTTCCGAGATCCAGGTGAAAAGAGAACGCCTTATTTCATTGCTGCTTGTATCGCTTTTCTTTTATTGGCCTTTAAATTGTTTCCCGTGACAAATGGGGTTCCTACACCTTGATCTGGTTGGCCTCATCTTCTAACGACATTTTCAGCAAGTTTGCAATTTTTGGCTGACCTGTTTCCCCTCCTCGAACACTCCAAAGAACGTTCCCTTCAATTCCAGCGACATGAAACATTGCATGGAATTTCGGGGAGTGCCCAAAAGTCCTTGAAAACCCTCAGCAATTCATCATCAATCGGGTTTTGTTTACAAAGCGCTACAGAATGCACTTAGCAACCGAAGCTGTTGAGAAAATGCTTAAACCTTTCAAAAAGACTCCCGAAAGCTGCAACAAACCCCAAATTAAACCTTTCACAAATTCAGCGTTATCCAGTGCGAAAACCCGAGATAAGACTACAAAATTTGGCGAAGTGTTTGTGCTGCAATTCCGTCGTCGTAAATTCGCCGCAAAACTACACCACGGTCATCAGGAATGCGCTCACGTAAGGGGCTGGCGAATTCTGCGACCGCCTCGCTTTCATAAATCTCCCGGGGGCTTTAGATCCGAGAAAAAAAGAAAACAAGGTTAATTATTGTTGCGAATTTACGAGCGAGATAGCGTTTGCGCGCTTCACGCTTACTCCAACAACATTTCGGAGGCGCGCGGTTTAAACTCCACTTTCCTACTTTTTCGCCGTTTAACATTGCATATTGCGTCATGATTATGATAGCTGTAATCATAGTGTTCTTTTTTTCTTGCTCGGCTTTCGCGTTCCGGCGTCAAACGGTTTCGTTTCAGCCCCCCTTGGGCAGAAGGCACGACTGTAAAGAAGAAGGCAAAGGGCCACGCCTTTCCACTTTCTTTCCTCCCTCTCTCCCTCCGGCGTGGGTCTTTCGGTTTTGTTAAACTTTGCGCGCCTCCCGCGTCAAACCGTTTTTTTCCCCAAGCCGTTTCGGGTTCGCGATGTCAAAGTTTAAACGACGGGAAGTGTGCGCACCTGACGGAGACGCATTAGCGAAGTGTTTTTTCCCGCACCGTCGACGTCCCGTTTTCGCCGCACACCGACCCGCGCCAGCCCGCTGAACTCGTCCGGCGGTGCGAGGGACCGTCTCCATTCATGGAGCTGAACGGAAACCGGCTGACCCGCCCGCCCCTCCCCACCGCGCCCCGCCGGTTGCAATTCGCCCGCCGCTATAAAAGCGTCGGCCGGACGACCCGAACGGCATCAGTGCAGTCTTCCGCCGATCCCGCGCAGAAGCAGCAATGAAGTTCTTCCAAGGCCTTCTCTTCGCCGCCTTGTGCGTCACCGTCAGCTCGAAAGCCAGTAAGTCGAGGCGCTGCATTTGCATAACATTTTCCCCCGTTTTCTTTTTCAGTCTACAAACGTGACAACAGTTACGGAGATGAGCCAGTGACCCCAGCCCCAGCCGCCCCCGTCGCCGAATCTGCCCCCGCCGCCGAAGCCGCCCCAGCTCCAGCTGCCGAGGCCGCCCCAGCCGCCGAAGCCGCCCCAGCCCCAGCTGCTGGAGGTGACTATCAAGCCGCTGCCGCTCCAGCCCCAGAAGCCGCTCCAGCCGAGGCTGCCCCAGCCCCAGTTGAGCAACCCGCCCCAGCTGCCGCTCCAGTCGCTGCCTCTGGATACAGAAAGAAGAGAGACAACAGCTACGGCGACGAGCCAGTGACTCCAGCCCCAGCTGCACCTGCCGCTGAAGCCGCTCCAGCCGCCGAAGCTGCCCCAGCCCCTGCCGCCGAGGCCGCCCCAGCTGCCGAGGCTGCCCCTGCCCCAGCTGCTGAAGCCGCTCCAGCCCCAGCTGGAGGAGACTACCAGGCCCCAGCCGCCGCTCCAGCCCCTGAAGCCGCCCCAGCCGAGGCTGCCCCAGCTGCTGTTGAACAACCAGCCCCAGCCGCTGCCCCAGTCGCCGCTTCCGGATACAGAAAGAAGAGAGACAACAGCTACGGTGACGAGCCAGTGACCCCAGCTCCAGCTGCCCCAGCCGCCGAGGCTGCCCCAGCTGCTGAAGCCGCCCCAGCCCCCGCCGCCGAGGCCGCCCCAGCCCCAGAGGCCGCTCCAGCCCCAGCCGCCGAAGCCGCCCCAGCCCCAGCTGCCGGAGGAGACTACCAAGCCGCTGCTGCCCCAGCCCCAGAAGCCGCCCCAGCCGAGGCTGCCCCAGCCGCTGTTGAACAACCAGCCCCAGCCGCCGCTCCAGTTGCCGCTTCCGGATACAGAAAGAAGAGAGACAACAGCTACGGTGACGAGCCAGTGACCCCAGCTCCAGCTGCCCCAGCTGCCGAAACCGCTCCAGCCGCCGAGGCCGCCCCAGCCCCAGCTGCCGAGGCTGCTCCTGCCGCTGAAGCTGCCCCAGCCCCAGCCGCCGGTGGAGACTACCAGGCCCCAGCCGCTGCTCCAGCCCCAGAAGCCGCCCCAGCCGAGGCTGCCCCAGCCCCAGTTGAGCAACCCGCCCCAGCTGCCGCTCCAGTCGCTGCCTCTGGCTACAGAAAAAAGAGAGAGAACAGCTACGGTGACGAGCCAGTGACCCCAGCCCCAGCTGCCCCAGCTGCCCCAGCCGCTGAAGCCGCTCCAGCCGCCGAGGCTGCCCCAGCCCCAGCCGCCGAAGCCGCCCCAGCTGCGGAAGCCGTTCCCGCCCCAGCCGGAGGAGACTACCAGGCTCCAGCCGCCGCTCCAGCCCCCGAAGCCGCTCCAGCTGAGGCCGCCCCAGCCCCAGTTGAACAACCCGCCCCAGCTGCCGCTCCAGTCGCCGCCTCTGGATACTAAACGCCATCTCCTCAACACTCAACTGTATCTCAACCACTTCAAACTGCCACAATTTTCTTGGATTGACTTTTGTTCCATTGAAAATGACATTTTTAAAAGTTTAACGGGTAAATAAATATTTACCATTCGATTTGGTTGGCCATCTGATTATAGTGGGTTTTACGTGTTAGTTGAATATTTCATTGTGCTAGCGACAATGCAATTTTCGAAATTTTGCGAACGGTCTTTGAACGACCTTCGAATGGCCTTTCCATTTCGAGAAAATTTAAAAAAACAAAGTTGGGGAAGGTTTAACGCGGGAAACCGGTTCGATTGTGCAATCATCATTATTCGGGAAACGCTTAGGCGGTTTGTCATCGCGACTCCATCAATGGGAAGAGGGGGGCTTGCAGTTGCAGGGCCCACCGGGTTAGTATAGTTTGCGGTCTACAAAAAGTCTATACAAAAACGGTTTCACAGTAAAAATAAAAGGGAATGGGTCGATAGGAGAGGAACATCACTCAGCTCTGTATAATTACATTTTGCTTGGTATTTACTGTATAAAAAAGGCTTCAGTTACCTTTTGCAATTTTGCCGTATCTGTGGTGTAGGATCAAACGTAGATAGGCCTTGAGAATAGACTCAAGATAGAATAGGGTTTTATTGACACCGCACAACACAAAGAAAAGAGAAATGAGATAATGTCCTGGAATTGGTGATGAGACGTTGCTTTTATATGAGTTGTTTTATGCTAATTTCTGTGGGAATTGTGGAGACCTTTGAGGCTCCACAACAGTATCAGTCTGTCTGCCGGGAAAATAATGAGCACAATGGCGCTACGTCGGTCGCGTTGCTCAAGTGAAAAATTTGGCCGCCCCAGCGTTTGCCGCGACACAAAAAACTAGAGAAACTGTTGACACTGGGGACATGTCTCTTTCTCGATTGAAACTCCAGATTCGTTGGAATCGGACAGCGTTGAAAGGCGTTACCCTCATTTTATAGCTTCTCAAAGCCGTTGAAGCCGATTTCAAGGTGGTCGCTGAAGTGAAAGGTAATTTGATTTTACCGCGACACAAATACCTTTCTCGGCGACAATGCGATTTTCGATGCGACAAAGTGCTCATTATTTTCCCGGCAGACTGATAGCTATAACTACAATTGTCGCTTGCTTGATCGCTCAACATAAATTTCGCTCCCAACACACCGCTTTCGAATCGGATATCGCAAATCTTTGTGGGTTTTTTGACCTTCCCTTGATCCGCCTCTGATTCCACGCACTTCTATTTTAAGACGTCGAAAAAAAACGAATCGCATCCACGGGTTTAAGACGAGTGCATTTCTCGACTTTAAACAATGATCGGAGGGAAACTTGTTACAAGTGAAGTTTATTGTCCGAGCGAGCGAAGCCAACGTTAACATAAGCAGCGTTACAAAAATACCCGTTATAATCATCATAAATTAGGCTGGAAGAGGGGAGATGGATTGCGTAGGGGAAAAAACAAGCATAAATTAGACGAACAGTACAGTAATCTGGGGGAAAATAAAGCGGCAGAGAGGATTACAATAATTTTCGAAAAATACAGTAATCTTCAAAAAGTTACAGTAACCTTGAAAAATTACAGTAATCTAAAATGAATACGGTAATTTCGAAAAGTTACTGTAAACTTGCAAGTTTGCAATGATATCAAAAAGCTACAGTAATTTCAAAAAAATTACCGTAATCCCGAAAAATTACAGTAACTTAAAAAGTTAAAGTAACTTATATTTCAGCTTATAATTTACACGTTAAGACTATTAACATGTATAAAAATTTTACAGTAACCACGAAAAGTTACAGTAATCTCAAAAAATTACACTGACTGAAAAATTACAGTAACCTGTAATTACGGTAAATTACAGTCAAGACTAATAATACAATAAAATTACTAATTAATTATCCAGTATTTGTCATGTAATGTATCGACTGAAACCATCGTCCGGGCTGGAATTTGTTCCAGAAACCCTCCGGCTCGTGGTGGCTACTAACACCCGGAGGGTCTTGGCCCTTCTCCACTTGCTCGATGATTTCGCCCAGATTCGAATGAGCAGCAATAAACGGCTTCGAAGTGAAGGTCTTCTGCAACGGCTTCCAAGTGTGCTTCGAGACGGCGGTGGGCTCACTGAAACGGCATTGTTAGTGGCTGCAAGAATTTTGCAAAACACAAAAAGTCTTTTTCAAAAGTGCTTCAAAAGTAGATTTTTTGTCGTGGCTCAAAAAGCGTAGTATCACATTGTCGGAAAAATAATGAGCACTCTGTCGCATTGAACGCGACAGAACCAAATTGCTTTTCGGCGGCGCGATTGGCGCAGCGACATTTGCTCATTATTTCCCCGACAGAACTAATACGGTGGCGGACCCGATCCAGTGGCAAAAAATGTGCCATTTTGCATCCTGGAAGTATCAAAAATGTGGCAAAATGCTTCCCTTTCCAAGTGAAAAAACTTCGTTTTGAAGGGCGAGCTTTTGAAATCGAAGTTTTTTCACTTAGAGAGGGAAGTATTTTGCCACATTTTTGCTACTTCCCGGATGTAAAATAATACGTTTTTTTGCCACTGGATCAGGTCCCCCACTGTATGTAGCAGGCAAAAAAATGGAAAAAAAACGTGCCATTTTGCATCCGGGAAGCATAAAAAATGTATCAAATACCTCCCTCTCCAAGTGAAAAAATTCCGATTTCAAAAGCGCGCCCGCTTTTTTTGTGAGGAAAAGGGCGCGCTCTACAAAATGGAGTTTTTTTAGTTCGAGAGGGAGGCATTTTGCCACATTTTTTGACACTGCCCGGATGCAAAATGGTACGTTTTTTGCCACTGGACCAGGTCGGCCACAGAACCTATATAAAACAATGATATTTAAAAAAAACTAGGTATTTTGTGTCCTACGGTTTGTTCTGCGAGACCACCACGTATTCCTCTTCCTCCTCCTCTGGCACTTCCTCCGGCACCAGGTCCGTCGCTTCCGTTGTCGTTGTTGTTGTAGTCTTCACCTTTTTCTGCTTCACCCTCCTTCGTTTCGGCTTTGTCGGGGCTTGCGTAGTGGTCGTCACAACCTCCTCTTCCACCACCTCCTCCTCCGGATACTCGGTGATGGGGTCGGTTGTGGGTTCGGGAGTTCGTTGCGTAGTTGTCGTCGTCGTGTTCTCCTTTTTCCGCTTCAATAATCGTTGCCAGAACGGGACCATTTTCGGCTGATCCGAGGGGTCGGCGGGCGATGGGCCGATTACTCCGGAATTGGAGGTGTCTTCCGGCGCGCGTGTCGCTTGTTGACGATTGGGTTGTTGCGCCGCGAAACGCTCCCAAATGTTGGGCTTCCCATTTCGTTGCATTGTACCGGCAGCCTAGGAGGTTGAGGGTTATTAGGATCAAAAGGTTATGAATGTATTTTTAGCGAGAGATTGTATTGAGGGTATCAATGAGGGAAGTACCCCAAGTGCGGCGCATAGATTTCAATGAAACTTGGAACAAATTTAGAATAACTTTTTCTAGGATATATGCGAGAATCCTAGCTCGCGCTTTGCAGAAAAAACCGATATTTTTAGCTCGAAAGTTGGAGAAAAATTGATACTTTTTGGTGAATTTCGGCACGAAAAGTTTCATACCTAATTCTACTGCTGAGAATACTGTTTCCAGAAAAAGAAAAAATTTTCACCCGAAATTGGCAAGGTTATGGCCAAAAAGTGTTTTTCTCTCTGGCTGCGCCCGGAAAAGTGGGCGCTAAAACTTTGAGACATTGACAGTTCATGCCCGACTTGTGTGCAAAACTCGGACAGGAGAGCGGTCAAAGAGATAAACATTTTTTGGCCATATCGTTGCCAGTTTAGTGCGGAAAACATTGATTTTTTGTGGAAACGTACGATAAAAAATATAGGTATGAAACTTTTCGTGGCAAAATTCGCAAAAAAACACATGTTATCCAACTTTAAATCTAAAAAATCTCGGTGGATTCTGCAAAGCCCAAGCTAGGAGTCTCGCATATGTCCAAGAAAGAACTACTCTAAATTTGTGCCAAGTTTCATCAAAATCTGAGCGTCGCACTTGATGTACTTCTCTGTCAGAGAAAAATTCTTCAAAAAAATCCGAAAAAATTTAGGTCGAACATTTTTGTTCTCTAGTTTTTATCTGCGTATTGTAATATTTCGGCCTGTGTGTCGTATACCAACCATGCTTTGTGTTATTGTCTGCGATTTTTTCTGGGATAAGTATGACTTGCTTTATGCAAATTTTGGTCTATCAATCTGTGGGAAAAATAATGAACGCTCTGCCGCTGCGCGAAACGCGTCGCTGAAGGGAAAAGCAATTTTATTTTGTCACGACACAATTCATTTTCTCGGCGGTGATTCGGTTTTAGATGCGACAAAGTTGCTCACCATTTTCCCGACAGACTGATAACTAAGCGATGCCTAAAAATCCAACCTTAATGTCCGTGGACGCCTTCTTGTTCGCTTTGATCAACTTTTTCTCCTTCGGCGACGCCGTTGCTCCGGCGGTCGTCGACCCATTCCCAAGGATCTTGTTCATCACCGCTTCGCTGAAGATTCCCGTTGCGCTGCACACGGTTGTTGCGTAACATCGACTGATCATCTGAATTTGCAGAAAAAAGTTTAAATCGCATGGCGTTGTAAAGTTTAAATGAGATTTGCGAAAATCAAAAGTGTTCTTACTTGATGAATAAAAGCTTTGACCTTGTACGAGTCTTTTTTGTGCTTCCCCAAAAACGACTCGAAATTGGAGTTGGTCTTGCAGTAGGTGGAGTCGCTAATGTCCTGGCATTTGTAGGACATTTGCTCACCTGAAAATGGGAAGAATTGGGAAATTATTCGGGAGATACTATCAGTCTGTCGAGAAAATAATGAGCACAGAGTGGTTGCGCCGATCGCGAAGTGAAAATTTTATTTTGCCGCGACACATTCATTTTCTTAATTTTCGATGCGACATAGTGCTCATTATTTTCCCGACAGACCGATATTTTCGTTCGTAAGGTCGCTGGAGCCCCAAGTGCGACGCTCAGATTTTGATGAAACTTGGCACAAATTTAGAATAATTTTTTCTAAGATATATGCGAGAATCCTAGCTCGCGCTTTGCAGAAAAAACCGAGATTCTTAGATCGAAAGTCGGCGAAAATTTAGGACTTTTTGCCGAATTTTGGCACAAAAAGTTTCATGCCGAATTATACCATTAAGGGAAATGTTTCTACAAAAAATCAAATTTTTCCGGACGAAACTGCCAAAGTTATGGCCAAAAAGCGCTCTTCTCTCTGACCGCTCTCCACGTTTAGCGTGCTCTCTCGGCGGCAAAAATCGTTCAATATCTCGGCGGCGCCAGCAAAGCGCGAGCTAAAACTTTCAGGAATTGATATTTAGTCCATACCCGATACCCGACGAGTGTGCAAAATTTAAAGAAAATCTGAGCGTCGCACTTGGGGTACTTCCCTTGTGAGTACGGAAAGGTCCGCTAAAAAAAAGAAAAGAGGAGGGCGGGGAGGGGGGAGGTTTTCGATGGCGCTGATTTCGAAAATCATATCATTTTTTTCTGAATTTTACAATTTTGCTTAAGCAGTAGTGTCATTTTCGCTGTAAAAACGAAAAAAGCGTCATAAGTTTTCTTACAACACTATTATAAAAAGTTTGACCAAGTTTTTACCAATTAAAACATTTATTTTAAAGAATTGAGGAAGATAGGGACAAATTCAGAAGAAATGGATACGATTTTCAAAATCAGCACCACCGAAAACCCCTAAATCCATTATTCAAAAAAAAAAAATTTTTTTAATTACTAATTAACACTACTGCTTAAGCAAAAATGTAAAATTCAGAAAAAATGGATACGATATTCGAAATCAGCGCCATCGAAAACCTCCCCCCTCCCCGCCCTCCTCTTTTCTTTTTTTTAGCGGACCTTTCCGCAGCGGACCTTTCCGTCCTTCGTGATCTTTGGAACATGCACTGCACGAAAAAAGTCATGGTGCGAGTGACAGTCCAAAAAACTGTGCTCATTACTTTCCCGACAGAACAATAAAAATCTGAACGTAAATCTGAACGTCACACTTGTTGTGGAGCCTCAAAACTCTCCACCGTTCCCAGGGAAAAGCATAAGTCAAGTCGTGTAAAAGGAACGTCTCTTTTCACCAATTATCTCAATAGCTTTTTTGGACTGTCGCTCTCACCCTGATTTTTTCTGCATGTCGGGAATAGGCCAAATTTAAAATTTTTGTGAAGAAAGCCCGTGGCCCGTGGTATTCAACGTTGCGGCAGAACTCTCCCCATTTTCTGAACTTTCCCTCAATCTGAACTCTCCCCCCTTTTTGAACACTCCCCCTTGAATGAACCCTCCTCCTTTTTGAACACTCCCCCTCATTTTGAAAATTGAAGAAATAAGGTGTGACATCTTAAAAGTTTTTTCGCCGTTCAATATGTCACACCTGATTTTTCTCAATTTGAAAAAAAATTTCATCGTATAACATGTCACACCTCGTTTTTTCAATTTTCAAAATGGGGGAGTGTTCAAAAAGGAAAAGTTCAGAAAAGGGGAGAGTTCAGGCTCAACCGGTATTCAACGATCTTTTCAGCCGAGAGAGTACGCAAAACGATGAGAGCGGTCATAAAGAAAGAACCTTTGCAATTTTTTGTGGAAAAATTACACTCTACGGTAGATGTAGATAAAAAACAAGTGGTTTCCCTGTAAATCTGCGCCTTTTTTCATCGAAATCTGTAGATCGTATTCTGGCTATTGCTTCGTAAATATGTAACATAAGTTTCAAAGCTAGAACCCACCTTGTTCGAAGCAATAATTGAAGCACATGACTCCGAACCCGACCTGCTGACAAGCCCCTTCTCGGCTCTTGTAAATCGTAGCGCACGTCTTTTTGTACTGAAAGCAAACTCAATTTTTCGCAACAACAACGCCACATACCGCCTGAAAATTGGACCCGACCGGATCACGGGAGCCGGTTCGCGGCAATACCCACGACTTGTCGATCGCTTTTATCATCTGGTTCAGTTTGTGGACGTCCAAGTCCTCGGTCTTTATTGGCCTCTGCTGCTGCGATTTGTTGTTGCGCGACTTGTCCGTTGTGGCGACCGCCGCAACCGGGCTGTGGTAGGACTGGCGACGCTTGGTCGCTTCGATTGCGGCTTGAACCCGGCCACTGACTCGGCCTGAAAAATGGCCGAAAATGAGGGGAATTTTAGTAGGCATGTGGTTGAAGGGGAATATAAAATTTTGATGTTACCCTAGCAAGAATTGTGCATAGCGTTTTTAAAAGGAATAATGAGAACATGAGCCAATTTTTACGGATTTTTTATGGTCAAAAGGTAGAGTTTTCTCGAGATTTTCGGTTCAAAAAAGACATTTCTTGTAAGAAATGAGGCAATTAAACATTATGTAGAAAAACATTTTTCAACAAGAAATTCGAAATGTTACGGTCAAAACAAGTTTTTCATCTGTCTCACCCTCCTAACTTTACGCAGTGTCTCATAAAAAAAGCGGTTCTCTTGGCTGTCTGTCGACGGAGAAGCCTAAATTTTAGCGCCTTGGGAGTCAGATATGGCAACCGGACCGAACTTTTGGAAATTTCAAAACATGCCGGGCCTGCCTTCGGCTAGTCGCATCATTTAGCACAATACTTTTTCGGCCGCGCACGTCAAACTGAGGAGTCCGGTGACCGGAATAGACTCTTCGTTATCGATTTTTTACACTTCGCCTTGATTTCACAGAGAAGACAGAGAAAAGACGCACTCTCTTGCCCCAGAAATTCCCCATTTCTTCTCCGACAAAGGGCTTTTTCAAGTTTTTTTGGCGAATTGCCAATCCATTCGGTATAGCAAAGCACTTCACGAAATTAAGAAAAAAGACAAAGTGACTTACGTTGTGCCTGGGAATTGACCTCGACCACGAAGCTGCTGACAATTCCTATGTATAAAATCAATTTCATTGACTTCATTTTGTAAAGGGCTTACACCCGGACACAACGTCCTTTGTGGAGCTTCCCCGAGGCCGTGTCTTGGCTTGATTGGGATACCTAAAAACCGAGGGGCAAAATGGGAAAAAAAAGTTTTAAAATACGCGGCGTGCTCGTTTGTCAAGAAAAAACATGTTGAAAAAAGAGAGCAGATGTTAGAGGACCCAAATGCTATTAGGTTGTCCCACAAATAATGTCGTTTTCGAGAGGGGTAGAGTCCAAAGTCCATAAAAAACGTAAACAACAACAAAATTTCACAATATTGCACAATTTTGTAGCCGGGATCGCAAGCTTTCGTTCAAGGTAAGATTTGACATATTCGGATGAAATTACAGTAATTTAGCCCCATTCCAAAATTATGGAAAAAAGTTCGATTCGTGCCGTCATCTTGGACGAGCAAAAACTGGGTACAAAAACTGTGGAAGCTACACGAAAGATCAACGCCATGTTTGGCCAAGATTCTGTGAATCTTCGTACGGTACAGAGATGATATAAAAAATTTGATCTGGCGACGAGGATCTCGAAGATAAAGCGCATTCAGGACGACCATCCGAACTTTGTGAATCCACCCTGAGGTCATTAGTCGAAGAAGATCCTGGAATCAACATCTCAATACATTTGAATCTTCCGTTTACGGTTTGGAAGGCCAAATTTCACTGAATGTTTTGTTATCCAACTCTCTTAGAACGGGGAAGCACTCCAAGTTCAATATGGTTAAAAAGCGTTTCGTATTCGGCCTTTTCCGTATTCGCTCGGCCGCAATGATCGTTGGAAATCTCGGCTGATGTTACAAGGTGCGAGCTAAAGCTTTCCGGAATTGATATGTGGCCTAGGTTCTCGCATATATTAAAAAAAAAAATAGTCTAAATTTGCGCTAAGTTTCATCAAAATCTAAGCGTCGGATTAGTGGTAATTCCCCTGTAGGAATCTTCAAAATGCGTGCTAGAAGTCTTGCAGTGTCCTAGAAAAAATTGTTCAAGATTTGTGCCAAGTTTCCTCAAAATCTGAGAGTCGCACTACGGGTAATTCCCCTGTAAAATTATCTCAATAAATCAAGCTTTTAAATATCCATCTCACCCTCTTAAAGTCGCCAAGTCCAAGACTACAGTCTCCCTGATCCCTTCGTGACCTGCTCACTTCCCAGCCCCACTGAACCCAATCATATCAAAAAGATCCAAACGTCCAAACCGTTTGGCCGAATGGTCCCAAACCCCACCCAACGAACACGCTTCAGCGCGGCGGATCAGCCGGCTTCTTGCATTCATGACACGCTCCCCGGGGGGTCAACCGGCTCTAATCTCAACAAGTACGAAAATAGCCGCTTAATGCAAACAAAATCGCCCGCTTCTATCAAACACCGAGTGCAGCTCCCGATGGAGGAGCGGATCGAAGCGAGGGCCTAGCCCGTTCTTGCGACGCGTGCAGCAAGGCCTTGAATTCACACGGTTTCAGGCCGATCAAATAAAAGTTTTTTTTTGAATCGGGAGGAGGCAGATTGAAGGGGGAGATTAGGGTTGGGGTAGTGTAATATTAGTCTGTCGGGAAAATAATAAGCACAATGTCGCTGCGCCAATTGTGTCGCCGAAGAGGAAAGTTTGATTTTGCCTTTCATTTTCTCTGCGGTGATGCGATTTTCGATGCGCCGGAGTGCTCATTACTTTCCCGACAGACTGATATTACAGTGGAATCTCTGAGCAAAAACCTCCGCACAACAAAACCTTTTTATAATAAAAAAACTTCAAAAGGTTCAATGGTCAATTTCAGAACAAAATTATATAACATCTGTGTAACGAAACCCTTTTATAACGAGATTCCATGCGATTTTTCGACTTGGAGAAATTACACAACCGCTTCTATTACCCACTATGATGGAATTCAAAGAGATCGACATGCAAAATCGCCCTTGAGAAAGTAATTCCAAGGTAATTCCATGGCCAGGTTTGCAAGTAGAAAATAGGTTTTTTGCGACTACGGTAGAGATGGGCATAAAACTTTTTAACCAAAATTCGCAACAAAGTCCCACATCTTTTTCATTTCGTGCGGAAAAAAGGAATTTTTCGTGGCAAAAATACTCACAGGGGAAGTACCCAAGTGCGACGCTCAGAGTTTCTTTCAATTTTGCACACACGTCGGGTATGGACTAAATATCAATTCCTGAAAGTTTTAGCTCGAGCTTTACGGGCGCCGCCGAGATATCGAACGATTTTTGCCGCCGAGAGATAACGCTAAACGTGAATAGCGGTCAGAGAGAAAATTTTGGCCATAACTTTGGCAGTTTCGTGCGGAAAAATTTGATGCATCACGCAGAAAGCGGAGAGAGCAGAGAAAAAGAGGACTGCTAACTTGAGTGACCTTTTTTCCTCTTGATCGGCGAATTGGGCAACTTTTTCTGGACCTGGCCGGACATTTTAGGCCATAACTTTTGATACAGTGGACCAATTTATGCCCTTCCAAAAAAAATATTAATGCTGGTGGTGCGCAGAATGCATGGATATAAATTCGTAAATTTTCCTTCTAAATTATGCAAATTATATGCAAATTATTGCGTGATGCCGCTAACTCAAGTCAGTGCCCCTTTTGTACGTGAAACATCCCCCGGGTACTAAAAATGACTGTTGAACAACAAAGCCACAACCACCAAACTGCATTTTCGATCTGATTGACCACAGCCCTCGACCGCTAAAATCGCCGCTAGAACCTTTTCCCAAACAACTTATGAAGCGTGCAGACGATCGCGCGCGCGCTGTTAACACTCAAGACGAAGTGCTTAAGCGCGAAAGGTCAAGAAACATCCATTTTGAAATCGACAAATAAACAAAATGGCCTCAGGGCATTATGGAAAAAAGCAAATTTTCTGTGAAAAAATTTTTTTTTAGATTTTTTTTATTCAAAGTCCCCAAAAATAAGTTAATTAGGCCAAATCCCCCACAAATTTAGCCTTATTCGTCAAATCGCCTGAGGCGTTTACCGTCGACGTCGACCAGGAAATGCGGAGATTGTTTTTGTGATCCGGTTCGATCTCGGATCTCTCCCAAATTTGCGCGCGTCGCGCGCAAATTTTGTTTGTTTTTGTTTGGCCTTTACCTTAGCGGGGAAGTTAGGGATCCCCGAGCGCAGCCGACGTACGTTCGTTGCAGGGATGTGGACTCTGTGCTCCGGCGCGTCGATTCGAACGGAGAGATGTAGAGGGGAATTCGGAAAAAATTGGAGATCAATAATGTCTACAGGGGAGGTCTTTTGGGTGAGGGCGTTCGGAGAGTTTTGCTCCACAGAAAAATCTCCGAAAGTTTGCATCTATCAGTGGCGGGCCAAGTGTAATACTATCAGTCTGTCGGGAAAATAATGGGCACTCTCATGCATCGAAAATCGCATGTTTGCTAAAAATAATGTGGATTTATCGCACCCTTATCGCACTCGACCATCATCGCTTTGCGACGGCTAGCCGCGGCTGGGGATTTGTTTCACTAACAGGGGAAGTACTCCAAGTGCGACGCACAGCTTTTCTTCAAATTTTGGACACACGTCGGGTATGAACTAAATATCGATTCCTCAAAGTTTAAGGCGCCGCAAAGATATCGAACGATTTTTGCCGCCGAGAGAGCACGATAAACGTGGAGAGCGGTCAGAGAGAAAACACCTTTTTGGCCATAACTTTGGTAGTTTCGTGCGGAAAAATTTGATTTTTTGTAGAAACATTGTCCTTTACAGTAGAAATAGGCATGAAACTTTTCGTGTCGAGATTCGGCAAAAAATCCTAAATTTTCGCCGACTTTCGATCTAAAAATCTCGGTTGTTTCTGCAAAGCGCGAGCTAGGATTCTCGCATATATCTTAGAAAAAATTTTTCTAAATTTGTGCCAAGTTTCATCAAAATCTGAGCGTCGCACTTGGAGCACTTCCCCTATAAGATACGAGAGATTTTTCTACGATAAATCCACAATATCTTCCCGACAAACCAATATAAAAGGCATTATTTATATGAAAAGGTATTTATTAGTGGTCACAAAAGACGTCATCCACTACTACAAAACTCTCCCACACGCCTTCCAAAGTAGTGTGTATGCGGCATGAGGTTTGTGCGCGTCTTCATAGAGCATCCCTTGTCTCCGTAGTACTCTTCATGCTTGTCATTTGTGTACAACACCTCCGTGCCAGCATGATGATAGCCTAGGAGAGTTGTCGCCACACAAGTTACAATGTCATCGCCATTGGAAACCCGATAATATGTGAAGTTCTACAACAAGGAGTAAATTTTTCCAAACACGATCATTTACCATACTGGCCAAATATTTTACAAATTGAAGTGTGCCGATTCGAGGCTGGCCAAATGTGTAGAGAACGATGCGATCTTTGATGCCAGGCATGATGTTGGACAGCCAGGTGGCTGTAAGTCCGGCGAGAGCGCCTCCAAGAGAATGGCCAGTAATCTGGAAACAGCTGGATGTTATGTAAATACTAGGATCAGTCTGTCGGGAAAATAATGAGCACTCTGTCGCATCGAAAATCGCATCGCCGCCGAGAAAATGAATTTTGTCGTGGTGAAATCAAATTGCTTTTTGGCGATCGTCGCAGCAACATTTTGCTCATTATTTTCCCGACAAACTGATATGAAATGCTAAAAAATCATGGCCAGTTTTCACTGAAAACTCACGTATATTTCATAGTCGGGATACTTTTCCAACAGCAAGGCCAGCAGTGGCTGCAACTCCGAGTTGATGAACACATTCTCAACGCCTTTTAGGAACAGCGGATGCACTTCTCCATGGTCCTCATCCAAGAACTCTACCTTTTCGAAAGCCGCTTTGAGTTCTTCGAGCAGTTGCCAGATGTTCGTAGTCCCTCGAAACGCCAAGACGATGGCTTTTTTGGCGTGAATCAGGCCAATGTATCCAGAGCAAACGCTCCCAAAAGGACCCACCTTGCAGTCGGCTTCAACGGTTTTGAGAAGCTATAAATTCAGAAGTCAGTTTCATAGTCTGTCGGGAAAATAATGAGCACAATGCCGTTGCGCCAATTGTGCCGCAGAAGAGAAAAAAATTAGATTTTGCAGCGACACAATTCATTTTTTCGGCGGCGATTTTCGATGCGACAGGGTGCTCATTATTTTCCCGACAGGCTGATAACAGGCGAAGCGATTCAGGTGCGACACTCATGAAGGTATTATACGAGACTCCTAGGTCGCAGTTTACAGAAATGACCAAGATTTTTAGATCGAAAGTAAGCGGCAAAAATGCAAGTTTTTGAAAATTTTGGCATGAAAAGTTTTGTGCCTAGTTGAACCGGAAAGGGTAATGTTTCCACAAAAAACTCATTTTTTTCCGCACGTAACTGGCATATTTATGGCCAAAAAGTGTTTTTAATCTCTGAAAGCTCTCCTCGTTCTGCGTACTCTCTCGGCCGTAAAGATCGTTCAATATCTCGGCTGTGCCTACAAAGCGCGAGCTAAAATTTTCAAGAATGAATATTGTCGCCTACGCCCGAATGTGGGCAAAATTTTAAAAAATCTGAGTGTCGCCCTTGGAGTACTTCCTATGTAAGCTAGCATAACATGCATATGATATATCAACACCCAAAATCACACCACGCCCTTAAAATTACCATGGCATGTCCGCAAGTTACTACATTAGCACCCAACTCACCTTTAATCCAAGATTCTCAAATTTCCCGACGCAGCCTTCAGGAGGCGTTCCGTAAGCGATTGCCGAAAGCGGCAGCATGACGTTGTGTGCCAGATCTGCATCGTAAGGCCTGTGAACCCCATGGACTGTAATAAAAATTATAGCGAAAACACAGAAAGATCGTAGCAGAATCATGAGGCAAAATGAGATTGAAAATTGACAAGAGACCAACTGCCCCCATTTAATAGTATTAATTATGCTAATTGAATTAGCCACTAAATGTTATCATGAACTGTCACTGCAAAAAAGGATTCTAGAAGCAAAAAAGATTCGCCAAGAAAACCTTGGGGGTGTGCAAAAAAAGTCAGGATGCGAGCAACACCCGATGTCATCTAATGGTGTTAATTATGCTAATTGAATTAGCCAATAAATGTTATCATCAATTGTCGCTGCAAAAAGTGGTTTTAAAATTCGCCAAAACAACCTTGGGTCTGTGCAAAAAAGTGACCTCAGAAAACGCGTCTTGCACGGTGCAAAATGCAATAAATTGCACAGTGCTAGGCTACAGTATATTTTCCACCCCCACCCGGAACAGCAAAATGGTCTCGACAAAGAAATCACAAATCAAATTCCAAGATATTCAACAAGAAATTTAACGCTCATTTGAATGCGAAAAGACTTTATGTCCCGCATATTTTGTCCTCAACAATGGAGAAGACAAGGTCGTAAACCCGCAGAGCGCAATCATGAATTATTTTATATATCTATATAAGGCCGGCGTGCGGCTGGATTCATCACCTCGAGCAGAATGTTGATTCGGCTCTTAGTGTTGAGTCTTTTCGTCGGTTCGGCGCTGAGTTTCAAGCGCAACTGTTGCGGCACAAAGTCGGCATTTAAGCGACACTGCAGCGACATCAAATGTAGCTGTGGACCGAAGCCGCCGCGTATCATCCCGGGGCAGCCTGGAATCCCCGGAACTCCTGGAACGATCATCCTCATCCCTGGTAACCCCGGAACGCCTGGAACGCCCGGTCAAATCATCCCGATTCCCGGCTACAACCCAGGAAGCAACCAGCCCCAGAAAATCATTGTTGTCTACGCAGTTCCCGGTCAACAAGCGCCACAAGGGCCGAATATCATCACGATTCCGGCAATCAACAACGGTCCACAAGGCCCACAATACGGGTACATCCCAGGAACGCCAAGTCAACCCGGAACCCCTCCGACAATTATTGTTATCCCAGGGGTCTCCGGAAAGCCCGGACAGCCCGCTACGATCATCCACTATCCCAACACCCCCAACAGTGAGGGTCCGGTCTACGTCATCATTGTGCCAGTTCCGCAAGACCAAGTTCGTCCTCCATTTGTCATCCCTGGCATTCCCGGGAACCCAAGAAGTCCTGGCTACACTGTTATCATCCCTGTTGGCCCACAAGGTCCTCGTGGCCCTTCTGGTCCGTACGATATCCAGCCTCCATATGGACCTAATGGCGAGCCGCAAGGACCAGTCAAGATCACCATCCAGCCCGTGAATCCCGGACAGAAGCCTCAAGCTCCTCCATCGCAAAACCCAGGCCAGGTTATCTATGTGCCAGGCAAGAAAGGCAAGCCAGGAACCGTTATTATTATTGAGTTCCCTCCTCAAAATCCAGGACAAGAAGTCCCCGTGAATCCTTATGGACCCAGTGGACCGGAGGGCCCGTATGGACCAGGACAATACAACCCAGGCTACAATCCCATCCCCATTATTGTTCATGGACAGCCAGGCCAGCCTGAGCGCCAGCCTCAGATCATCCAGCTTCCAGGCCGCCCCGATGACAATCCACAGACTCCGATCTACATCTACATCCGTCCAGTTCCACAAAACCAGGTGGTCCCACCTTACATCACTCCCGGATCTCCCAGCAATCCGCAAGCCCCTGGCTACACCATCGTGATCCCAGTTGGCCCGAACTCTCCAAGACAGCCAAGCCAGCCTCAGCCACTTCAGCCACCAACTGGACCCGATGGACAGCCTCAAAAGCCCATTGAAATCATCACAGAGCCTTTCAATCCGGCCAACCCTCAGCCAGTGCCTCAACTACCGTATCCTCAACAAGTTATTGATGTTCCGGGAGACAATGGAGGACCTGGAACTCGCTACCGTATCATCTTTGTCCCCGGACCCGATGGACCTCAAGGCCCCGATAGACCAGGAGGACCTTATGGACCAGGACAAGATGGCCCAAGCCCCTATGGACCAGGCGGTTATCCCGGAGGACAGATCCTTATCCCAGGCCAACCTGGAATTCCAGGTACTCCTGGAAAAGTGATTATCATCCCCGGACAACCGGGCCAACCCGCTCAACAACCGCAGATCATCAAGTTCCCAGGACGTCCGGATGATGGAAGCAACACACCAATCTATGTGATCATCACACCAGTTCCTCAAGATCAAGTGAGACCGCCTTATCTCACCCCCGGATCACCAAGCAACCCAGATGCTCCAGGCTACACCATCAATGTCCCAGTTGGTCCACAACCTCCTCAAAATCCGTCCGAACCCAGTACTCTGCAACCACCCGCTGGACCAGATGGACAGCCTCAAAGGCCCATCCAAATCATCATTGAGCCAACGAATCCCAACTCTCCTCAGCCAATCCCTCAACTGCAGTATCCTCAAGAAGCGATCGATGTGCCAGGCCAGCCAGGACAACCAGGAACCAGAATCAGGATCATATTTGTTCCCGGAAACAACCCCTCCGGCAATCAGCCAGGTGGCCCTCTTCTCCCTCCAGGTCCTGATGGAAATCAAGTCCGACTTCCACCAGGAGCTCAGCTAAAGCCCGATGGAAACGGAGGATATTATATCATCATTCCTGGCACCCCAGGAACTGAAGGCACTCCCGACACAAGAATCGTGATTCCCGGAACCCAAGGAACTCCAGGAACCCCCGGTAAAATTGTTTGGATCCCCGGAACTGCCGAGAATCCAGGAAAACCGTATAATCCAACTGGCCAGACCGACAATCTGCCATGGCAACCAAGCCAGATCAACCCGTCGTCGCCAGGGCAACAGCCTCAGAATCCTGACAGCATCTTCTACGGCCCCGGAAGACCCCGTGTCCCAATTGTGATCTCCGGAGAACCAGGCCCACGTGGACCTCCCGGCCTCAGCACAATCTTGGTGATTCCGGGAAGACCCGGTGTTCCCGGAACTCCAGACCAAGCCATCTACATCACTGGACCACCAGGCCCTCCAGGACCCGATGGCAAGCCCACGATCATCCATGTGCCCGGCGGATTCCAAGCCCCACCAACCGGAAGGATTATTCTGACCGGACCAAGAGGCCCTCCGGCCGGCCCAGGTGCTGACAGCATTGTCTTCATTCCGCCTCATCAAGGAGTCTTCAAGGATAACCCGAAGAGAATCATCATCACCGGACCGAAGGGTCCGGCGGTCGGTAAAGGCTTCGGATCCATCATCTACATCCAACCCGACGATGTGAGCAATCTGGCTCAGCCAACGCTGCTCTTCGGATATCCCGGACCTAATGGCTCGAATGGAAGACGAAGTGTCATCTATCTCTCGGGCGCACCAGGAGCTCTGCCGGTCGTAGTGTTCGGAGTGCCAGGTCCTCGAGGCCCTGACGGATTGAGCAGCATCTTCTACATCCCCAGCGGCTACATTCCAGAGGCGGAATTGCACTTGAGGAGTCTGCAGATTCCGGCGGATTTCAGTATCCAATTCGTGTTCAGATTCACGTTCCCGCAATTGCCAGGGGCTCAAGGACGGAAGGGTAGGGGAAGAGGAGGAAGAGGTAAGAGCGAGATGTAATGTCATGAAATAATAACGATAATTTTTTAGTGATCATCCAAGAAGAAAGCAGCTCCGATGAAAGCAGCTCTTCATCTCACTCCAGCCGACACTCCCAGCAGATTCGTTATTAAATTTGGGAGGAATATTTAAGGCTATGGTTGAATAAAGTGATATGTCATTGAAGTAATAGGTTCTTTGTTATTTAACCGAGCTCTTAGAGGGACAACTGCAAACAGCAATCTTTTATTAGCAACAATCCGCTTTATGATGCATAACACGCTATTAAACCCAGCTAAAAATGATTTTTATTTCGTCAAAAGACTTTAACAATATAAAGTAAGCTTAGCAGTAGTGAAAAGCTCCCAAAAACCTTGTTACCAGCTGAATATGGGCTTAACCCAACTTGATATTTACTTCCATCTTTTCGCAGCGCCAAACATTTCCTCTGCAGGAATTCGTAGCCCAAAACAAAGTCATAGTTGGAGTTCTGCGCTTTCCCAATGTAGGCCAGATAATACTCGGTATTATCGTCCCTTTTCGCCTTCACAACATAGTCTTTGGGCGCCATTTTGTGCTCCTTTTCGTTGAAGGTAATCGAGAAGGTTGGCAGCTCAGTTAAACTGTTGAATTCAGCTTGTCGGAAGTGCGCTTCGAACGCGGCGGCGTTTACGAAGCTCCCACGAGATGGGTTGAACGCTACGCGCTGCTTTTCAAAGGTATCCGCGCCGATTTTTACTCTGAAAAAGTGAAAAAGTAAAAATGTAAAATTATGTATCAAAAAAGGAAAAGAAATGACTTACGTTGCCTCGACTTGCCACCAAACTTTCCCATCGTGCTCAAGGGCGTCGGAAAATTCGAGTTGATTGCAACCGGTGATCAGTTTCCCCAACGAAACTTCTCCTTTCTGATCTTCTCGTTGTAAACGACCGTCCTGGAAAGACATAATGTTGAAAATCGTTTTTGAAAAACTCATTTTTTGCAAGTGAAGTTTCGCAAGTGCAACGCACGGGTGTTACAGTATTTTCATACACATTTCCGAGTCTACATCAAATATAAAGTACTGAAAATTTTTAACTCGCCGTTTTCACTGTCAGCCGAGGCAATCAACGAGCTCAAAAAAAGAATGCGCAAAATGTGGAGAGCGGTCGAAAAAGAGAACTCTCTGGTACGATCTCTGTCAATTTTGTGGGAATTTCATGTCTAGATTTGCAAAAAATATCATATTTTTTCCATCTTTCGAACTAAAAATCCCGGCTGTTTCTATAAAACTATGCGCTAGGAATTCGTATGCGTCTTAGAGAAAATAATTTTTAATTTGTGCCAAGGTTCATCAAAATCTGAGCGTCGCACTTGGACCACTTTTCCTGTCCATTTTTACCGCCATTTTTTTCTTCGACAAACTTTCCTTACCGTTTTCTGCGTCGGATGCACAAAAACCCCTTGTTTAATGTACACCGTCTTGTCCGTGTCCATGTTCGCGAACAATTTGTCGATGACGGCATACGTTTTGTTGCCAAAGCCGAGGCCCAGCCTTCCATCGGCCAGATACTCTTGCTCGGGCTTGCCTTCGGTGACGACGCCAACCCGATGATTCTGCGTGAGGTCTCCGATCTGTAATGCAAATATAATGTATAGCGAATGGTCGAACGAAAGACGCATACTACGATAAAAGCCATAGTTTTTGCCTACGATTCCGAGTGCAAGGTCCGGATGTTTCCTACACTATTACTAGTGTATTTTGAGTCGCATTGAACAACAAAGGCAATAGAAAACAAAGAAAAAGGGCAGTTTATGCAGAGTGTAAAACAATAAGATCGTAAGCAAATGCGGAGAGCGGTTGGAGACAGAAACGTTTTGGAGATATAGTTTTTGGTATAACAAGGAGAAAGACGTTCAATTTACTTACGCTGACGTCCATGTCGTAATAAATGCCCTTGAAATTAAAGACTGGGTCGTATTTGCTGTCATCGAAGCCACTTTGATCCGGGACTCGTCTGAAAATTGTAAAATACGCGGACGTAAACATCGATTAAAAGTGTTTCAGCACTAGTATTTTTACAAGTAAAGTACTTCATGGGGGTATGGAATTACACGTAGAGGCGTATCAAAAAATAGAAATTTTTTTTTGAAAGGGCAAAAAAACGTCAGAACCTTTATCGCAACGCTATGCAAATGTCTTTTTGACCAAGCTTTTACCAATTCAGAAGTTTTGAGCTAAAGTAAACCCTAATGTTTTGACAATATTTTCGTAATTTGTCAGAGGACCAAACAGTAATTTCTAAAAGCTTCGCCACTGTTGCGCTGTGCAATTTTGTTGCTTTTGAAAAAATGGCTTTTTTGGGTTGTCGGTTTGACCCTGACTTTTCTTGCTCTGTGCATGCCGCCAAAACCACTCCAGCAAATTTTAGATTTTCAAGAAAAGACAAAGAGAAGTGTTGACCTTTGCTAGAGGCCCAATATCATCAAAGACCAAACACTGCCACAACTTACGCTGGATTGACAACCTTGTGTTCGTCCGCCGTGCAATTCCCTTTGTGCTGACATTTGTCGGAGAAAACGAATGAGAATTCGGTGTTCAGATCGAGAAGCGATGAGATTGTGAAGGTTTCGTATGCGCCTTTATACTTTAATTCAATACTTGGGACCTCTAAAAAACGGTTTTGAAATTGCGGAGGGTTCCAAGTCATATTTTACAAACTAAATTTTTTTTTGTTAGGAAAAAATCTTTGCTGACTTTTACAGGCCAATTTTTACGCCAAAATAGACCTCTATAAAGCAAAACCTTTCCATAACAAAAAGAAATTCTTTTAGGATTCGTTGAAAATAAAATTTTACTGTACCGTACTTACTATTTTTATAATTTTGTGAGTTGGTAGCCAAATTCAACAGCGGAATACCATGTAACATTTGAATAGTAATATAAAAAATAACAAAAATAAAAGAGTATTTTGAGACCATATTTCTTTGCTCTGTCGTACCTCAATTTGGCCAACGCATTTATATCACCCATCCGTGATTCATGGATCGCTCGTCGCTTTTTTTGGTAAACAAAAGAACTTGATAAGGCCGTTGAGTCACTAGCGGCGGATGTTTGCATTTTTGATCAGCGTGTTATTCGCCGCGACAAATTGCATATTCGGAGAGTTCGGGGAAACAGACAAAGGTCAAAAAGTTTATTATCAGCGAAATGAGGTGTGATTAATCCGAGAGACCGGCTGTGGAATGCCCGAAAGTCGGCAAAACTTTCAAACTTTATTTGCGCGTTTGTGTCTAAAAAATATAAATGTCCACCTTCGGATAGAAAAGAGCTAAACGAGATGGCTTGTGGTCTTGCGGTCGTCTCTGCAGTCGATTACTTCCAACACCGTCTATCTGGAAATACTTGGCCTTCCAAGTGGAAGGTTGCTGATGTGGAAATCGGGTTGGAAATCAGCACGAGAATAAATGATAAACTACACACAACACCCACAACACTACTGATCAATCAAGATGGGATAAAACCTCAGAGAAGGTTAAGGTGCCGTGATTCAGGCTCTCCGCTTCGGAATCTCTCCATCGAACATTCTCGAACATCGGGGAAAAACAGCTGGGAAACAGTTGACACGGGGGACATCTCTCTCTCTCTCTCTTCATAAATTACATCGAGTTGACACATTGTGGATAACACCAGCTTCCGTGGGACTTTTTCTTGGGCACACGGGCAAAAATTTTAGCCCGCGGCGCTTTGCAGGAGTAGCTGGGACAATCTTTATGCGAGGTAACACGTAAAGAAAGAAATCGTGACAGTTTGAAATATACATATTAGGTGGAGGGTGGCCTGAATGTATACCTTCTACTTGGAGAAAATTTTTCGAAAATATTGCCCTCTGCACTCAAGATCAGGCCGAGATTTTCTATGTCAAACCAGGGAAACCTGATTATCAGACTAATTCGTCATAATGACCCTATAAAAATTATATATTCATGATCCAAGAAAAGTGAACAGAATCGGCCAATTATACCAATTGGCATGGAATAATAACCATGCTCTCTTTGCTACTGACTGTCCTATTTTTTCAAACTAAATCAAGTTTTGGGCAACAGCTGTGTAATTGTGATTGGGTCTACCAGAATTCGCCAAAAGAATGTACAGAGCTTCAGCCGGGTGATGGTAAGTTGGTCAGAACTAAACCCTCTGAAAGCCGAGTTTTTTTTTGTTTCAGACTTTATCGATATCTACGATGAGATCTACTACCAATATCTTGAAAACTCAGGGAAGCCAATCCTTACTGAAGTTGGATTCTGCTGTGCCCTGGTTCAATATTGGATAACAGTTTATCCAATTTGGCCATTATACTCAACTACGCTCCCACCATGGACATCAAGCCCTTGGTCAACATCTACTTCTAGTTGGAGTACAACGCCACCTTCTACTACGTTCACAACACCAACTACACCGTCTACTGCCTTCACAACACCAACTACACCGTCTACTACCTTCACAACGCCAACTACACCGTCTTCTACGTTCACAACGCCAACTACGATGTCTACTACGTTCACAACGTCAACTACGCCGTCTACTACGTTCACAACGCCAAGTACACCGTCTACCACGTTCACAACACCAACTACACCGTCTACTACCTTCACAACGCCAACTACACCGTCTTCTACGTTCATAACGCCAACTACGATGTCTACTACGTTCACAACGTCAACTACGCCGTCTACTACGTTCACAACGCCAAGTACACCGTCTACCACGTTCACAACACCAACTACACCGTCTACTACGTTCACAACGCCAACTACGTTGTCTACTACGTTCACAACGCCAAGTACACCGTCTACTACGTTCATAACGCCAACTACACCGTCTACTACCTTCACAACGCCAAGTACCCCGTCTACAAGCTTCACAACGCTAACAACTCCAACCTCTTCGACGACGTTTACAACGACCACGCCAATTACGCCGGTTACAACGCCACCTACACCGTCTACCACGTTCACAACGCCAACTACGCCGTCTACTACGTTCACAACGCCAAGTACACCGTCTACTACGTTCACAACGCCAACTACACCGTCTACTACGTTCACAACGCCAACTACACCGTCTACCACGTTCACAACGCCAACTACGCCGTCTACTACGTTCACAACGCCAAGTACACCGTCTACTACGTTCACAACGCCAACTACACCGTCTACTACCTTCATAACGCCAAGTACACCGTCTACAACCTTCACCACGCTAACAACTCCAACCTCTTCGACGACGTTTACAACGACCACGCCAATTACGCCGGTTACAACGCCACCTACACCGTCTACCACGTTCACAACGCCAACTACGCCGTCTACTACGTTCACAACGCCAACTACACCGTCTACGACCTTCACAACGCCAACTACGCCGTCTACGACCTTCACAACGCCAAGTACACCGTCTACAACCTTCACCACGCTAACAACTCCAACCTCTTCGACGACGTTTACAACGACCACGCCAATTACGCCGGTTACAACGCCACCTACACCGTCTACCACGTTCACAACGCCAACTACGCCGTCTACTACGTTAACAACGCCAAGTACACCGTCTACTACGTTCACAACGCCAACTACACCGTCTACTACGTTCACAACGCCAACTACACCGTCTACTACCTTCACAACGCCAAGTACACCGTCTACAACCTTCACAACGCTAACAACTCCAACCTCTTCGACGACGTTTACAACGACCACGCCAATTACGCCGGTTACAACGCCACCTACACCGTCTACTACGTTCACAATGCCTACAACGGGCTCCTTTACGCCGACGACTCCAACAACCACCTTACCGCCAGTCACCCCGGTAACAACGCCACCTACAATGAGCTCCTTTACGCCGACGACTCCAACAACCACCTTACCGCCAGTCACCCCGGTAACAACGCCACCTACAATGAGCTCCTTTACGCCGACGACTCCAACAACCACCTTACCGCCAGTCACCCCGGTAACAACGCCACCTACAATGAGTTCCTTTACGCCGACGACTCCATCAACCACCTTACCGCCGGTCCAACCAGTCACAACGCCACCTACAATGAGCTCCTTTACGCCGACGACTCCATCAACCACCTTACCGCCGGTCCAACCAGTCACAACGCCACCTACAATGAGCTCCTTTACGCCGACGACTCCATCAACCACCTTACCGCCGGTCCAACCAGTCACAACGCCACCTACAATGAGCTCCTTTACGCCGACGACTCCATCAACCACCTTACCGCCGGTCCAACCAGTCACAACGCCGCCTACAATGAGCTCCTTTACGCCGACGACTCCATCAACCACCTTACCGCCGGTCCAACCAGTCACAACGCCACCTACAATGAGCTCCTTTACGCCGACGACTCCATCAACCACCTTACCACCGGTCCCACCAGTCACAACGCCACCTACAATGAGCTCCTTTACGCCGACGACTCCATCAACCACCTTACCGCCGGTCCAACCAGTCACAACGCCACCTACAATGAGCTCCTTTACGCCGACGACTCCATCAACCACCTTACCGCCGGTCCCACCAGTCACAACGCCTCCTACAATGAGCTCCTTTACGCCGACGACTCCATCAGCCACCTTACCGCCGGTCCCACCAGTCACAACGCCTCCTACAATGAGCTCCTTTACGCCGACGACTCCATCAACCACCTTACCGCCGGTCCAACCAGTCACAACGCCACCTACAATGAGCTCCTCTACGCCGACGACTCCATCAACCACCTTACCGCCGGTCCAACCAGTCACAACGCCACCTACAATGAGCTCCTTTACGCCGACGGCTCCTTCAACCACCTTACCGCCGGTCCCACCAGTCACAACGCCTCCTACAATGAGCTCCTTTACGCCGACGACTCTATCAACCACCTTACCGCCGGTCCCACCAGTCACAACGCAACCTACAATGAGCTCCTTTACGCCGACGACTCCTTCAACCACCTTACCGCCGGTCCCACCAGTCACAACGCCTCCTACAATGAGCTCCTTTACGCCGACGACTCTATCAACCACCTTACCGCCGGTCCCACCAGTCACAACGCAACCTACAATGAGCTCCTTTACGCCGACGACTCCATCAACCACTTTACCGCCGGTCCCACCAGTCACAACGCCACCCACAATGAGCTCGTTTACCCCGACGACTCCATCAACCACCTTACCGCCGGTCCCACCAGTCACAACGCCTCCTACAATGAGCTCCTTTACGCCGACGACTCCATCAACCACTTTACCGCCGGTCCCACCAGTCACAACGCCACCCACAATGAGCTCGTTTACCCCGACGACTCCATCAACCACCTTACCGCCGGTCCCACCAGTCACAACGCCTCCTACAATGAGCTCCTTTACGCCGACGACTCCATCAACCACCTTACCGCCGGTCCCACCAGTCACAACTCCAGTGACCAGCACAACAACTCTTCCGTCAATATCTCCAGCAACAACGTCTGGTAACCTGCCCCCGGTTGCTTCAATAAGCAGCTTAGACCCTGGCGAAACGACCACAGCTCTGCCTCCGGTAACGCCGATAGCAACGTCTGACGGTTTGTCGCCAATTACCCCGGTTAATGCTTCTGGATCCTCCACGACCACTCTGGGTCCAATTACACCTGTTACTGCTACTGGAGGCTGAAACTCCCTTTTTGTCTTTTATCGTGTTGATTTTAACCATAATAAAAGTTTAAGACCGAAAAAAAACTTGGCTGAACTTTTCTTCAACGAATACAAACTCCGGCCGCCTTCATACTCAATTTGCTTTATGATGCTAAACAAAAGAAATGGATGTCATTGAGACAAGTTCGGACATTTAATAAAATCTATGATATCCGTTGTCTTGAACAACAATGCTCTTGGCCTTGTGGCTCTTCTCTTGGCTAGCGCTGGACGAATCGTCCTCTTCGCTTGAAGAGAAACTTCCGTCGGCATTTCTGACCAAGTTGCTCTTCTTGTCGAACTTGTTGGCCCTGCTGGCAGATCCCTCATCGAGCTCGTTCTTCTTCAAGTATCCGTATGGTCCAGCCACTTCCAAGTTATTGGCGTTCACATGGTTTCTTGCAGCAGCATTGGATCCGGACTCTTCGGCAGACTTGGCATAGTTTCCATAGGCATCAGCGCGAACCTGCGACTTCTTATGGGCTTTGGAAGCTTGGGCTTGGTTGGCCCTATCCAACGAAGACGCCTTCTTGTAGCCATTGCGACCTTTGATCAGCTCGCTCTTGCTGTGATCGTGTTTCTTGGCGTTGGCAGAGCTGTCGTCCGACTCATCGTATGCAGAGTATCCTCCGCGGCGGACTGGGACGCTGACAAAAGGCTGATATTGAGCTCTTGGCCCACTGACTTGAGTTCCATCGAACACTCTGGCTTGGGCTTGTCCTTGGCTGCCGGAGGCAACTTTTGGGCCAACGATGACGGTGCCAATTCTTGGGCGTGGTTGAGACTCAGGTGGGCTGATAATAACAATATTAGGTCTTTGCCGGGGAAGAACTTGGACTCTTGGCTCATCTCCAAGCTGTTGTCCAACTTGGTTTGCGCTAGGCCTAACCCGTTGGCTTTCAGGAGCTGGAGCAATGATGAGAGGATTGCTATGACGTGGAGATTTTGGAGAAATTTTTGGGCCACGATGAGGATGACGATCGTCATTTCCTTGACGAACCGGATGTCCCTGGGCGCCACAGTTGTGAGGATGAGGACCATGCCCTTCATTTCCAGCATGAACTGGGTTGTGCTCGCCTTCGGGACGCTGATGATAGGGCTGATGACGAGCTATGAGTTTATGATAAAAAGTATGAGAGAGACTTACCTCCTTGAGGAAGAGGACGGGGTATAAGTCCTCCCTGTTCTTCCTGTTCTATTTCACCGCTAAATTGACCAGCTCCATTGCCAGATTGGCGATAGCCGGCTTCAGATCCATATTGACCCAATTGATCGCCGAGTTGGCCAGCGCCGTATTCACTGCCGGATTGGCTGCCAGAAGAACCGTACCGACCTCCGAATTGGCCAGCTCCATAGCCAGCGCCATAGCCTCCGAAACCTGCGGCTCCGCCGTAGGCTCCTCCTTCTCCATCAACGATAATCTTGCTGTTGTGGGACTTCTTGGCACTGGAAGAAGAAGAGTCATCGTCACTAGACTGTCTCTTGCTGAAGCCATCAGGACCTTGAACCAGCTCCAGAGAGCTCTGAGAATCGGAGCTGGCGGCGGCTTGATCCAGGTTCGAAGATTCAGAAGCAGCATAGCCATTGGGACCTTCAACAAACTTTTTGTGCTCATCCGCATCTCGGTGGCGTTTCGCGGCGCTTGCAACCTTGTGCTCCCTGAGGCTCTTGTGCCCATACGCATCCGCGCTCAGTTGTTTGTCGGCGTGATTGCGATTGCGGGCATCGGCCTCATGACTGCTGTCATCGGATTGGTAGAAGCGGCGGGCTTCGGAGAGCGCCAAAATGGCCACGAACAGGGCCAACGAGAGTCGCATTTTCAACTCCACTTGTTGAGGAAGTAAAGTTGGTACTGATTACTTCGATGGAAGAATTGAGTTTATATAGTCGTGAGAAAAGTTGTATGCATTATAATATTCAGTTCATTACGGAATCATGTTTTTATTGAAAGGGGTGAAATTCAAAAGAACGTCGTAAACTGGCCTGAGGGCACTGAATGAGGAAGGTTAATAAAATCGTGTCGCTTTTTGATTTTGATTACGATGAACTTACGCCGATCCATCAGAAATTCAAAGAAGGCGCAGTTTATGGTCGTGGCATTGTAGAACTCAGCATGATTACTCTTAAAATATTGTTGATGTACTGTATGCTGGGGATTGGTTGTTATACACAGAATGTAACGTGAGTTGTTTGTCTTAAGATTTTCAGCAAAGTTTTTATGAAAGTTGTTCATGATAACAAAGTTTATTACTACGATATTAGTCTTTACATCAAATTTCCGGACAACAAAACCTCTCTATAACGAACAAATTCTGCCATTTTAAAGCCTTCTTAAAAGAGTCAATGTTTGGATAAAATGAGCTTCTCTACAACGAGGCCTTCCATAACGACAAAACTTTTGGCCAGGGATTTTATCAGTCTGTCGGGAAAATAATGAGCACTCTGTCGCACCAAAAAAAAAGAAGATTTTTTCGCATTGCAACCGAAAAAATGAATTGTGTCGCAGCAAAATCAAATTGCTTTTCACTTCAGCGACGCGATCGGCGTAGCGACATTGTGCTCATTATTTTCCCGACAGATTGACATAGAGATTTTACTGTCATTTCTTGCTCCATTTAATCGAAATTGCTCTTACTTTACCTTCAGCAACCACATACAGCAATCCTCAAACAGTCATGTCAGTGAGCCAGGGCATGTAATGCAGCACAGTTCAATGTCAATGTCGCACAGTCAACACAGCAGCTCGGGCGATGGCCGAGGATTTGATCCCAAGCTGAAGGCTCAACTCGATAAACAACACGCGGACATACTCAAACAAGCCAGAATGTCGATGAATATTCCGCACTCAGAGATCGAGGATTTCTTGAGGAAAAAGTCTGTTGAGGCCAAAAGAAGAGTTGATGATCATATGAAAAGGCTGGAGAAGAATTTCAAAGCAACCCAGAAAGCGATGGAAAAACAAATGGCAAACCTCGCTGGATTAACACATGGCATGGATCATTTTCGTTTGTAGAAGCGTTAATTTTGGCTTTGCAGTCAATCAGTAAATTTAGAGAAAATGAACATCGCGTATATCGATTCGAAAAGGGATTTGAAGTCTTTAGGGGCGCAAATATCAATCTGTCGGGAAAATAATGTAAATTTGTCGCGTCTTAAAATCGGCTACTTTGCGACGGCTAGCTGTGACTGGGGATTTGGTACACGACTGCGACGAGGCAGTTTGCTGCGACAAATCCGTGTGATTGACAAGCTGACACAGCGCCGGACCTGGTGCAGTGGCAAAATATTTTCCGCCCGGGAAGCATAAAAAATATAGCAAAATACCCCCCTCTCCAACTACAAAAAATTCCGTTTTGAAGGGCGCGCCCTTTGCCTCACAAAAAGAAGGGGCACGCTTTTGAAATCGGAGTTTTTTCTCTCGGAGAGGGAGGTATTCTGACATATTTTTTGATACTTTCTGGATGCAAAATGGTACGTTTTTTTGCCACTGGATCAGGTACTACAGTGTAGCTTATTGTCAAGGAAAATAAGGTTAGAAATAGCAAAAACTAGAAAGGTCGTCGTATTGAAAGTCTTCGCCAAGTCTTCGCCGAGCCTTCGCCGAGCATCCAACGGTTCTTAAGCCTCGCTCTTCATTTTTTGTACTCGAAGAGGAAGCATTTTGCCGCATTTTCTGATACTTCCCGGATGCAAAACGATACATTTTTTGCTACTGGATCAGGCCCGTCACTGTACAGAGAGATGGAAGATTTCTGCGACAAGACTCGCATGGAAAATGAAGCGAGAGGGTTCGAAAACAATCATTTTTTGAATAACGCTTTTACAGCTCGTTATTTTATAAGTTTATTTACAATGCTTATATCTTATCCACTATACATAATTTCAATTATTCAGAAAAGTACCAAAAAAAGTAGTATCATCTTCACCAAAGTTAGTACCCATAAATGCTCAAAAAATCTCCCAACTCCATTGTTTTCACTCAATCCAATCCTGGCATCGATCATGCAATCATCAATCTCCAAAAACAGACAATACTTTCTCAAAAACTCAACGCCAACGGCGAAATCGTGGTCCTCGTTGTCAACCATCCCAATGCTGACCTTATAAGGGTCTAGTTGGCCTTCAAAGTACTGCGTATAATCGGCTGGAGTAATTGTAAACTCTCGTTCTTGCAACATCAAGGTAATATTAGGCAGGAAATTTGTGGAATTAAAATGTGTTGCAGAAAAGTAGTTTGCAAAGTGTTGTGCAGATATCTTGGTGGTGTGTGAAGGGAGGAATGAGATGCGCTGGTTGAGGTGGCATTTGTTGTTGAACTTGATACTGAAATTAAAAGGTTTGTTGTGAGATTTCAATAAGGTAAACAGTTATTACTATCAGGAAAGAGAAGAGGCTCTAAGCCAGTTCCAACGCTTTGGTTGGTTTTGTTACGGGACAAATTGACGACTGATGAAGTCGTCAATTTATCCCGCAACATTTTTAATTCTGGCCAACTGTCTACTCAAAATGTCCCGATTGGCCGGTCAAGTTACTGGAGGTCGTTCGAACTTTAGTCATTCGAATTTTAGGCATTCGAACTTGCGGATTCGAACTTGCGGTGTGTCTTCCTTGTCTTCTTGCTCGGCATGCGGTTAGCTCCGTTTTGGTTCAAGTAGAAGCGACCCACATTTTCTGGCTCAAAATTTGGCAAAAAATCAACACTTTGCAATTTTTGGCATGAAAAGTTTCATACCAATTTCTACTGTAGAGAGTACTAGTCCGTTCGCAAAGCCGCTATTGTGATTTTGGTGACATGCACCGTGCGGAAACAAAAGTTTGCTTTGCACTTGCATTTTCTTGCTCTTTGCACCGTGCCATAAGCTTTTTTTGGGCTGTCGCTCGCACCCTGCCTTTTTTGCGCGATGTAAAGCGCCAACAATCACCCTAGCGACTTTACGAACGGGCTAGTCTCAGACTGTCAGGGAAATAATGTGGGTTTGCAAAACGTATCCTCCATTCATCTTCCCAATGACGGGAAGATAAAAAGTATTTTTTCCAACTTACTCTGCAATGATGCTCCACTTTCTCCGGCTGACTGTTGGAGAGTATGCGACGCGACTTGAACAATTCTGAACTTTCCGCTCTCCGAAGTGAATCTCTCCTCTGCTCAGCTTTGCCGGTTCGCCGTTTGCATTCTGAAATACAGGTCTAAGAAGTCAACTTTAACCCCGCCTTACAGTGCAACATTTCTAACTCAGTCGGGAAAATAAAGAACACAAAGTTTCTCACCGTACCTTCAGTCCCTTATAGCTCAACTGCCTGAATACTACAACGTTCTCTTCCATTCTCTCCATCGTATTGAACGCCAACGAAACCTTCTTCACATTCGTCAATCCCAGGCCCAAAACTCCGTCGTATTCAAAGTCCAACGAGCTATTTCCCTCCTCAACAACACCGAGATGAAGATTGTCGACAAGCTCGCCGGAATGGGCGGTAATATTGATTAATGAGCCATAAAAATCATGGCCAATTCCGTGAGTATCGTGGAATCCAACGGCCGGAATTATTTTCCCTTTTTTCCTGTATTCTCTGTAGAATACGATAGGAAAAATTTATTATTTTTTCGATATTCTTACTTGAGATCAATATAATTTTCATGGCTACTATGTGAGCAGGTCCCATTGCCAGCGCATTTTTTGGAAAAGACGAAAGAATACGGCCGATAGAGATCAATTAGTAGGTGAAAGTGATGCTTTTCGTCGATGTTTACGGGCACTGTTAGAGGGCCATCTGTAATAAAAGTTTGTGAATTATGGTGGTTCTACAGTGGCCTGATGCAGTGGTAAAAAACGTACCATTTCGCAACCGGGAAGTATCATAAAATGTAGCTAAATGCCTCACTCTCCAACTAAAAAAAACTCTGTTTTGAAGAAGAGAACGCGCCCTTTTCCGCTCAAAAAGAGCGGGCGCTCTTTTGAATCGGAGTTTTTTCACTTGAAGAGGGAGGTATTTTGCTACATTTTTGATACTTCCCGGATGCAAAGTGGTATGTTTTTTGCCACTGGAACAGGTCCGTCACTTTATTGCGAGCCGGTGGCCTTATTGGCCGGTAAGATTACTAATATACGGGCTGGTACCGCTCTCTCCGTTTTTCGTACTCTCTAAGATTGTTGAATATCCCGGCTGCGCTACAAAGTACGAGCTAAAACTCTCAGAAATTGATATGCGACCAATGTCCGGCGTGTGTGCCAATTTAAAAGAAAATTTGAGTGTCGCATTTATAGCACTTGCTCTCTCAGCCGTTTAGAGTTGATCTCCAATTTTTCCTATTTTACTCACCTCCATTATACTCTATTTTGAAGCTTTCGGTATGCCAAAGTAATAACACCAATTCAGTCAGCCAAGACAATTTTAAATTCATGTCAAATAAGCGGAAAACGCAAGCTTATTTGTTAACAATTTTATGCATGCTCTTACCAAACTCCTCCTAGCATCAGTTCTCTTGGGTCATCTTATTGTTAACTATTTATCAGTTGAAAATGCATACAATTGGAATTTGTTTTCAGATAACTGATAAGGCGAGCGCCTACGTTCTGTTTACGCAAAAATGGCTACATGTTGTGCATGGGGATTGTTGGAGCATTGTTCTCTCGATTTTATTTTTGGATACTGAATATTTTATCTATGTCGCTGTTCAATGATATTATATTAGGGTGTCCCATAAGTCTTGCAAATTTTTGGGTTGAAGAATTAACGTCTCATTTCGAGGGCCTAGAGAACTGTAAATATATAATAGAAAAAATTAGAAGTTTGGTTGATCAGAGGCTGTTAGATCGGGGCAAATCATCAAGATTGGCAGTCTTAATGACTCAAATGGTAAAACCGGGCAAATTGGATATTTGAAAGGATAATTCGCAAATTAAACGGAAAGATAGCAATTTGACTCCGTTGATTAACAACTGGAACTGGCTGAAAGTGTGCATTTTCCGCAATGAATTCATCCGTTTATTTGGACAAAGTAAACATTTGACCAGGAGGATTGACTCCTTGACTTTGCTGATTGGCCGTTTGACCTGATATTTTGTTTAGTTCACCGGAATAAATTGCAAACTTTGCCTGGCAAATTAGGACCCAGTCCTGAAAAATTGACGGGTTGATCATACAGTTTGCTGACTTCAATTGGAAAATCAAAACTTGTTGTTGAATAATTTGACCTCTGGCAAATTTGAAATTTTACACAAAGATTTGGCCGCCAAATGATCAATCTGATCTCCCAGTAAAAACACTTTTCCTCCTACTTATTTTTCTGGATTTCTCTTTTCAAAACCCCCAGACAAAATTTTATGAAGTTGAACTGAATAAATCAGCCAAATAACCAAAGAAAACACAAAATTTATGACTTCATCACACAAGTTTATTACCATAACTATGTTCAATCCATCCATATAACCTTCCGTTTCGTCCAAAAATCATCAAAATCAATTCTATACCTCCTCAGTAAGTGGAGTTGAAAATGCGACTCTCCTTGGCTCTGTTCGTGGCCATTTTGGCGCTCTCCGAAGCCCGACGCTCCTACGAATCCGATGACAGCAGTCATGAAGCCGATGCTCGGAATCGAAGCCATGCCGATAAACAGTTGAAAGTGGATGGTTCCGGGCACAAGAGCCTCAAGCAAAATAAGACCGCTAGTGCCTCCAAAAGCCATAAAGATGCGGATGCCCACAAGAAGTTTGTTGAAGGTCCTAATGGCTATTCTCTGGCTGAATCTTCAAACCTAAATCAAGCCGCCGACAACTCGGACTCTCAGAGCTCTCTAGAGCTGGTTCAGGGTCCTGATGGCTTTAGTAAAAGCCAATCCAGCGACGAAAGCTCGTCTTCTTCCAGTTCAAAGAAATCCCATAGCAGCAAGGTTATTGTTGATGGAGAAGGAGGAGCCAACTTCGGGGGCTATGGGTCTTCTCAATCTGACGGTCAATATGGGGGTTTCCAATACAGCAGTGAATACGGCGCTAGTCAATTCGGCGATAGATTGGGTCAATATGGATCTGAAGCCGCCTATGGCCAATCAGGCTATAAAACAGGTCAAGTTAGCGGTGAAAATGTAAACGAACAACAGAAAGGACAAGGTGGACTCTATGGACCCCGTCCTCTTCCTCTTGGAGGTAAGTCTCTCTCAAAATTTTCATCATAAAATTCCAGAAGATGAAGATGATGAACACAACCCGGCCCACTCCGGATATGAGACAGTAAATCCTCGTGATCATCACAAGCCTCCTCACCAGCCTCTTGAGGAAGAACACAACCCAGTTCATGCTGGAAATGAAGAGTTTAGACCTGAGCCTTTCCCTTATGGAGGTAAGTCTCACTCTATTGTAATGATCATAATGCTTAACTTCCAGAAAGTGAAGAAGGAGAACACAGCGCAGTCCACCCGGGATATGAGCCAGAGGATAATCATGAGAACAGAAGACCCAAGGATCAACCTCTTGAAGACGAGCATAGCCCAGTTCATGCCGGAAATGACGAGTATGGCTATCCTGCAGAAAATGGGCCTGCTCCAAGTCCTGATGTTTCAAAAGATCAGGTCTTTACTAATGATCCAGCCGGGTCTCCTGACAAGCAAGTTTCTCAAGGAGAAGGAAGAAATGATGGAGATGACTCAATAATTATCGAAATCTTCCTTCCTAAACCTAGTGAACCGAATGATCAGCATCCTGAAGACGAGCATTACCCAGTTTATAGTGAACATGAAGAGAATGAGCCTCCTCATCATGATGATCATAGCAATTTTGATCCTCAACTGAACCCATTGGCTTACATCACGGTTTATTATCAACCCCCGGTTCCATTAACGCCCAAAAGGTCTGTTTCCCAAGGTGGGAGAAGCCTAGTTGGTCAAAGAATTGATGATGACCAAGGAAACCAAAAAATACAGGATGAACTACTCCCTGAACATCCACAGCCCCTCCCAGTTAACGAAGAAGACCAATATCCTTCTCGCCCTCCATTCGAGCCGTTCATGTCTTATCCAGCCTCGATTTTAACCCCTTCTCCCAGACCGACCATCATTCTTGGCCCGCCAACTTACTTCACCACCGCGCGGCCTGCGATACTTGTTGATCCTCTCAGAACAACAAGCGTTCCAAGACCACAAGTCAGCCCTAGAATTGGCACCGCCATTTTAGGGCCACGACTCCCAGTTGCGGCGGGAAATAAAGGCCAAACTTTGGAGGGCGAACCAAGAGTTGAAAAAGTTCCATCGGTCAGCGCTAAGGTCCGTCATGGAGGATACGATGAGCTGAATGACAGCCCGGCCAACTCGAAGAAAGTTTTCGATGGAACTCAAACAAACGAACCAAGAGTTCCAGTTCAGCCTTTTGCCAGCGTCCCAGTCCGACAAAGAGGATATTCCGCCATCGATGAGCTGGATGACAGCTCGGCCAACTCGAAGAAACACACTCACAACAAAAACGAGCTGATCAAAGGCCCCGGCGGCCAAAAGAAAGCCTCGTCTTTGGACAACAACAACCAATCTGAAGCCTCCAAAGTTCATAAGAAGTCGGTGATCCGCGCTGATCGCCATGGGAAATATTCCAAGTCCGCCGAGGAGTCGGGATCCAACGCGTCTGCGCAGAATCATGTCAAAGCCAACAACTTGGAAGAGGTCGGACCTAATGGGTATTTGAAGAAGAACGAGGTGGATCAGGGAACCGCCAGCAAGGCCAACAAGTTCGACAAGAAGAGCAATATGGAGAGGAATGCTGATGGAAGTTTCTCCTCAAGCCAAGAGGAGGATTCGTCCAGCGCAAGTCAAGAGAAGAGCCACAAAGCCAAGAGCATTGTTATGGAATACAAGTGATTTTAAGTGAAAGAAATGTTGAAAAAATATAACTTTCCGCAAATTTAAAAGCCTTTTTTAAATATTATTTTCAAGGTTTTTACAGAGTAATCGCTTTATGTATAGTCTCAAAAAATGTAAGGTAAGAAAACTGCAAGTCATAATTAACGTCCTCCTCCGGCATTTGGCGCGTTTTGACCTGCATTGGCACCTCCAGACGCTGTAGCACCTCCAGATGACGGGTTTGAAGCCGAAGCTCCGGAATTTGCATTTCCTCCTGATGAGCTAGATCCTCCGGAGTTTGCTGCCCCTCCATTATTTGCTCCAGCAGCTTGAGTACCTCCTCCAGAGTTCCCAGTACCTCCATTGCTTCCTCCGGCGTTTTCTCTGCCTCCACCAAAGCCCCGGGCTCCTTCATTCCCCACTCCAAGGCCTCCAGGTCCTCCATGCATCCCTCCGCTTAATCCTCTGTTGCCTCCGAATCCTCCAGCTCCTCCGTGAATGGCTCCGGGGAACTCTCTGTTGCCTCCAAAGCCTCCATTCATTCCACCGGCTCCTCCAAAGTTTCCACCTCCTCCATTCATTCCTCCAGCAAATCCTCCTGGTCCTCCGGAGCTCCCACCTCCTCCAGCCATCGCTCCTGAGCCTCCGGCGTTTCCTCCGCTATTAGCGATTGGATGGAAGACCCCAAGCTGGCCGGTTGTCGACATGGTCCCAAGCTGGCCGCCCGCTGCACTTCCAACGGCCTCATTCTCGACTTGTGGCCAAGAATTTATCATCAACGCCAATAAACTTAATGCCAACAGCGTATAGCACATTTTCAACATAATTTCCAGGGTGTTTACAAACTTTTACAGAGTTTGTAAGCACTCTTCTCGCACCCTTTGTCTGTTTTATAGAGATTTTTGTAACTTTCTTTCAAAATCTTTGTTTACCGCTTGCAATTTGTATAAAACTAAAGAAAACGGCAAGGTTGGAATGCGTGGTGTTTACCTGTTCTATGATATAAGAGTAAACAGCTAGTTAGTTGTTTCAAAATGAGAGAAAGTCAGGTTTGATCGCTGAAGTCAAGAGATAAGAAAAGTAATTTGATGGAAAATGGTGATGGCTGTGTTTTTTCTGACTTGGCACCTTACCAAAAGGGCATTTGATGAAGATGGCACCTGGATGAAGAAGAAAAAATGACATGGCCAAAAAAATTTTATGGTAAGGGGGGTCCAAGGCAAATAGTTTAGGATTTATCACAATCCGCCTTGACCCCCATTTAGCATATCATTTTTTTGGCAAACCAAAAAATCATTCTGAAAAAATCCGCCGTACCATATCATTTTTTACTCAAGGTATCCAGTCCGCCTAAATGCCCTCTTCGAAGAAGTTAGGTAGCCTTTTCGAGAACAACCGTTTTCCCTCAAGCCGCTAGCCCTCCGTTAGCTGATGGAAGGGGCACAAGGTCAAGAGCATTGTCGTGCTGTATGAGAAAGTAGCGAATTCGCAAGAACTGTTGATATTTAACGTTTATTAGACTAAATTTCCAGAAATTCGAGGAGTATTTTATGTACAACTTACAAAACTACGAATAAAAACAGACACTGTGAAGAGCTATTGACAAACAATAGAAAATATTGTTCTACATCAGAGATGTGTGTCGTACAAGACTTCATTTTGTCAACATACTCGCTGAATATCTGAGAAAATCATGGTTTTGAGGTGGATGTTTCAATTTCGAAAAAAGTCTAGCTATAACAAGAAATTCTCCCAATTACCCCAAAATAGAGCTCTATGTACGACAAATCTTGTACACTACTCAAAATAGTGTTTCAAAACAAAGAATTCTAACAATACCTGCTAGAAAAAGGCTTTCTACAAAAAAACATTGTCCTTATACGCCCATGACAATGTAAGGCAAGAAAATGGCTAGTCACAAGCCACTTTGTCCGATGGTTCCAGCTCCTCCGCCAGACATCCCAGTTGCTCCGGAGCCCACCGCTCCTCCGCTCGTTACTCCAGGCGCTGGTCCGGCTCCACCGGAGCCCACACCTCCACCCGACATCATTCCACCGCCTCCAACATTTTGTCCAGCGTCAGCAATCGGCTGGGACGAGCCAACTTGGCCATTCGTCCCCATGGAGCCGATCTGGCCGCTGGCCAAGCCGCCAGCGGCCGCGCTCTCCATTTGCGGCCGCGCATTGATCATCAACGCCAACACACTCATCGCCAACACAACAAAGCACGATTGGAACATGATTTAGCAGTATTTACGCGGTTCTGTTGAGCTGATAAGCACCTCTTCTGCACTTGTTATCTCATTTTATACGAATTTGCGGGCATTGTTTTCGAAATCCTTGTTTACCGGAAAGAATGGGGTATAAAAATAAAGCGAAACATCAGGCTCCTAATGCGCGGTGTTTAACGTTTTGTTCTGGGGTGACGAACAACAAATTAGGTGTTTCACAACGCACAAAAAACCAAGGTTTTTGGGAGAAACACTCATCAATCATGGATAATATCAGAAACAGTCGAATTTTGATATTTCAAAGGCCAAAATGATAAAGTTTTTTTGGCAGTGAATTAACTTAGAAGTCTTTAGAAAGAATTTAAGACCAAAGAAAACCTTTTTATAACTAAAATCTTCTATTACAAACCATTTTTAAGCAAAAAAAACGAAATTTTTTTGGGTTTTTAAAAAATAAAATCAATTTTTTCATGGTTTTTGGTATTTTTTACATAGTGAAGAAACCACTGACAATTTGCTATTTTACCGTACCAAAGTTTACCAAAAATAGTCATCAATTTTTACATTATCCATCATCAAAACACCCAAGACCAAAAATATTTGTCAACAACAAGATTTTGAAACTCCCCTTGCGCGAGTTGATATATAAAGCAAGGGAAACGTAATACTGATCAAAAATCCCTTTCATTTTTTTACATTTCTTATAAGATTCTCTTCAAAAAAGCAAGCGTTTTCGACTTCAAAAGAGAGCCGATAAAGAGTGAGCGCTTTCCTTTCGTTTGGAAGGCCGTGGGGGTATAGCTCAGGGGTAGAGCGCTCGCTTAGCATGCGAGAGGGCTGGGGTTCAATTCCCCATACCTCCAGAAATCGTTTTTTGGTAGTTTTAGAGAGAAAAAAGTTGGAAATATCAACGTAGAAGATATAAATAAGTTTAATTTTTCATTTTTAGTTACTTTGCAGTTATATTTAAGGCAAAAAGATGCAAAAAATAGAATTTTTCACTTTTTTTCCGATGTATCTTCTATTTTTTCCATTTTCTTTTCAATTACTGTACCTTAAATTTTCAGAAATGTTCCGTTTCACCTTCAGCATTCTTTTCCTCGCTATTCTCGCTGTCTTCGTCTCAGCACGACCTCAGCTGCTGGCAACTGAGACTACCAGTGTCAACGGAGCCCCGGTGGGCGGATCGATCAGCTCGCCTTTAGGAACTATCGGAACTGGAGTCAATAGTGGTGTTGGAACCTATGGCGGAGTCGGATACCCGGCACAAGTCGGCGTTTCGAGGACGGAAGTTTTGGGATAAAAATTTTACATTGTTCTACCTCATCAACTATAATCAATAAAAAATTTTGTTTCGAATCATAAGGTATTAACAATTTATTATGGGTTGATAACAATATTACATTATACATACAGGAGTGCAATATAAAACTAACAATTGTAAATTGTAAGGCACTGGATGAAGGCTAAAAAATAGCTGCGTAATAAGCTATACCCCTCAAAAAATATCTAAAACAGTCTCACACACCCTAATTCACCTTGAAATACCAAAAAATGGCAATTTTAAGGCTTGTTGCAGAATGCCAAAAAATCAAATTTTCGTGGTGGGAGTCAAAATTTCGATTAAAAAATCTCTAAACCACCTCCCATTCACAGAGTATATTCTATTACGCAACAAAAACTTCAAAAAAAAATACTTTTTACAATACTTTCAGACCTGAATAACAAGTGTAATATAGAAAAAAAGTTATAGTAAAAAAATAGAAATTTAGACCTTGTGCTCGGAACAATAAAGCTGATTATATTTGTCACCAAGAGATCGAGATGTGAAAAAAAAGTTAAAGTGCAGAGAAATGCGGGAAAACCAGTTATTGAAAGTTGATAATTTTGCACTGTGCAGCTCATCGGAATTGAGTGGGTGGGTGCCGAGGGGGGTCGGCTGGACGGGCTGGAAAAATTTTATTCTTATAAAATACAATCCCAGAGTCTAGCTGCGTATTTTAACCAATTTCCCGTTATGTTAACCACAAATCAGAAATCAAGTCTGGGCGCGAGCTGCCGACCAAAAATAATATTAATTCTTGGAAAAATTAGTTAAAAAGTCTACTCTTTACATTATAAAAGTCACAACACACCATATTTGTCTTATTTTTCTATCAAATTCAACTCCAAGTCAGGGCGCAGCCTGCCAAAATGAAAAACGCCAAATCGAGGGTAAAAAAAGTAAAAACTGGATTTTTTACACCAATACCACCACAATAAAACATGTTACACCCACAAAAAACACTGTAGACCTTTTCGAGTCAAGTCTTACCCTCCAAACTTTTTCGGGTCAAGTGTTGCCCTGGTGAGTCATCTCGTCGATATGGGCGCAAAATCGCCGCGGTCGCCGGCCCAGTCGGATTCACCGTCAAACTGACTTGTTTCGGCTCCGGAACCTCGCGAATCGGCTCCATAATCGGCGAGTTTGAGGTAGGCAGTTCGGGGAAATGATGATGAGGTTTTGGTGGGGAAAGTCGGCCATGATCGTGGTTGTTATTCTTCTCCGGTGGCTGTGGGGAGGCGGCGTGAATCGTGGGTGATGTGGACTGCGTGCCTGAGGGAAAATACGACATTCACTACGACTGGTACAACATTGGGGGAAAATAAAATTTAGGCCAAAATCTACAGTACTAACAGGTAGAAAAACATGTAAAAAATACTAATACAACAGAGGCGACATCTACTACTCATAAGAACAATAAAAATTTCCATTGACAAAAATTTAAAAAAAAAGGACAATTTTCGACATTTTAGATTCGGCAAGCTGCGCCCTAGCTTACTCAATATCATAAAAAAATCTAAAACGTTGATAATTTACAGCAAAATGCTGAATTAAACCAATCCTAACCAAAAATACATTAAAATGGGCAAAAATAATTTTGGCGACCTGCGCCCTGACTAACCTGCAAAAATAGTAATTTTTCGAAATTTTTTTATGTAATACCTTCAATCAGTCCTACCCGACACTAATAAATCATTTTTATCCAATTTCCACATCTTTTTAAATTCCGCGAGCTGCGCCCTGACTAACTAGCAAAAATGGTAATTTTTTCGAAAAATTATACGTAATATCTTCAATCAGTCCTACCCAACACTAATAAATCATTTTTATCCAATTTCCACATTTTTTTAAATTCCGCGAGCTGCGCCCTACATTTTTCCAAAACTCATCGATTTCTCCCAAATACCGGAACAATCAGCAGGTCAATAGTAAGAATAAGCTATTCTGACGTTTTTAAAAACCAAAAATGGTCACTAATCACTTACTTGGAGAGCTTATTGGACCTTGTTCCACCGAATTCCGTCTCAACAATTCTTTCAGAACGTAATCCGGCGGTGGTGGCGGGGCAATCAGTTGCTCAGTGACGCTGGAATTCCTTCGCAAAGATCCGTATTCCGGGTACTTCGAGTCGTTGAATTTGCGGTTGCGCAGTTGATTCGTCGGGCTGTTGATTACGCTGCCGGATTTGGATGGGGAAACTAAAAAAAATTTCTTTTTCTTTATTGTAAAATACGTCCAAGCTTAGTGTACATTATTTCAGGCCCTGTAAATCTTATATAAACCCTATTTACATGCCATTTCCCATAAAAAATTTCACATTTCCCCAAAAAATCCTATTTTTTACAAATAAAAAATAAAAAAATTCTTTATTGTAAAATACGTCAAGACTTTTAGTAGGTTTTTTTCAACCCCTCTAAATATCATAAAAACTCCATTAACAGAACATTTCCCACCAAAAAACTTCAAATTTCCCAAAAAATCCCGTTTTTTCAAAAACAAAAAATTGTAAAAAAATTATCTTTTTTAAGATTTTCAAATAAGTTTTTTCTTCTTAACCATGCACAAATTTTATTCATATCCCATTTCCCATCAAAAAACTTCAAATTTCCCAAAAAATCCATTTTTTTCAAAAAAAAAACAAAAAATTAAAAAATTTTTTTTTAAACTCTAAATTACGTTTCTTCCTCTAAACCACACACAAATTCTATTTACAGGCCATTTCCCAAAAAAAAATCTCAAATTTCCCCAAAAAATCGCCTTTTCTTACCAATCCGCGTCTCCGAGTTTGCCCTTTTCAATTCCACTCTGAAATGTCTCGTCCAAAGCTCTTGAATCACCTCTGTGCCAAAGATAACACCACTATGGAGGGTCAGCATTCTCAGCACGAAGAGTCCGTCAATTCTGAGGAATTTTTTGACGAATCTTCGGACTTCCTTGTCCTTTTCGTCCGGATCAATGTCCAGCTCGCTCATTTCCAGATGCCGTTTGATGAAGCGGATGTTGGGCCATGGGAAAAAGGCGACCAGCAGCCAGTAGAGGAAGGAGCCGGCAGTGAAGACGAGGAGGAAAACGTACCAGAACCAGAGGAAGATGAAGATTTTTTCGTTGAAAATATTGATGACAAGTACACATTGGATGGTGTGTTCTTGGATGTTGCCCATCACTCGGACCTGAAAATTGATTTTCAACAATTTATTTTGTCATTTTCTATCAATCCAAGGCATTCCCAATGATTTTAAAACCATTTTGAAAAAAGGTAGGGCGCAGCTCGCGGACCAAAAAATCGCGGTGAAAACTGTCAAATTTTAAATTTTTATACATTTTAGCCTTAAACAGAAAGTACTCTAAAAATTTAGCACTAAATCCATCATTTTTCGAAAATTCGCAGCCTGCAAAAATTTTTAAAAAATCGGATTTCTGGGCGCAGACTGCCATAAAACAAACCCACAAAAATTTAAATCACATTACTAGCCCTAATATATTCAACTGAACCCACAAAAAGTAATTTCCTGCCTTTTATTTCCATTTTTAAATTCCGCGACCTGCGCCCTGACTTCCTCTCAAACCTCCTTTCAAACTTCAAAAAATCGCTCACCTGAAAGTCACAAAGACTAATCCTGGGAAAAACTCCACTCGTCTCCCAAGTTTTCCCCCTCAACAAGTCCAAAATGGCACCAAATCCATAGAACTGATACTTGTCCGTCTCCAAAAACTTGTTCATCAAAAACAGCTGGACCACAACGTTGAACAGATAGCAAAACTTGGTGATCAAATACGTGATGGTCACATAGCACGCCGAATACGGCAAATTGAACATGCGGAGGAGTTGATGGGGACGGAGTTGTTTTTTGTGTAATCGGCGATGAAATCTCAACGCGCCTTCCAAATGGACGGCTAGTGAGCGAATATTGGCCCGTTTTATATCGGGTTTGATGTTGTTCGGGTCGCCGGAGAGCTTGCAAATCTCTTGGATCTAGAAAATCGACATTTTAGTCATCAAAAGACCGATTTTTTACGGGGAAAGTGCTTCTATGGGGTATGGAGTTTCAAGTCGAGACATATCAAAAAATCGCAAAAAATTTCCGACTCAGAATATGTAAAAATTAGCTGCCCAATTTTGGTTTGTAAGGGCGAAAAAATCGTCAGAACTTTTCTCGCAACACCACGCAAATGCCCCTTTTTTACATTGGAACTACTAATTAGGGTGTAATATTAATCAAATTTGATATTTTAAGGCTTGTCAAGATGCCAGGGTTTACTTTAGCTCAAAGCAAACCTTTTGAATTGGCCTTTTTGTCCAAGTTTTTACCAATTCAAAAGCTTTGTTTTGAGCTAAAGTAAACCTTGGCATCTTGATAAGCCTTAAATTATCAAATTTGATTTATACTAGACCCTAATTAGTAGTTCCAATATAAAAAAAGAGGCATTTACATGGTGCTGTGAGAAAAGTTCTGAGGATTTTTTCGCCCTTACAAACCAAAATTGGGCAGCTAATTTTTACATTTTCTGAACCAGAAAATTTTTGCGATTTCTTTGATATATGTCTCGACCTGTAACTCCATACCCCTAGAACTACTTTCCTTGTCAGAAACAAGTCCCCATACCACTCAGCCACCCTTTTTCCCACCTTAATTCCACTCTGCCCACTCATATATTTCCACAAAAGGCTGGGCAATCGGAAGCAGGCGGCTTCGATTAGAAGGAAAAATGGGACCCATTGATAGTAGCTAATCTTGCGTTGTTGTCGCTCGTTCTTCGGCATTCCATCCACAATTTCGTGCATCAGGACCGAGTAGGTGTCTTGGGCCCAACAAAAATTTTCGGCATACTAAAATCCGAAAAAAAAGTTTCAAAAAAAAACAAACTTTCAATGGAATTTTTTGATTTTTTCACAATTTAGAAATCAACTGGTCGATAACTCATAATAAATGTCAGCCGTTATTCTTCACCCTGGACGTACTTTACAACAGTAACACGTCAACTTTTGTCTTAAATTTTGGTTCCACAACAAAATCCTGACTTTTTGGCATTATGTTTCAACCCTCAAAATTGGTTCATAAAGATATTAGACAACTCAAAATACCGTTTACAACTTATTTTACGTATCTACTTCAATTAAATTTCGGTTCTGCCACGAAATCCTGATTTTTTGGCATTCTGTTTCAACCCTCAAAATTAGTTCATATTCAAGTAAAAACGCTCGATAAACCCTTATAACATAAAAACGATGCTGGAACGCGCGTATTTTACCCCAAATCACCTTGAAATTTACCTTATCCACGCCGATAAACGGTAAATTATCAGGAATTAGGCATTCAATCGGATGCCCGCCAAATTGTTTGTACGAACTGATGACAGCCAGCACAATCAAGAAATTTGAGGTCACAATCGAGTTGGCGGAGTCGATGAAATCCGCAAAATTGGGTGGATCCGCGAAGATTCGGCCGGAATTCACGACATTCCCCAAGATGTTCATTTAGAACCCGTATTTCGGGAAAAATACTTGGGCAAATTGCCCACAAAAGAAAGAGGATGGTCTATGTGATCGAAAAATCAGCGGGGACCATAGAGAATTGCATTTGGAAACTGTAAATTCGAAAAATTCCATAAAAGGTGAGAAAAATCAAAATTTCGCGGAAAAAACTAAATCAACCCTTTAAAATACAAGGAAAATATTTCTTAAAGAATGTAGGACTCCAGAACTACAGTACTACTGAAAGAAACCTAAAGGAAACATCCGATATCAACCTTTCTGATCAATATTTTACCTCAAATACGAGGAATTACAAGTTTCAAGACCTCAGCAAACAATAAAGATCAATTAAATACCTTTTTAAACGTTATTTGGAAGTCTGCACTTTCATATTTACTCAAAATACAACTTATCAAGGGTCAAAAAGAAGTCAAAATTTGACGAAAGCTCTTTTGGTCCCTGCCGGAATCGAACTCGGGACTTTCCGACTAATAGAAAAAACGAGTTACCACTAAACTATTGGAACACACAATAAAAAAGACGCTTTCGAACGAATCTTTGAAAGAATTGTAAGAAAACAGGCCTACAAGCGCAAATACGATGATTGAATGATGGTAAATCGGAGTATTGACCTACATTCACCTTATACTTCATATCAAACGATTTTTTTAGGTAACTTTTTTTCAAAAAAATTACCTAAAAAATTTCCCAATATGTTAAAAACAAAGATCTTACTCTCAGAGCAATATAAACCCTCTAAATTCACCACCAAAAATCTCCACCTCCACACCATGAGTAACATAATAAACCATCCACAAAATCAGAAGTTCGTCCAAGAAAATAACCTTATTCGCTCATGAATCACACATACAAAGGTAATATTTGCGCTGTCCGTCTATTCATCATAGACTTCTTGGTTATTTGAGTACAATAACTCGGGTTGTTTTTAACAAATAGTTGGGAAATTTTGGAAAATATTTTATTTTTTGCTATCGACCAGTCGATTTTTGGTGAAATTTTGATTTGTATAGGTACCTTAGATCTCAGAGGATCTAGAGATATCAAATTCTTTTGGATTTTGTCCGATTTTTTGATGGAAAATTATATTACACTTACCTCCTCCCAAGAGCCGGAAAAAATGTCCGGTGTGAGACATTCCAGAGGTTTGCCGCCGAATTGCTAAAAACAACAAGTAGAATACAGCGTATTTTAACTATAATCATCATTAAAAGAGGGAGAATAACCTTAAAGGACCTCACCAACTACATTTGAATCGAGTTTTTACGGCTTGGAGGTGCGCCTCGCCAAAAGTTGCGAAGATCCCGCGAAAAAAACAAAAACAAAAAATAATCGAGAATTTTTTTCGAAAATGCAAAATTGAAGAAAGTTTGAGCTAGTTCATGTTCCAAAGTTGCTGAAAACGCTTCTTGTTCACGTGGATCCTGCCGACACTCATTCGGATGCTCTTGGGGAAGGCTGATGTAAGTTTTCTTTGGTTTTTGCTTGGTTTTTTCGCGTTTAGGTAGGAGTAAAGTATCTTGCACAATATTTCGGCGATTCCTTTGAAAAAAAGCCCGAACGAAGTGTTGAGGAGCAAGTTTTGGACTCAAGGCTTGTGTGGATTCCATTTTCTTGCCTTGTTAGGGCTGTATTTGCCCATTTAGAGATATTTTATATTATTTTAGTCAAGTCTTTCAATTTCAGAGTTGTTCAATCGCCGAGAACGCGATGCATGAAGAAGAATTCTCTTCATACAAATTCCTTTGCGTCACGATTCGAGACAGGAACGTTGTCTATGGGATATTCATGTGAGGTAATGTGTTATTTACTTTTTTTGCTTAAAATTTCGTTACGTAATTTCTCGGCCTCTATGCATTTAGTTTTAGATAGGCACTTGTCTTCGTGAATCAATGGATCAACTATGGAAACGAAAGCGGTTCGTAGACCAGCAAATTGAACAAAAACTGCATGATTATTATGTTTTATTGATGTATTAGATAATAAAAGGTATATAAGTGTATATAAGTTACATTCTTTTATTTTGACCAGGATGCTTTATGTAAACGACAGGTCCTGTGGACACGCCGGTTTCTTCATCTTCATGGGTCGTTCGAGGCGATTGCACAACTCTGAAATTGAAGCACTTGACTAAAATAATATAAAATATCTCTAAATGGGCAAACACAGTCCTAAAAAGGCAAGAAAATGGAATCCACACAAGCCTTGAGTCCAGAACTTGCTCCTCAACACTTCGTTCGGGCTTTTTTCAAAGGAATCGCCGAAATATTGTGCAAGATACTTTACTCCTACCTAAACGCGACAAAACCAAGCAAAAACCAAAGAAAACTTACATCAGCCTTCCCCAAGAGCATCCGAATGAGTGTCGGCAAGATCGACGTGAACAAGAAGCGTTTTCAGCAACTTTGGAACATGAACTAGCTCAAACTTTCTTCAATTTTGCATTTTCGAGAAAAATTCTCGATTATTTTTTGTTTTTGTTTTTTTCGCGGGATCTTCGCAACTTTTGGCGAAGCGCACCTCCAAGCCGTAAAAATGCGATTCAAATGTAGTTGGTGAGGTCCTTTAATTTTGAATAAAAATCAAAAATTTTCACTAAAGCTACCTAAAACAAGGTAAATTTGAAAAAAGTTTTAGAAAAGTATAAATCTGATCGCGAAAAGATAATCCATCCGGTACTACAGTTCATGTCACATCTTTTGAGACCAAAATCACCTTGATCTATCCTCTATTTTCATCCAAATTCTCCATTCTCCCATCAGCCCCATGGATAATATAAAATTTCGCTTCAACTCACTTTAAAGCTGACCAGCACCGACAAAGCAATTAGTATGTTGGTTGTGAAGAAGGAATTGATCCGATCCACAAAGTCCCGGTCGTCGGACGTGCCCACATACCGGAGCATAGACAGGACGGTGGTCAACACCATCTTTTATTGGAAATATGGCAGTTTGAGGTAAATTATGGGAAATTCTCGGTGGGGGATCAGGTAATCTTTGATCGGATCAGCATTATCTGCAAGTAGAGTTTGTTTATTTACCGATTTTTTGGGGGAAATCGCGAGAAAATGGGGAAAAACTAGGGAAAATCGAGGGAAAACGGTCTAGAATAATATTTTGATGTCAAAATAAATGAAAATTCATTAAATATCTGTCGAAATGGATCAAATATGAAGTGAAATACGCCATGGGATCTATGTCTTATCCAAAAATCCAAGAATTAAGAGTGAAGAAATAAGATCGCACCGGTCGTTCCGAAGCAAAACGTTAAAAACACTTTCCTCACTTTTTTTTGAAAAAATAGAATGGGAAAAATGAGGCCGACATGAGAAAAAAAGCTCGAGAAAGCAAATTTAGCGTCTTTTTCAAAATCTGAAAACCGGTCTTATTTCTTCATTCTTAATTTCCACGAAAAAAGACAAAAAAAACGTTTCTTTCCGGACCTGCCACGGAATGCCAATAAATCCAAAAATTGCCGAAAAAAGCGGGAAAATCAAAAATTTGAAAAGAAAAAAGAAAGGGAAACCGAACATCTGGTCAAACACATCATTTTTATGACCCCTGCTCTCCAAACCAACTCAATTTCCCCTGGAAAAACATCAATTATTTTTATCAACATCAAGCTCATGAACAAGGTCCAAAACTCCACCCAAAACTTGCTTCGAATCTTAGTGGGTGTAGCCGGATGATTCACAAAGCATCCTAGAGCAATTCCACTCTTCGCGAATTTTTTATGACCGGAAAATATTCGAAATACATCGGGAAAATTATCTTTCTTCGATTCCAAGACTAATCGGATTAAATTTCGCGCGGAAAAACAGTCGAGACTCTCGAGAAAACATAAGCATCCTGCTGGAAACAGGTCAAACATGAGGGCTTTTGAAATGGCTTGGACGAAAGTTGCGTTGCCAAGGGGAAATTTGGGATTTTAAAGGGGAAAATGCAAATTTTCGAGGAGGAAATAAGAGTGAGTAATTTAACGCCCTGAAGAACAAGAAAAGAGGTCTTACGCGGGACAAAAGTGTTTATATACTCAGAGGTTGAAGTGAGTGCGACCTGAAGAGACGTGGGTATGTAAATTTTGTTGGGAGAGGGGAGAAAATTTGGGGCGAAACATTGAAAAATCTGCAAATAAAGAAAAAAAACTTGAAATAAGGGCAAAAGGTGTCGTTGCCGTATTTTAAAAAGCATTTTATTTAATCCCAACAACAATTTTACACCTAATTTGAGGCGAGTTGATCAAAAAAATATCGATTTTTTTTGTCATCAAAAAAAAATAAAAAAATTTTTTTTTAATTATGAAAAAATGTTAAAAAATAAGTATGGCTTTTTTTGACCCCACCGTATTTTTAACATAATTTTCTTAAATTTTGAAATTTTTTCACCAAAAATTTATATTTTTTGCTTTTTTCCAGCTCTAAAATTGACAAAAAAACCAAAAAAATCAATAAAAAATTTCATCAAAATTTATCGCTGCGTATTTTAAACTTCATTTCCTATATTTTGAGCTCAATTTTGAAGAAAATTTTACGATTTTTTTTGAAAAAAACCGCATTTTTATATTATCCATGATGATTTTTAGCCAAAAATAAAAAATCACCTCATTATACATAACTTTTTTGTCCCTCAGAACATTTGAGAATGTATAATGACGCGAGAACACTTGAAAAACATTGTGAAACCTCCGTTTTCCCCCATTCTTCCTTTTATGGCGAAATCCAAAAAGCCTTTCTCTTTTTGGCGCTTGCGTAATTTTCTGGCAAAAGAGCGAAAAAAACGGGGACGGACAAATAAAGGGATGGAAACAAATACTTTTTTTCGACTTTTTAAGGCGATTTCAAGGAAGAGATGAGTGTGAGAAAAAAAAATTGAAGGAAAAATGAGATTTTTAAGCCGAAAATTTGAAGGAAATTTTTAAAAATTTTGAATTTTTTTTTCTCAAATTTTGGCATGAAAAGTTTCATGCCTATTTCTAGTGTAAATTGTAATGTTTCCACAAAAAATCATTTTTTTCCGCGCGAAACTGGCAAAGGTGTAGCCAAAAGGTGTTTTTTCTCTGACCGACCTCCGCTCTGCCCGTACTCTCTCGGCCGGAAAGATTGTTGATTATCTCGGCTGCGGCTGGAAAGCGCAAGCTTAAATTTTCAGGAATTGATATGTGGCCTATCCCAAAAATGTGTGCAAAATTTGAAGAAAATCTGAGGTTCGCATTTGGGACTTTTATTGTTAGGCTTAAAAATATACGTTCTACAGTGAGGGACCTAATCCAGTGGCAAAAAACGTACCATTTTGCATCCAGGAGGTATCAAAAAATGTGGCAAAACACCTCCCTCTACAAGTTGAAAAAACTCAAATTTCAAAAGAGCGTCGCTTTTTTTTAGCGAGGAAAAAGGGCGCGCCCTTCAAAACGAAGTTCTTTCACTTGGAAAGGGAAGCATTTTGCCATGTTTTTGATACTTTCCCGGATGCAAAATGGTACATTTTTTGCCACTGGATCAGGTCCCCCACCAGAGATTGCCACGGCTCCGGAGCCGGCTCTTGGCCCCGGCTCTGAGCGGCTCCGGCTCCGAGCCGGGAGCCAGAGCCGGAGTCGGAAATTTTGGGGTCGGCTCCGGCTCCCGAGCCCAAAGTCGGAGCCAGGGTTCCCAGCGGTCAGAAAAGTAAAAATTTCGTGATCTTGTTAAACCAAATTGCTTGAAAAAACACTGCGGAGGATGTGACTTGACTGCAAAAACGTTGGCGGTATGATCTCTGGCACTAATAACTTTTATTTTTGGAAAAATATTTTTCAAAAACAAGTCATAAGAGCCGGGATTCGGAGCCGGAGGCCTTTTTAAATTTTGCACGGAGCCAATAGCCGGAGCCGGAGCTGCAAATTTGGCCTCGGCTCCGGCTCTGGGAGCTAAGAGCCGGAGCCAGAGCCGAAATTTTGACCGTGGCAATCTCTGCCCCCCACTGTATCAGTTTGCCGGGAAAATAATGAGGAAAATTCTGCTGCGCCAATTGTGTCGCTGAAGTGAAAAGCAATATGATTTTGCCGCGATACAATTCATTTTTTTCGCTGCGACAAAATCCTCATTATTTTCCCGACAGACTGATGTTTTTGGTCTGCAAAGTTTCTGAAAAACAAGATCAAAAAAGAAAGACCTCAAATCAAGCCCAAATTTAACCTTGACCACGCAGCTTCAAGGTCTTTTATTCAAAGAATAATAGTGCTACAGAATAACGCATTTTTTGACCACGAATTACAAAGGAAAACGTTTTTTTCGGAATTTGAAAAACATTCGAAACCCACTCCCTCAAAGGGAGCCTTTTCCGAGGACTTTCTGGAGATCCGTCTGCAAAATGAGAAGGGAAAAACAAACACGAAAGCTGACAATTTATGGGCCATTCTTATACGAAGAGCACTAGGCTTGAAGAAATGGGGGAAAGAGAGGGCGCGCAAGTTGAATGATCGTGATTTATCCCATCAAATTACGAAATTTCGAGAGAAAACAAGGTGATTTTAGAGCGATCTCAAGGGTCTTGAGGAAAATAAAAGCTGGTTTTGTGATTTTTGTCGTGTTTTTGAATGTTATAGGCAATTTTTTTCAAAAAATCAAAAAATTTCTTAACAAGTCTCTTTTTTGTGATTAAAGTTTGTGGATTCCAAAAAAATCTAGAAATTACGGAAAATATACTGCGAAGTGTAAAAAACAATGAATAAAAAAATTTTGCACAATGCGAAAAGCAAAAAAAAAAAATAGAAAAAAGATCACTTTTCAGCGTTGTAAAATACGACTATGGCAAAAGTAGCATAGCAGTAAAAATTTTTTTTTAATTGTGAAAATAAAAAAAAAATGAAAAAAATCCGTCAAAATTCGACGAAAACTCATAACTATTCTTAAAACAGGTTTTGCGAGAGACTCGAGCTTTCAGATATGCGTTCAATTTCAATTTCAATTTATTTCACTAATCACATGTAAAAATCATGGAGTGAATCAGTATGGTTTCTATTGTTCAGTCAATGCAACATCCTATAGTGATTTGGTCCTTCTTATCCTGGGGCATCCGAGCGGGTGTGCGTAGGAGGTGTCCATTCCAATAGCATGAATACCAGAACTGAACAGTACATATCCCGAGATTAGCTCCACCGTTTCCTTTTTCCAACTTCCCCTCGCTTCGAGTTGATCAACATTGACTGCACGAACTAGAACTCCAATACGATTGATGGCTACTGTCCCAGGCAAAGCCCTTTGTGCCCGCGACGGCATGGGTGGACAGGAAAAACCGACCGCTCTTCAAGGAGAAAAAATCGGTTTCAGATATGCGTTGTGCACAAAAAACAAGATGTTACAGTAGAGACTTGAAATACCTACCGTAGTTAGCTAGTTACCAGTGTATTAAAATGGGCAGGTCAAATTTTAAATTTTTGGCTTACTGTAGGTATACTGTAAGATTTTCAGATTTTTTGTTTCTCCTCGACCAGTTGTCCGATTGACTCCGGACCTTTTCAGGGTTATAGAATGATTGATTCTAAGCAACTTTCATATTGACACCTTTTTGCTAGGACCTCTGGAAGTGTGCGAAAAATTTGCATATTTAGCAAAAAATTTAAAATTCTTGAATTTTTTTAAAAAATTTGCATACTTGTACATCCTTTTTATTGCTGTAAATAACACTCTATGATGTGGGGATTCAAACGGTGGCAAAATCATGGCTGGGTGGCCTGTCAAGTCTGAGAACGAGGCCTCTAAACATTTGGTCATCACGAAATTTTTTTGTTTCAAAGTTCGATACGTGAGATATCGGGACAAAGTTTAGTTCCATTATAATCTACATAAAATTCTAAGACCTTTAAACCCCATTCCCGTGAGTCTCAGACCGACCGGTCGAAAGATACGACCAATTTTCGAGATTTTTTATTTTTTCAATTTTCGCCATAAAGATGACAGAATTGCATTTTGCGTAGAATTAGAGGTTAATTTAAAAATTAACCTCTAATTCTACGCAAAATCCCAAAATTAACCTCTAACTCTATGCAAAATCGAAGCTAAATACTGTTCAAAAAAGATATTACCTCTACGGAAAAGTGAATTTTTATCTGTCGGAAAAATAATGAGCACAATGTCGCTGCGCCGGTCGCTTCGCGAAAAGCAATTTTATTAGGTTGTCCAACAAATAATGACCCTCTTCGAAAAATTTATTTTTTCGGCAAAATTTACCGTAATAACTGCGATCTATTTAATCAAAATAATCATCATGTGCTTTATCACGCTTGTTGCAACGTGCCAAAAAGTTTTTTATGTCTGTAGCTTAGGAACCCCGGCTTCTGGAGCCGATGAAACTTTTGAAGGCCTTTTCAAGGGCGTCTTGATTGTCGAATTCCCTACCATTGATGAAACGTGCTAGATTCTTGAACTGATGGTAATGTGTATAGGCCAGCTTTGACAAATAAGCTGGACGAGGGACAGTCTCGTATCTCTATTAAATCGGCTTCTGGAGGGTCATCTTTCAAAGGGGAGGTTCCGTGTAGCCGCTAAGAATTTTCGGACTTCTGTGGCGCATCGTTGAAGACAGACGCTGCCACAAATTGTCTATCTGGATACAGTAGGGGATGGTATCTACACTTTGGCCAGCTTTCAAGAAGCTGTATTGTACTATTCCCATGCTGCACCATCAAGCACTAGTCATCACCTTGTTTTGGGGGGAGTCGGGCTTTGACAAGTGCCGCAGTGATACCCTCGGAGGACTCCGTTCAGCATATCCGGTCTGGTTGTCCCAGTAGGTACTCTTTTCATCAGAGGCAACGATTCGACCCAGAAAACGGCACGCAAACGCGAGAAATGTAACGCTTCCACTCTTTGCTTTGATCCAATAACATGGGAAAAAGTTGCCGAGCATTTTTTGAATTCCATCGACATTGAATGGTTAGCCGCCGATTATTTCAACAGCCAGACGATGTCAGAGACGCGTTGGATGTTGATTCTAGGATGTTCGTCAACCGCCGACCTCAGGGTAAATTGATAAAGTTTGGATTCCGTACTTTATCTTTGGGTCCCTTGCCGTCAAATCGTAATTTTTAAATCCATCGTTTCACCGTGTTCAGACTCATAACACACTAGTCGAACATAGCGTTGATACTTTGCGCAGCTTCTGAAACTTTCGCATCCTGTTTTGCCCGTAAAAGATGACAGCGCGAACCGACTTTTTTTTGATAATTTTCGGTTAGAGCTAAATTACAGTAATTTGGTCCCAATATGACAAACGATACATCAAACGAAAGCCTTTAATCTCAGCTACAAAATGTTATAATATTTCGAAATTCCATCATCGCTTGCCTTTTTTAGAGGCTTTAAACTTTACCCCTCTCACAGAGGGTCATTATTTGTTGGACAACCTAATATTATGCCGCGGCACAATTAATTTTCTTGGCGGCGATGCGATTTTTGCTGCGACAATGTGCCCATTATTTTCCCGACAGATAAAAATTCACTTTTTAGTTCGGTAAGATACGAACTGTCCCCAAAAAACGCTAAAACTTATTTAAAATTGTCAAAAATCCCCAAAAATTTGCCAAAATCACCAAAAAATCCCCAAAAATAAGTCTCTAATTCTTGTTCGTCCGTAAAACCGAACTGAAATCCCGTTCAGAAAAGATATTCCCTCTTCCTCACGTTTATTTTCGACAAGGGAAGAACGTGTTCTTATCCAATGATTTCAACAGAAAAGACCGACCTTTATAAAACTTTCAAAAAGCCCCCTTTTTTTCCTTTTTTCCCTTAGGGCCACGAAAAAAGCGAGGCTTCTCCGAGGCCCACGAAATAATGTGGGCTATTTTGGAGACTTTACTTTTGCTTTTTTCCCAAATTTTTTGGCTTTTTTCTCCTGCTGAGTGGACCTTGAGAAGGAGAGGAGAGGAAAAGTTGAATCAATTCGAGGAGAGATTACGCATCATTTATTGAGGAATTTGAGGATAACTCAAACAGGATTGTATAGTATTATGAATGAGCTTTGATAAGGAAAGCACTTCTATGGGGTATGTAGTTACGAGTCGAGACAAATATCAAAAAATCGCAAAATTTTTGTGATTCAGAATATGTAAAAATTAGCTGCCTAATGTTTGTTTGTAAGGGTGAAAAACCTCAGAACTTTTCTCGCAACCAAAGATTGCCATGGCCACAATTTCGGCTCCGGCTGTTAGCTCCCAGAGCCGGAGGCGAGGCGAAATTTGCAGCAAGGGCCCTTGAAAACTTTAGGTCCGTCACTGTCATAAAAGAGCCTCATGAAACCCGCGGAAAAAAAGGATTGTTGATTTTCCGACAAGTCGAAATTTCAGCCAAAAATAGCGCCGAAGAAAAACGAAAATCTTCCACAACAGTTGGGAGATGGTTGTGGCACAATGTTAGATTTATCGGTAGTCTTTGGGGCGTCAGTTCTTGAAGATGCCATAGTTACCGTGCTCGCCAAATCGGATGCCTGCGGAGTTCTAGAGCTCACTGTAGTTTCTGGCGCGGTGGTTGTACTGATCTTCTCTTTTCGAGTAAATGTATGGAATTTCGTGGTATCTGTAATCTCGGGGACCAGGAACAACGGTTTTTTGAAGTTGTCTATCGTCCAGTCGGACTGATCGTCAAGGTAGTAGTCGACGCTGAAATTCATAGTATATGTACTGTGGAAATTCTATTGACAAACCTCCGTACAACAAAACCTGTCTATAACAAACAATTTTAAAAGGTCCTAAGGACCAATGTTTGTGCAAAAATAACCTTCCGTAAAACGAAACCTGTCTATAAGAAACAATTTTATAGATACCAGGAGTCAATTTTGGGCCAGAATACACCTCCGTACAGCGAAGCTTTTGGAAAAGCGTTTATTAACCTGTATTCAGGTATGGGACATCGATTACGATAGGTTTGGGTGGCTCCCGCTGGTGATATCTAACTTTTTTAAGGGGGGTCAAAACTTTTGTCCCCTTTTTTTGGGGGTGATTTTTAAAAGTTGTCTCTGGATTTTGAAATACAGCTATATGGTTTGTCCTGCTGTGATATTTTTTATTATTAGGTTACCAGTAGACTACGTACCAAATTTGGTCCAAATTGGTGCACTTTGGACCGAGTTAGAAAGGGGTCAAAACTTATGGCGGGTTTATGGTGGGGTCAACATTTTTGACTCAATCTTCTCAAAAACTCGACCACCAGCACTCCTGGATGGCTAATATTGGAACTAAACTCATTTTCTTGCTTCGTCGTCGTAAAAATTACCTAAAATAGACAGAAACACTAAATATTGACTTACATGTTGTTCACGAAGTGGTAGTCCAACTTGAAACTGCAAAACTGGCTACGATGCTTCCTTTTATCGAATTACATTGCCAGACAATGTACAAGGAGGTCAGAACAGAAAATCGGAAAATATTTTTATCCGAAAATAAATCAAGAACATTTGTTCTTCGGAATTTTCTCGACGCGAAAATCCCTGATAGTAAATTTTTTAGCCGAGCAAATTTCGGTTCAAAAAATACCTTTTCTGGTCCTTTAATTGCCCCATTCGGCTAACAATTAAACAACTGTCATTTAGCTTCTTTAATCAAAAATGGGCTCTGAAAAACGAATTAAATTTGCATTGTGACAGCATAATGAACCCAAAAGAAGCTGTATAAAAACACAATTACGATCTACAACAATCACACAGTTATCTGGAATGATGACGTTTGGGTTCCTCCTGCTGCTTCTTCCGCTCTGTTACGGCGGGTACTTGTCCTCCGACGACATCCTAAGGAATGTAAAGAAGGCACATCCCGACCGCACTTATGTGAAACTAAGTGGGGATGACTTCTTAACCTACGCTGCTATTGCAATCGTTGGGAACGAAAATGGGCCGATCAACGAGTTGAAACGTAAGACAATTATATGCGCCCGGCCACAACTGGATAGGGAACAAAAACGTCCCATGCGCAAGTGGTATCCCAAAAAGGGCTATTGTACGGTGCAAAAAGCAGGAAATTGCATAGTGCAAAGCAAAAATTTTTTCACACTGTGCAGCCAAAATCATACCAGCGACTTTGCGAACGAGCAAATATTCCAAAAAACGTACGTTTTGAACGCAGTAGGAATAGAGATGGCAATCGGGCCAGGCCGTTTGTTTGCAACTTCTACAGTACCTTCTTTTTAGTAAATCGCTCCACTAGCTTCGCCGATGCATCTATTCATCATAACGAAACCTTTGAGGTATGTAGGTGTTTTTTTAACTTTTTTGGCTCACCATAAGCACTTTCTTGCAGGCCGAGGAACACTATTTGATTTTTCCTCAACATAATTATGATGAATTTTTCCACAAGACGTTTCAACTGTCACCAAGCGGTCGTTACAGAAAGGTCGACTTTGAACACAGCTACTAGTAAAAACATTTAACGTATATGAGTATCTTTATAGCTTCATCCGTTGCCAAACAATGGTCAGTATGACTCCTCAGCTTCGAGAGCGTGTTTTTGGTTTACATAACTACATCAGCATTAATCAGACGCATGCTGTTAATATAATCGATGCCGACGACTGTAACGTCACCGACTTTAACCAGGCAACAAAGACTTTTAAGTACGATGATATATCTTCTGATTTTTCGAAGCAAATTCGTGACACTTATGAACTTTGCTGGGTAGGTGTCGTCAAGTCCAGCCTCTGTTATTCTCTAGGACCCCAAAAACCCCGACAAGTACTGTGTACAGGATAAATACGCTAATGAACTGGTCCTGGTTCCTCGCAAACTTCCGATCTACCACACATTGAATGCAACTGTCTACGCCGAATGTTGTGGGGGAACTTGGAAGTGTGACAAGTACGGTTCCCGATGCTCCAACTTCATCTACGACCACATTACCGGGTACGCGTTTCGCATTCGTTTCATGCTTATGAAAACGTTACATTTCCAGTGTAGACTATTACTTTGACGATCAGTCCGACTGGACCATCGACAGCTTCAAACGACCGCTGTTCCTGATTGCTGAGATCACCAATAGTACCAAGTTCCATACGGTAACGCGGAAAAACTATAAGACTTCTACTACTACAACGACCACTACTCCCGCTCCAAAGTCTGCGCCACCGCAGCCGTCTGGAAATTGTTGTGGAAGATTCTCCTTCTTCTTTGAAGCAATTTTTGGCTGAAACACTTGACTGAAAATTCTGTGGGCTTAGAGAACAAGTAAATGAATGTAGCAAAATGTTGGTCATGTTTAAAAATCTCAAGAAATCTTGAGATTTTCACATTTTTTAGTTTAATTGTGTTCTTTTGACTTGCGAAAAAAGTCCTTGGACATTTTGCAACTATTATAATAGCATTGATTATGCTATTAATTGGACAACCAACGTCACACGCGTAACTTGTCCCCATATGAAACTGATTCTTGACTTTGGAAATGGCCGCATACTTGTCGAAATCGTCACCACTAAGTTTCACGTAAGTCCGATAGGGATGCGCCTTCTTGACATTCTTAAAAACGTCGTCGGAGCCCAGGTACTGTGCGCAGCACAAAGGAAATAGCATCAACAACACGCGAAATTCCGTCATTCTTTGAAATGATTTGACAGTTTAGTCTTGGTTTACATGTTCCATCCTAATAGTCAGTTTTAATCATGGTAATTTTAATTGTTTAGCCCGATCCCGCTAACAGGGGAAGTACTCCAAGTGCGACGCTCAGGTTTTGATGAAACTTGGCACAAATTTAGAATAATTTTTTATAAGATATATGCGAGAATCCTAGCTCGCGCTTTGCAGAAACAACCGAGATTTTTAGAACGTAAGTCGGCCAAAATTTAGGACTTTTTGCCGAATTTCGGCACAAAAAGTTTCATGCCTATTTCTACCGTAAAGGATAATGTTTCTACAAAAAATCAAATTTTTCCGCACAAAACTACCAAAGTTATGGCCGAAAAGCGGTTTTCTCTCTGACCACTCTCCACGTTTAGCGTGTTCTCTCGGCGGCAAAAATCGTTCGATTTCTCGGCGGCGCCCGCAAAGCGCAAGCTAACGCTTTCAGGAATTGATATTTAGTCCATGCCCGACGTGTGTGCAAAATTTAAAGAAAATCTGAGCGTCGCACTTGGAGTACTTCCCTTGTATAAGCGGAATGCTAATTTCGCGAGAGAGAGAGAAAGAGCTCTGCAAGGTCGCGTGATTTCGGCGACGTGCACTGTGCAAAAAAAGGTCTGGTTGCGAGCGACACCTGAAAAAAGCCTATCGCACGGTGCAAAGTGAACTATCAGCCTGTCGGGAAAATAACGGCGGGTTGTCGCGCCTTGGAATCGCCCATCATCGCTTTGCGGCGGCGGCCGCAGCTGGAGATTTGATGCGCGATGGTGGTGAGGCGCGACGTTTTGATGCGACGATCCACCGTTATTTTCCCGACAGACCGATATTGTTTTCGCAAAGTGCCGACATAACTCTAGCGACTCTGAAAGTGGAGTAGTAACACCATTTTTTGGTTAATCTTTATGTGACTTCGACTTCTGTCATCTCCTCCAATTTCCTCCTAATTTTCGCCATAAATGCAAAGACAACAAAGTATTTGCAGCTTATTGCAATAAAACAATGTGACCTTAATTGCCCCATTCGGCTAACAATTAAACAACTGTCATTTAGCTTCTTTAATCAAAATGGGCTCTGAAAAACGAATTAAATTTGCATTGTGACAGCATAATGAACCCAAAAGAAGTTGTATAAAAACACAATTACGATCTACAACAATCACACAGTTATCTGGAATGATGACGTTTGGGTTCCTCCTGTTGCTTCTTCCGCTCTGTTACGGCGGGTACTTGTCCTCCGACGACATCCTAAGGAATGTAAAGAAGGCACATCCCGACCGCACTTATGTGAAACTAAGTGGGGATGACTTCGAAACCTACGCTGCTATTGCAATCGTTGGGAACGAAAATGGGCCGATCAACGAGGCGAAACGTAAGACAATTATATGCGCCCAGCCACAACTGGATAGGGGACAAAAACGTCCCATGCGCAAGTGGTATCCCAAAAAGGGCTATTGTACGGTGCAAAAAGCAGGAAATTGCATAGTGCAAAGCAAAATTTTTTTCACACTGTGCAGCCGAAATCATACCAGCGACTTTGCGAACGAGCAAATATTCCAAAAAACGTTTTTTTTTTGAACGCAGTAGGAATAGAGAGGGCAATCGGGCCGGGCCGTTTGTTTGCAACTTCTACAGTACCTTCTTTTTAGTAAATCGCTCCACTAGCTTCGCCGATGCATCTATTCATCATAATGAAACCTTTGAGGTATGTAGATGTTTTTTAACTTTGTTGGCTCACCATAAGCACTTTATTGCAGGCCGAGGAGCACTATTTGATTTTTCCTCTACATAACGATGAATTTTTCCACTACACGATTCAACTGTCACCAAGCGGTCGCTACAGACAGGTCGACTTTGAACACGACTCCACGTAAAACATTTAACGTATATGAGTTCCTTTACAGCTATATCCGTTGCCAAACAATGGTCAATAGTATGACTCCGCAGCTTCGAGAGCGTGTTTTTGCTTTTGGTCACTACATTAGCATTAATCAGACGCATGCTGTTCATAAAGACGACAACTGTAACGTCGCCGACTTTAACCAGGCAAGAAAGACATTTAAGTACGATGATTTACCTATTAATATTTCGAAGCAAATTCGCGACACTTATGACCTTTGCTGGGTAGGTGTTGACAAGTCCAGCCTCTGTTATTCTCTAGGACCCCAAGAACACGGACAAGTACTGCGTACAGGATCTATACGATGATGAACTGGTCCTGGTTCCTCGCAAACTTCCGCTCTACCACACGTTGAATGCAACTGTCTACGCCGAATGTTGTGGGGGAACTTGGAAGTGTGACAAGTACGGTTCCCGATGCTCCAACTTCATCTACGACCACATTACCGGGTACGCGTTTCGCATTCGTTTCATGCTTATGAAAACGTTACATTTCCAGTGTAGACTATTACTTTGACGATCAGTCCGACTGGACCATCGACAGCTTCAAACGACCGCTGTTCCTGATTGCTGAGATCACCAATAGTACCAAGTTCCATACGGTAACGCGGAAAAACTATAAGACTTCTACTACTACAACGACCACTACTCCCGCTCCAAAGTCTGCGCCACCGCAGCCGTCTGGAAATTGTTGTGGAAGATTCTCCTTCTTCTTTGAAGCAATTTTTGGCTGAAACACTTGACTGAAAATTCTGTGGGCTTAAAGAACCAATAAATCCATGTTGCAAAACGTTGGTCATGTTTGAAAATGCCTGACAAGGGAATGGACTTTATGTGTAAATCGATTTTGGCTTGGGACATAGTCAGATCGAAAGGTGTGTGGTAGTCGATTATTCACTTGGGGGGAAATCTCTGCGCGGGGCTTCAAAGCCGAGAAAATCGGCTTCAAAGTTTGAACGAAAAAAAGTAGCAACGGATAGGGATCCCGGAAAAGGAGTGATAAAAAGTGTAAAGTAGTGGCCGAGTGGTCAGTGCGCTCGCTTTTTGCGCAAAAGGTCGCAAGTTCGAATCTGCTTCCATTCATAACTTTTTTAGACAAAAACTTCTATTAATTTTTTTCCCCTGAACTAGATTATCGATGCAAGAAGTATATTTTAAATGGAACCTTTCCATTTTCAACGGCTTTGCACCTTGTTTTATTTACAGTTTTAGAGCGCAGGGAACACCATCAACCTGATGTATTCAAAAACAACTTTCCATTATGTTAACTTTTTTATCTGTACCCCTTTTTTTTCAATGTACAGCCGGATGAGCACGAAGAAAGCAAAAGTAAAAACGATAAATGATGATTTGAGCTTGGAAAGACTCGAACCTGCAACTTTTTGCGCAAAAAGCGGGCGCACTGACCACTCGGCCACTGCTTCACACTTTTTATCGCTCCTTTTCCGGGATCCCTATCCTTTGATTCTCGTCAAAACTTTGAAGCCGATTTTCTCGGCTTTGAAGACCCGCGCAGAGATTTCCCCCCAAGTGAATAATCGACTACCACACACCTTTCGATCTGACTATGTCCCAAGCCAAAATCGATTTACACATAGAGTCCATTCCCTTGTGAGTTTAAGGCGACTCTGAGCTGGTACTTCCTTTGTAAGGTCTTGTTTAATCGGCAGAACAATGATAATACAGGGTGGGCCAAAAAAAATGGACAAAATAAGAAGTCGGTGTACCCCGGCACGAATACCGTAATCAACGGAAAGGAAAATAGTTTTATTATTGTCAACTATCCTACTTTATCACAACTATTTAATTTTTTTATATTATTTTGTTGAACCGCTGATACAAGCCAAAATGCTAGACCAGTCCATATTCAAAAAATTCTTAATAAAGTCGACCAAAAAAAAAAACACTTTTCGACAACAACGACGGACATTTCCTCGTTTTTTTTTGGTTTTATATTCTGCGTCACTTCACCAGCAGCCTTTAGGCTCTGAATCATAATGCAGAATTTTTCAGCGTTCTCCATTTGGAGGCTTCTTTTGAAGCTACTATTCCATTTTTCGGAACACAGAGCCTTGAGCTGATTTGTTTTTTTTTCCGACAATAGTATAGCCTTATTCTCGGAAGGGTTAGTGAAAATGCTAATATTTCGGGTTGCCGTGAGTCGCCCGTTCGTTTCGCGCGATGAAACTGCACAGTGCACGTCAAACTGAAATAAGTTAAAACAATCCGGTGAATGGATTGGCAATTCGCAACAAAGAGACGCAAAAAAACTTTTTGTCGGGGAAGAAATGGGGAAATTTTGGGGCTAGTACGTTTTTGCGCGTCTTTTCTTTACTTCCCTTGTTAGCCAAAAACTGGGTGCTAGCCAAAATGTCAGAAGAGCTGTGAGGCTTTGCGACGCTTGTCAAATTGAAATAAGCTAAAGCGATCCGGTGAATGGAATGGCAACTCCCCAAAAAGAGGCGCGAAAAAACGTTTTGTTGCGGAAGAAATGGGGAATTTTTGGGGCGAGAGAGTACGTTTTTGCGCGCCTTTTCTCTGTCTTCTCTGTGAAATTAAGACGAGATAAAAAAAGACTTCATCAGTGCAATAAATTTCAAGGATTTTTTGACCCGTCTGGTATGTGACACTATCAACAATGGTTGTGCAAACACTGAAAATCGAGGGTACTTTGCGTTCTAATGGAACGCCTGTTAAAAATGAGGTACGTAGATCCGCAATGACCAAATATTACCATGTAAATTCTTTTGTTATTGCCAAATTTTTAGCACGTCGGGATCTATGACTTGAAGTCGTACGAATATCTGGACAATGCTACCACAGACATAGATGGTAATTTTTCGCTGAGGACGAGGCGGAGGAACCTGAAGAAAGCGCGGTTTGAAATTTCAATGTACGCAATTTTTGGGTAAAAGTTCCTTATTTTGGCCACAACTTATAACTTTGCGGAAACTGGTCTGAATTAGCCCAAATTTAGCGTGCACGCTCAATTCGTCGTTGTCAATGCCCGGAGAGTGGATTTAGTTAGTGAGGTACCTTCTTTTTTACGTACCACCTTACCCTTCAAAAACGGCTGCAGCCTGTGATTTTACACTTTATACGATGAAACATATCCGGAACTAAACTTATTGTGATGGAACTAAATGAGTCGTCACAGCCTTCGTAGGTACCCCTAAAACTATAGAGCTATTATTATAGTAATTCAGTGCCAGCTAGGTCGAAGCGTTTTTTCCTAACTTTAGTGCCCAAGCTTGGGCGCAGTTCGCGGAGTACCTTTGTTGTGGCCGAAATAAGGAACTTTTTCCAATTTTTGATGTTTATTTGGAATTTTGCAAAGAGTTGCAATTCTTCCAGATAAAAGCTTTGTTTTAGCCCCCGCTACTCAAGCGCACGGTCGGCGGTCGGCAAGGACTACAACAACTACATCCGAATCCCGATTAGAGAAGTGCTCACCAATTCCACCGTCTTCAACGTGGGAATCATTGAGCTTTCGGAGCTTTCGACTAAAATACGAACGTCTCGGAGCCGTAACCTTGAAAAATAAATTTTATTTCAACTTTTTTTAGGAAAATATTTAAAAAAATGATTTCTTTTTCATCTCTAAAAAAGCTCAAAAATTTTGTTCAAACTATGCAAATTTTGCTCCAAAAATTCGAAATTCTTGGGAATTTCGTTTTTTCATTGTTATAAAAATTGGACTTTCGCACGTAAATTCAAATTTTGCCCTTGAAACTCGAATTATTCGGCCAAAAATTCGCATAGTCAAGTTGGCCCTGCTATTGACCGGTCGGTTTTCGTGAATGAAGAAAATCAGTGTTTTCGCGTAAGTCAATTTATAACGTAAACGTGGTTAAGAGTTCATCTTGCTTGCTCTGTCTCAAGGAATATTTTTTGTGGTTGTTCTGAGCTGCGCCCGGACTAAAATTTCTCTTTTAACGAGAACATAGTGCAACTTGGAAAGATTGTTTCTGTTTCGGGCACAGGGGCGGAAAAAGTTCCTTATTTTGGCCACAACAAAGGTACTCCGCGAACTGCGCCCAAGCTTGGGCACCAAAGTTAGGAAAAAACGCTTCGACCTAGCTGGCACTGAATTACTATAATAGCTTTATAGTTTTAAGGGTACCTACGAAGGCTGTGACGACTCATTTAGTTCCATACGGAGGCAATAATTTTAGTTCCGGATATGTTTCATCGTATAAAGTGTAAAATCACAGGCTGCAGCCGTTTTTGAAGGGTAAGGTGGTACGTAAAAGAGAAGGTACCTCACTAACTAAATCCACTCTCCGGGCATTGGCAACGATAAACTGAGCGTGCACGCTAAATTTGGGCTAATTCCGACCAGTTTCCGCAAAGTTATAAGTTGTGGCCAAAATAAGGAACTTTTACCACAGGGGCCAATGCGCTATCTGAATCAAGCTGAAACTTAGCTCCGGCGAGCTGCGAAAGCTTGTTTTCCGAGCTGCGCCTTACCACTTTCAGCTAACTTTCGGCAAACTTTCAGATAGCACATTGGCCCTAGCTTGGCCAAAAAATATTTTTGGCCCGGGCGCAGCTCGGATTTTTTTTTGACTGACGCAAGTATGCCAAAAAAAATTGTCTAAAAGTTGGCTAAAAAGTTGTGCCCAGTATAAGGAACTTTTACCTATTTTCTTTGCCCGACTAAAAAGTTCAATTTCTCATCCTTCTTTACCTTATTTAATTTAGCTTCGTCCTGCTGTCGGCCGCGAACGCGGCCAATAATCTGCCGGTCCGCGAACGCTTCTACGACGGCAGTCCCAGCGATCCGGACACCCCAATCTCGTGCGATTCGGACTCGGTGGTGTCGACCTCGAGCGAAAAATGTCTCACCTACTATTACGACTGCCACGGGCACAAAGGCAAGTACCTGGAGGTGGGCGATTCGAGTGAGGGCCGTCTGATTTTCTTCGAACAGAACGGCCACACACTCGAGGAGTATTGGGACACGCTGGCTGCGCTGATGTACTCGTGCCTCTTTTATCCCGATAGACTCTATGCCATCAAGCAAAAAGGAACGGGGTAAGTAAAAAAAAATTTTTTTAGTGAAAGATTTTTTTGGTAAAAGTTGCGCTGATTGGCCAAAAAAATCTAAAGTCTTGGAAAAATGCAAGCGGCACGACCTGCGGAGGACATTTTATACAATGAAAAGTTGGCCAGAAATGAATGTTCGCTGCTGGTTTTGGCAAGGCAAATGGCTCAGAAAGCATTTAAAACGGTCTACTGGTCGCTCCAGAAAGTGCTCGGCCATTTTTCGCAGCGCACAGTGCAAGTTTCCGCGATCCTTTTTGAAGCATTTTGCACTGTGCAATTTCTAAAAATTTGCGCCGAGAATTTTTGGAAGTTGAGAAAAGGTTTCCTACTATTATATGTATTTAAAAAACGGGCCGGACCGTTTTTTTTTATTTTTGGCTCGCCTAGTAGAAGACTAGCCAGAGATGAGGCGGCCAGGAGACTGCCCCTGGGCTAGAAAAGGTCTCTCCGTTCCTATGTATTCGCCATTTCAGACAATTAATGTCTGTGAATTGCATGACCCTTCGCAAGAAGGTAACACATCTTCATAATCAACTCTGTCAATTCAATCGTCGTCCTCTCGCCAATATCGAGCAGGCAAATGTGAAGGCGGCCAAACTGGCGGAGACAGGCAAGTAAATATTTGGGTTGAGCCTGAACTCTCCCCCTTTTCTGAACTTTCCCCCAATCTGAACTCTACCCCTTTTTCAACTCTACCCCAAAAAAGGCTGAACTCTACCCCTTTTTTGATTTTCGCCAAAAAATCTGAACTCTCCCTCTTTTTGAACACTCCCCCATTTTGAAAATTGAAAAAACGAGGCGTGACATGTTATACCATGGAAATTTTTTTCAAATTGAAAAACGAGGTTTGACATGTTATACGATGGAAATTTTTTTCAAATTGAAAAGAATCAGATGTGACGTCTTATACGATGAAAATTTTTTTCAAATTGAGAAAAATAAGATGTGACATATTATACGAAGAAATTTTTTTTCAAATTGAAACGTTGACCAGAGATGATTCAAATTGAAAAAAAAAATTCATCGTATAAGATGTCACTACTTATTTTTTTCAAATTGAATAAAAAAAAATTCATCGTATAAGATGTCACATCTTATTCTTTTCAATTTGAAAAAAAATTCCATCGTACAACATGTTACACCTCGTTTTTTCAAATTGAAAAAAATTTTCATCGTACAACATGTCACACCTCGTTTTTTCAAATTGAAAAAAATTTTCATCGTATAAGATGTCACTACTTATTTTTTTCAATTTGACAAAAATTTTCATCGTATAAGATGTCACATCTTATTCTTTTCAATTTGAAAAAAAATTCCATCGTACAACATGTCACACCTCGTTTTTTCAAATTGAAAAAAATTTTCATCGTATAAGATGTCACTACTTATTTTTTTCAATTTGACAAAAAATTTTCATTGTATAAGATGTCACATCTAATTTTTCTAAATTTGAAAAAAATTTTCATCGTATAAGATGTCACACCTCACTTTTTCAATTTTCAAAATGAGGGGGAGTGTTCAAAAAGGGGGAGGGTTTAAAAAGGGGTAGAGTTCAGAAAAGGGGTAGAGTTCTGCCGCAACGAAAGAGTTGCGAAGATTGGCCACCCCGGAAAATGAAAAGTTTATGCAAGCCGTTTGTTTCTCAATCACACGTTTTCAGGGTCCATCATAACCTTGAAGACAACAGGCGAAGCGGCGAACTACGGGTTGTTCCCCTTCGACAGGGACTTTTTTGACTCGGTTGGGGAAGGTGAGTATATCAAGACGACCATCAGAGAGCGCGGAGGCTGTGCGTATTCGACGGACGGAATTGGAGTGGATCAGAAGGATCAAGACGTCAGGAAAGCTGCCAACAAATTCTGCAGATTCGGTGATGATGGGCAGTTGTAAGTTGTGGGAGATTTCGACGGAAAAGATGGGTTATTAGGGAGACCTGACCGGTCAATGTGAGCCATCTGAACAGTATTGTTGCCAAGCTGGGTAAAAGTTCCGTATTTTGGCCACAACTTATAACTTTGCGGAAACTGGTCGGAATTAGCCCAAATTTAGCGTGCTCGCTCAATTCATCGTTGTCAATACCCGCACAGTGGATTTAGTTAGTGAGGTACCTTCTTTTTTTCAGTACCACCTTACCCTTCAAAAACGGCTGCAGCCTGTGATTTCACATTTTATACGATGAAACATGTCCGGAACTAAACTTATTGCCTCCGTATGGAACTAAATGAGTCGTCACAGCCTTCGTAGGTACCCTTAAAACAAGACCTATTATAGTAATTCAGTGCCAGCTAGTTCGAAGCGTTTTTTTCCTAACTTTAGTGCCCAAGCTTGGGCGCAGTTCGCGGAGTACCTTTGTTGTTGCCAAAATAAGGAACTTTTTTCCCAAGCTGAACTTCGGACCAAAACCGATCAATTTTGCACTACACTTTTTTGGTTAACTTTACAATGGAAATGCTCGAAGTGCGACCCTCACATTTTGATGAAACTTGCCACGAACTTACAAGGGAAGTGGTTCAGATCGCAAATGAGTTGAGCTATGGGACCGGTATATTCTGATTCTCCATATTCGAAAACGGTAAGAGCTAAAACAATTTTTCCGTCTGGGCCCTGGTTTTCGAGAAAATCGACCGTAAAGTTTGACCGGAAACCCCGCTAAATAGTCCTCGCTCCGAAAGACCTTTGGATCAAGAGCCAAATGGCGGAGGGCGAGTGAAAACGCTCTCAAAATTCTTTTGTCCGGGATGCCGGGGAAGGTTCGAGTCCCGCTAGGCTCAAACCCATGTGCAAAGAGCTTTGATATTGAAAATGATAAAAAATAAAAATTTTTTAGTTTTTTGTGGCAAAGTGTACCCCAATAATTTTAGATCAAATAGTTTTTTTTAGGAATAAACGCTTCATTTTTGAGTTCAACGCATAGATATGCCTATTTGACATGCATTTCAATATTTTCTCCAAAGTACGCAAAAGGAAAAATATTTTTTTTGCTTTGCAACCATTATAAATTAGGGTTTGCTCCTAGCGAGACTCGAACCCTCCCCGGCATCCCGGACAAAAGAATTTTGAGAGCGTTTTCACTCGCCCTCCGCCATTTGGCTATTGGCCCAAATGTCTTTCGGAGCGAGGACTATTTAGCGAGGTTTTTTCCGGCCAAACTTTACAGTCGATTTTCTCGAAAACCAGGACCCAGACGGAAAAATTGTTTTAGCTCTTACCGTTTTCGAATATGGAGAATCAGAATATACCGGTCCCATAGCTCAACTCATTTGCGATCTGAACGACTTCCCTTGTTAGAATATTTTTTTTTCTCAGGCAAATGCCAGACTCCTAGTTCGCGCTTTACGGAAACGACCGAAATTTTTTAGTCGAAAAATTCTAAAAATTTCATTTCAAAATTTTAAGGTTTATGCGACATTTTTTGGCTTGTATTTTGCTAAAATTACCGAAACTTTTAGATTAAAGAATTTTCAAAATTTCAAATTTTTTTTTGAATTTTACCATCAAAAACTTTATGCCTATTTCTCCCGTAGAAGGTAATATTTCCACAAAAAATCTTTTTTTTCCGCACGAAACTGGCAAAGACATAGCCAAAAAATGTGGCCCTCTCGCAGCTCTCCGCGTTCCCCGTACTCTCTCGGCCGCAGGGATCGTTCCATATCTCGGCTGTCCGTGCAAAGCGCGCGCTAAAATTTCCAGCAATTGATGTGGCCTATTCCCGAAAAGTGCGAAAAATTGAGACAAAATCTGACCGTCGCACTTGACGGTACTTCCCTTTGTTGGTTGTTGACCGGTCAAGGTCCCACATTTCTTAATTCTCATATTTTATTACACGTATTTTTAGATCATGTCGTGCGAATCAAGGACTGAACGCCTTCGAATACAATCTCAAAAATATGAACCCTATTCCTAGCAAGTGAATGTATTTATTTGAACAAGCCGTTTGGGAGTTACAAGTCATCGAATAAATATATAATTTGGCTGAGCGTCGGTACACTTGTCGGTCTTTGTTAAAGGATTTTTGAAGCCAATTTCCGCTGATGAAAACCTCTCACTATCCGCGATTGGTGTTCAATATAACAGGCAGTGCCGCCGACAGCAGAACGAGACTAAAGGGAGTAAGTTAAACAAGGAAAGGAGCTTGAACTTTTTAGCCAGACAAAAAAATATTTTCCCAAGCTGCGCCCAGGCCGAAAACAATCTTTCCAAGCTGCGCCCAAGCCAAGTACTATCTGAAATTTTGCTAAAATAATTTTAGAGTCAGACAAGCCTCGGGCGTCGGACGCTTCCGACCACTTTAGTCAATTTCTCTTTCGCAGCTCGAGAAAGCTACGTTTCTGCTTGCTTCAGAGCTACCCCCGAGATGAGAGAAAACTTTCAGCTAGGGCATTGTCCCCCACCCAAGAACGACCGGTAAACAGCAGTGACCTTAATAGGGCCTTTTATACCATCAATGGGGCAAAGGTCACTAGGAAAGGAGTATATAACGGGATAACGACCCGAGATACTCAAACAAAGGGCCGACAGATGTTTCACTGAGGTATTTATTGTCTGAAAATAACGCCAACAAAGGGGCAAATCACACAATAGGAAGAGGTGAGGACGGCGAGCAATGGTCGACCGTCCGCCTCAGAAACAACCAAAAGAATATGAATGATTATTCCCAAAGTCACGTCCCAATGACCAGTCGGTGCGGAATGCCAATTAGCAGTTGAGTTATTCGTGGCGGTATGCAGATGAAGGTTGGGTGATCTGGTTGAATTGCGGGGATTGCACGGTGAATTGGCTGGTGGCGCTGCTGGGGTGTGTTTGGTCCTACTCCTTTCTGGAATGAACTTTTTTATTGCCGCTTACGACGTAGGGCCCGGGTAGGGGGCAACGAACTTTCTGGACAACCCATACTTCAAGTGAGTGAAAAAGTAGCGCCGAACAAAAATTGCTTTTTCAGGGTGCAATTCCAAAACCTTGGGACACAACGAAGTTTATTCAAATTTAGCAACACATACAGTACGTCGAGAGCCCGTAGTTTATTCATTGTGGATATACATACTCGCAGTAGCTGAGTCCAGCGTCTTGGCAAGTCCTGAAAATAAAAAACGAAATTATCAAAAAAAAAAAAAAAAAAAAAAAATCGTGCGGCAAGAACAGTCAAGTTTCAGCGACACTTCCCGGCCATTCAGACCCTCAACCACAAACTTACAACTGTCCATCAACACCGAATTTGCAAGCCTTGTCGGCAGCTTTCTTGACTTCCACGTCGTTCTGCTCCACTCCAACTCCGCTCACAGAATAATAGCACTTTCCCGCATTCTTGATGCCCGTTTTGAGATACTGATCGCTAGCCACCGAGTCCAAAAGCTCCTTGTCGACGGGGAACACGCCGCCAAGTTCCTGCGGGCACGAGTCCATAACGTTCTTAAAGGTATAGATGGATCCTGAAAAAAAAATTACAAAGAAAAGTATTTACTTCCATATATGGGGTATGGGGTTGCAGGTAAAGAAATATTTCAAAAAAATTGCTAAATATTTCTGATTCAGAATATGTAAGAATTAGCTGCTACTAATTAAGGTGTACAGTGGGGGGCCTGACCAGTGGCAAAAAACGTACCATTATGCATCCGGGAAGCATCAAAAAATGTGGCAAAATGCTTCCCTTTCCAAGTGAAAACAACTTCGGCGTGCCCTTTCCCTCACAAAAAGAGTGATTTTGAAATCGAAGTTGTTTCACTTGGAGAGCGAAGCATTTTGCCACATTTTTGATTCTTCCCGGATGCAAAATGGCACGTTGTTTGCCACTGGATAAGGTCCCCCACTGTACACCTTAATTAGTAGTTCCAATGTGAAAAAGGGGGCATTTGCATGGTGTTGTGAGAAAAGTTCTGAGGGTTTTTTCGCCGTTACAAACCAAAATTGGACAGCTAGTTTTTGCACGTTCTGAACCACAAAAATTTCTCGACCTGTATCTCCATATTCATAGGAGTGTTTTCCTTCTAAAAACAAAGCAAAATAAAACCTACCCGTCTCCCCGGACTTGACCGCTTTCACTTCATTAATATATTCTACGTGGGGACGACGAGGAAATTCACACAGCTTTCTACCGCTCTCGCCATGTACCTTCCTCTTGACGGACATGCAATCCACTTCCATGTGCTGACTGAAGTATAAAATACGTAATATGGAAAATGGTAGAAGAATGTGTTTTGTGGCCCTATCTAAAAACTTTCCACAACCAAAAAAGAGCCGCAGCTCGGCCCACAACAGGGAAAGGTGAACGTTTCGAATATGCAAATTCATCGGCCTCTTTATTTTTCGGGTCGACGGCATTTCGGGTCGGCACAAAACCGATCGGTACGGGACGTATGGCAGGTGGATACCCAAAAAAAAAAGATTGCAGGGTAAAAGTTCCTTATTTTGGCCACAACTTATAACTTTGCGGAAACTGGTCGGAATTAGCCCAAATTTAGTGTGCTCGCTCAATTCATCGTTGTCAATGCCCGGACAGCGGATTTAGTTAGTGAGGTACCTTCTTTTTTAAGTACCACCTTACCCGTCAAAAACGGCTGCAGCCTGTGGTTTTACACTTTATACGATGAAACATGTCCGGAACTAAATTTATTGCCTCCGTATGGAACGAAATGAGTCGTCACAGCCTTCGTAGGTACCCATAAAACTATAGAGCTATGACAGTAATTCAGTGCCAGCTAGGTCGAAGCGTGTTCGCGGAGTACCTTTGTTGTGGCCAAAATAAGGAACTTTTTCCGATTGCAGGAAGTAAAGTCTGGCAAAGCCGTGGGATTGTCGGCGGACTCTCGGCAAAGGCTCGGCGGAGACTTGGCGAAGGCCTGCAGTATGTCCGCCTTTTCTGATTTTTGCTATTACTATAATTAACGCTACTGTTTAAGCAAAATTGTAAAATTCAGAAAAAATGGATACAATATTCGAAATCAGCGCCATCGAAAACCTCCCCCCCTCCCCTGCCCCCCACCCTCCTCTTTTCTTTTTTTTAGCGGACCTTTCCGTCCGTCCTTCGTGATGAAATTGACCTTAAGACGAAAGTCAATTTTCCAAGCTGCGCCCGCGCCTCAGCTTAAATTTCGTTTTTGCCTAGGCCGACGGGGTTTATATGCTTTTTGAGACGTTACAACAGCCAGAAAACAACTTGCAAATGTTCACTTCACCCTTCAAATTTAAGTGCGACAAAAAAATCGCTTTTTAAGCGTGCACTTCAAACAAAAGTAAATTTTTGCAAAAAAAAAGTAAAAACTTTCACTCACTTTGTTCCCTTGTGCTTGACGCCATACGTTCTGCCGGCATGGAAGAGGCAGGCGTAATGGATCGCAGACAGCGTCTTCCAGTATTCGTCGAGTGTGTGGCCGTTCCTTGTGGAGAAAACCAACCGGCCCTTACTGCCGTCTCCCACCAGCAGAATGTCTCCGTCGAGGATGTGACAGTCTTCGTACTGGGTAAGGCATTTGTCGCCCAAAACCGACACCACGGATTCCGCACCGCAGGAAACTGCGGTGAACGCATCGATGCTGCCTTCGTGGAAGCGCTCGCGGTCCGAGTGAGCGGCGGCCAGCGCCGCCGACAGGAGAACGAGCCTAAAGGGAGTAAGTTAAAAAAGGAAAGTAGCTTGAACTTTTTAGCCAGACAAAAAGTATTTTCCCAAGCCGCGCCCAAGCCGAAAACGCTCTTTCCAAACTGCGCCCAAGCCAAGTACTATCTGAAATTTTGCTAAAAAAATTTTAGAACGAGACAAGCCTCGGGCGTAGGACGCTTCCGACCACTTTAGCCAACTTTTAGATGAATTTTTTTGGCCACTGAGTCTAAATTTTTTCCCAAGATGCACCTCGGGGCCAATGCGTTAAATGAAAGTTTGCGGAAAGTTAGCTGAAAATGGTAGGGCGCGGCTCGGAAAACTGGCACGGGCGCAGCTCATTTTTCCAAGCCGCGCCCTAGCCAACGACATTTTTCCCAAGCTGCGCCCAGGCAAAAAAAAAATATTTCACAAAGCTGCGAATGGGGCGAATACGCTAAGTTAGCTGAAAATTATATTATAGGGCGCAGCTCCGAAAACTTTCACGGGCCCATCTAGACGGCAACTCGAAAATACGCTGAAACGTAGCTTTGGTGAGCTGGGGCCAATGCGCTAACTGAAAGTTTGCTATTAGCTGAAAATGGAAGGGCGCAGCTCGGAAAACTGGCGTGGGCGCAGCTCGCATCTTGGGGGCAGCTCGGAAAACAAGCTTTCGCAGCTCTCGCCGGAGCTAACTCTTGTCTTCGAGCTGCGCCCAAGACGCGAGCTGCGTTCGTGCAAATTTTCCGACGCTGCGCCTTACCATCTTCAGCTAATCGCAAAGTTTCAGTTAGCGCATTGGCCCCAGCTCACCAAAGCTACGTTTCAGCTTATTTTCGAGTTGCCCTCGAGATGAGAGCTGGGCCCGTGAAAGTTTTCGGAACTGCGCCATATCATTTTCAGCCAACTTTGATTTAGCGCGAAATTTCTTAGACTAACGTAAGACGAAATCTTGGCCGCGTTTATAAACTGACTTCGCGAAAACATTCATTCTCTTCATTGACACGAACCGACCGGTCAATAGCAGTGAATTTTCTTGAATGAACCTGCTTTTGAGAGGTTGGCTTTTGAGGGGAGAAAAAAAATATTTTAAAAAATTTTTATTTTTTTTTATTTTTATTTTTTGCTTTTCCTTGCTTTGGTTGACTTTTTACCGCAAGTTTTCCGCACTGTGCAGTTGACCTTTTGCACTGTGCAATTGAAACGTCGCAGCGATGCAAGCTTTTTCCAGCTGGCGGCGTGCAATGAAACGCATTGTGTGGTGCAAAAAAAAGGCGAAAAAAAGTCTGCGTACTTTATGGAACGCAGTAGAAGACGACAAATTTTAGTACGGGCACAGCTCGGAAGAAACAAAAAAAAATATTTTTTGAGAGAGAGTAAGTAAAATGTATATAATCCCATCCACGCTTATCAGTCCGTCGGGAAAATAATTTGGATTTGTCGCGCCTTAAAATTGCCCATTATCGCTTTGCGACAGCTGGAGATTTGGTGAGCGACCAGGCCAGACATTTTGCCGCGACAAATCCGCATTATTTCCCCGACAGAAGTGAAGTAAATCGACTTACGCGAAAACATTCATTTTCTTCATTGACGCGAACCGACCGGTCAACAACAGTGAATTTTCGTGAATAGATGTTTAGTCTGATTTTTGAGACACAAAAAAAATGATGACTTTTTCATTTTCCGGCTTTGGTTGTAATAAAATTCGCGATTTTTCTCCGGCTCCGCGGGAGTATGAAATAATTTTTCCGACATAACAAAAACATATATTGTTTATTTGATATGAAAATTTTGACTTGAATAGAAAGACCATCTATTATATGAATGATATTAAGCCTCCTCTAATCCTGAGGAAATACCACTCCAAGGTCTTTTTTGACCTTCTCCAAGACCTCGTGTATCGCGATCGTCTCCTCATGACTCATCTTTTCACTCTCAATTTGACCTGAAATTATATTATAAACATTACTTTCCAAGATAGAAATAGAAATACAACTTTTGATGACAAAATTCACCCAAAAACACTGGAAGCATTACTTCTTGCTATCTACATCACTCTGTCGGGAAAATAATGAGCACTCTGTTGCATCGAAAATCGCATCGCCTGCGGAACAATTAATTGTATCGCGACAAAATCAAATATCTTTTGACTTCAGCAACACTATCTAGCGACATTGTGCACATTATTTTCCCGACAGACTGATAGCATCAAAGCTTCTTTTTTTCTTACCTTCCTTGATCTTCCTGTACACGTGATCGGCTTCGTAGCTCAAGCCGGAGCTGTGACTGTAATTATAGTCATGTTCACTGGCCGGATACGAATATTTGACAGTCGTATGTTGATTAGTCTCTCGGTTGGTGACAATGTACTCACTGGGGGACCAGAAGAAGTCAGGGATCTGTAAAACTTTCCGTTACAGGGACCTGATCCAGTGGCAAAAAACGTACCATTTTGCATCCAGGAAGTAACAAAAAATGTGGCAAAATACCTCCTTCTGCAAGTGAATAAACTCCGATTTCAAATCGCGCCAGCTCTTTTTGTAAGGGAAACGGCGCGTTTCAAAACGAAGTTTCTCCACTTGGAAGGGGAGACATTTTGCTACATTTTTTGATACCTCCCGGATGCAAAATGATACGTTTTTTGCCAATGGATCAGGTGCTTCACTTTAAATCGCCATCAACTCACTTGAATACTTCCATTCTCAAAGTTCAGGATGGCATTGTTAACGGTCCGATTGTTGGCGTCGTAATACAAAAGCGCCCGTTGATCATCGCCGAATTGAAGAGTAATATTGGCCCAGATGTCCGTATTGTGCTCATCCTTGGCCCCAATGGCATCAACTTTTGTGGCCTTCTTCCCGAACGCATACAACGCCAGACTGACCGGATACACTCCGATATCATACAAGGGAGTCGACCCTTTGCTCACATCCCTCCTATTTTCGGGCAACAGAATTCCCAAGTTGATGTGGACAAGCCTCAAAGCGCCCAGATCACGATCCGCGATCTTGTTTTTGATATCCAACCAAACTGGGAAGAAGCGAGACCAGTATCCCTGGAAGAACATTGATATTATTATAAGTTCACTATTTAACCGGGGCCGGGTTTCATGCTGACGTGGGAAGTGCCTCGGTCGCAAAGATACAGGGTTTTACAAAAAACGTGAAGGAAAGTGGAAGGCTACAACTTCCGGCAGAGGCGGCACAGAGACTTCGTATTTGAAATACGTATTTTTAGAAGACATAAGTTTTTGACTACGAAATAACAAGCTTTTAATATCTTGGCTCTCCCTGCAAAGCGCGCTGATATATGGCCTACGCCCGAAGTCTGTGTAAAATGTAAAGAAAATCTTAGCGTCGCACTTGCACCATTTCCGCTAGCCTTAAGATCCCTACCTCCATCAAGAATTTCTTCTCAGCCCGAGCTGTTTCAACTATCAACTTGACTTCCTTCAAGTTCACTCCGAGCGGCTTCTCACAGAGAACATGTTTCCCGGCCTTCAACGCTTTTACTGTCCAAGTTACATGTGCATCGTTGAGTAGGCCAATGTATACAACGTCTAGAAAAAAGTCCAAAGTAAATAGTAATTGTAATAATAACAAGTTTATTCTCAAGACATACCAACATTGTTGTCTGTCAACAACTCCTCGTAACTTCCGAACGCCTTCACATCAGAGAGCCCAACTTTTCGCACAAATTCTTCGGCTCGTTGCAACGCGCTAGCTCCGGCAGCAACTACCTAATAGAACGTTTCAAGGCCAGCTTTGACATACTTACTTTATGATTCTCCTTGGCTACACCGAGCGAACGAACAAAGTCATGGGAAATGGCGCCACAGCCAATGATCCCCCAACGAAGCGCCATCGTTCAAGAGACCAAAATAAACGGAAATTTGGAGCAGTCACCGCACAAAAAGTTCTCCTAGTCCGAAATGAAACAGTGAGCAAGCGGGAAACGTATATGTAGGGGAGATAAACAAGTTCTGCTTGGAGTTTGTAGTGTGTTTAACCGAGTGTTCCACGAACAAACAAAATTGAAGGTCTTTGAGGCCTTTTAACGAATAAAAGTTATAACCAATCAAAAATCTATTTTTAAACGATGCGCGGAAAAGTCATACAAGCTGTTTCATAGACTGTACGTACAAATAACATACTAGGATTTTTTTAAAAAAATACTGTAGATTTTCCGTCAAATTTTTTTTAGAATAATTCTGATTTATGAACAACACATTACGGAAGTTTCAAGGAGGAGTTCTTCGGCTTGGAATTCCTACCGTCAAGTAAGCAGTCTTTTGACTCGCCGGCTATCAGCATATAATATAAGAAAATACTGTCACATGTGCATTCTTCCGGTATTATTGTATGGCTGCGAGGCATGGGCACTGACCAAAAATGCGCAGGAAAAGTTAATGCGTTGCCAACGCTCAATGGAACAAAGAATTCTCCGTATATCTTTAATGGATCATATCAACTACGAAGATATCCGAGCTCGAACTAGACTGAAGGATGGATTGTGGAAGCAAAGAAAACGGTATAAGAAACGAAAATGCAACCACATGACAAAGATGGAGCTTAGAAAAAACGAACGAAGATGGTACCAGAGACTGCTGGAATGGGCACTTGCATATACAGGGTGTTCCAAGAATTATGGAAAAAACTATTCTTTAATAACTTTGTGCTCGGTGGCCCAATCGGAAAATTTTCTTTTGCATTTTGCAGAAAAACCTTGGAGTTTTTAGAATCAAAAAAAAAATATTTGTTTTATCGGCGGAGACTTCCGTAATCCGCCTTGAATTCGGCGGAGTGCTTTTTCACAACGAGGCTGTAAAAATTGGTTCATTTTTGTCTCCGCCGATTTCTCCGCCGAATTGCCTTTTTTTTCTTCTCCCAGTGGGCCAAAGACGTAATAAGTCGTATTTAGGCGCCATGCCACCAGGAATACCATACGTTTTGGTTTTAGCCAATTTTGACTCTCCAAAGTCGAAGAAAAATCGTCCGCCGAGGTTAAAAAATGTATCCGTCGAATGACAAAAATTTGAAATAAATGTCATATTGTATCTTCTGAATTCTTTCCCACCTATTTTCTTCACACATACAACAATTTACAGCCTCATTTGTGAAAAAAACACTCCGCCGAATTCAAGGAGGATTACCGAAGTCTCCGCTGATCAAAGCAAAAAATTATTTTTGATTCTAAAAACTCAAGGGTTTTCCTGTAAAATGCAAAAAATTTTTTTCTAATTGGACCACCAAGCACAAAGTTATTAAAGAATAGTTTTTTCCATAATTCTAGGAACACCCTGTACAAGAAAACTAAGTCCTTGGCATGGCCAACGCATTTGGTTACGTACGGTAATCAGTTTTAGGGCTTTCTTTGAGTTTTCTTACCGTATTCCTTGGTAGCTCCCTAAATGTGCAATGTCATAAGATCAGAATGAAAATGTCAAAGGTCATCACGGGTGCCTCCATGAACGTGGACACATCATACTTGGTTTACAAAAAATGGGGTGCCTCAGGTTCAATTTGACATAAATTTCAAAGAAACTGACGATTGTTGGCGGAGAAATAATACAATCGATGATCATTGGTGGAGAAAACATATTTGGTAGTTTCGAGGGACCCGCCCACGTTATCTTGATTCTTAGCCTACGAATACTAATCAGTGATCGGCCGGAATCCCTAGGGAAACGCCAAAGTTAATAAAGATTTTAATTTTGCGAAAGGTGTGGTAGGGACAATCCTACTATACATGTATTTATCGCTGCGATTACTCATGCTTATGGCTGATAAGAGCACGGTACTTAAGGTGGGCGCGGAAGGCGTTCTATACTGTAACGAGCAATTAGAAACATGAGGCTGTGGCTGAGCCTGCTACCGCTTTGTATCGTGGTTTTTGGTGACAACCCTTTCCAAAGACTTCATGATGAGAAGTTGCGAATACGTAAGTATCTTTCTGTGAAGAAAGTCGCAAAAGAAGGAGGGAAATTGTAGGCTTTATTGTACGGAGGTTTCTTTGGTATGGACCCTCTAAAAATCATTTTAGGCTTCTAACTTCTTAATAGTTATTTCGTTGCCCAAAGAACATGTAAAACATTTCATTCAGAGCTACGTGAAAACCCGTTAAACAAGCCTTTCGTCAATCCAGGTCCCAAGCCCAAGTCCGGGGATAGCCTTACGAATGACAGCTTACCGCACGATGTCGTTGTTCACTCGTACAACATTCGAATCCAACCGTTCTTCGCATTCCCTGGCTTCCTTTACAGGGAAGGCAAGTCTCTTCCTTAGAAGCCCCAACGTTAATTTAGACCTCCACAACACCTTCAACGGCCAAGTTTCCATCACGTTCTCCGTCCTCAAGCCAACCATAAAGGTCGAGCTGGCGTCGGCTGTAGTGCTCTCCTCAACGGTGTTGAGGCGTGGACGCCAGACGATCAAAATACTGAGGAACGAGACTGACCGCAACTCTCGTCTAACGATCTTCGCTGCGGAGAAATTGGTGCCCAAAGAAGAGTACACACTCGACTTCGAGCTCTCGTATAAGATGCACCCGCACAGCGCGATCTTCGTCACTGAGTATCTGAATCCAGAAAACGAAAACACGTAAGGATTTGGAGGGATCGGCAAAGTGTCAGAAGAGCTGTGAGGCTTTGCGACGCTTGTTAAATTGAAATAAGCTAAAACGTTCCGGTGAATGGAATGGCAATCCCCCAAAAAAAGACGCAAAAAAACATTTTGTCGGTGAAGAAATGGGGAGTTTCTGGGGCGAGAGAGTACGTTTTTTCTCTGTCTTCTCTGTTAAATCAAGACGAAATGTGAAAAAACCGATAGCGAAAAAACCGACAGGTCTATTCCGGTCGCCGGACTCCTCAATTTGATGTGTCGCTGCGCCGATCGTATCGCTGAAGTGAAAATCCTTGGCATTGCCGCTGACCAGTACGGGGGTAATAGCCAAGGTATTAATCAGCTATTTCTAGGTCTCTCGTGGCAACATCCTTCGACGCAACCCGTGCCAGAGAAGCCTTCCCCTGCTTTGACGACCCTTTCTTCAAAGCCACCTTCAACCTCACCCTGATTCATCCCGTAAATGCCACAGTCTACAGCACTGAAGAAGTTGCGGAAAGCAGACTGTATGGGTAGGTAATCGTCGCAATTTACGGCCAAACTTTTAGTCATCTAACCAATATCACTCGATTCAAGCCCACTCCGAAGATGTCTCCACATCTTTTTGCGTTCGCCATTGGCGATTTCGTGGAGTCCAAAGCGGTCTCCGAAAGCGGTGTGCTTGTGAGTTGCGAAAGTGTTGTCGATAAGGACATGTTCAGGTTAGAGCTATCACCACTCGAAATCGGCAGCCGTCTGCCAACAGCTCCGCGGAAATGGGCGCTAGCTGTGTGAGTGCGCTGGAGAGCCTGGTCAGCATCAAGTATCCGTTGAAGAAACTGGGTGAGTGAAGTGGTGTTCTAGACCTGTTTTCGTCTGCAATTTACAATAACTTTGTCTTAGACCATCTGGACATTGGGAGATATTTGAGCAAGCACGTCGAAAGTTTTGGTCTGAACACCGATTCTGCCGGTTTAGTCGCGCAATTTGGCGTCACACTCTCCGATCAAGTGCGGCAAAAGATGGCGATTTGTCGAAGAACTGCGCTTCAATGGTGGGTTATACATCAAATCGGCAGTGTAGAACATGTACACCAAAGGCCGATACATCAAATCGGTAGTGTAGAACATCTACACCAAAGGCAATTCACTGATTATTTTCAGGTTCGGCGGTCTTGTCACTGCGGATCGCTGGGGATTGGAGTTTCTGCACGAATCCTTTGCGACTTACTTTGCAATCCATGCGGCAGCTCAAGTCGAGGAGCACAGGGCTCTGACCGTAAGTCAAGCTCTCGCGTTCATCATTAATATTTTTTCCAGGATGTGGCGGAGCTCGATTCAATTTCATCCGCCGCGAAAAACTACAGAGGGGCGACACACGCAATCGTCGATAACCGCAGCCGTTTTGACAGTAAGTGAGTTCAGTACATAGTAACTTGCGGTGGTTACTGTGTATTTCCGCATGACCGTCTTGGGCATCTAGGCTTTCCTTATCTTTCAGGTATCACCAACCACGTTGGTAGTGGAGTTTTGAATGCTCTTCGCCATATCTTGTCCGACCAAGTCTTCTACAGAGGCCTGACGATTTACCTGAGGGAAAATGCGTACAAAAACGCCAACTTGGACAGCTTGCTTCGCAGCTGGGTTCAGGTGTGTTTAGGTTTTCACTCTGGCAGACCAGCTAGCCAAGAGTTGAAATCATAGCCAAATTTTTTATATGGCTAACCAAAGAAGTGTCAGAAGAGCTGTGAGGCTTTGCGACGCTTGTCAAATTGAAATAAGCTAAAGCGGTGAATGGAATGGCAATTCCCCAAAAATCGACGCGAAAGAACTTTTTGTCGCGGAAGAAATGGGGAGTTTTTGGGGCGAGAGAGTGCGTCTTTTCTCTGCCTTCTCTGCGAAATCAAGACGAAGTGTAAAAAACCGATAGTCTATTTTCGGTAACCGGACCGCTCAGACGTGCTGTAGTGTGGCTTGTTTGCGCCGTGATAAAATTGGCCACCGACGTAATTCAGCCCACTAACCAAAGTCCCCTTTCAGGCCCGAGGCAACAACACTCTCTGCGGCCCCATCACCTTCACCGAATACGCCAACGATCTGTTCCTACGCCCGGGAGTCCCAGAGGTCTTCATTAATTATCGTGACTGCCAATTCGAAATATCTCAACGCGCAGACAAACGAGGGCAGAAGTGGAATGTGCCGATCTTTGTATTGGATCTGAAAACAAACACCGAACATCTTCTTTGGCTCCAAAAAGACGGCCAAATCTGCAATCAAGACGATTTTAGATTAGCGCCTGATGGGGAATACATCTTCAACAATGAAGGAAAGGGTTTCGCAGAGTTCCTTTTCAGCAGGACATTGATGTCAAAGTGGATCAAAAATCTGAAATCCCATGCACTATCGGCTCGCAACCTTCTACACAACTTGAAAGTGTTGCAGAAAATAGGGTTATGGGATGACATCGACGATCTATTAAGTGACCTTGTGGTGAAAAAGAAGGGGCAGATAGGCTTCGCAGAGGCCCGTTATATCAGCCAGGAGCATCCTGTAAGTTTGCTGATTTACGAACAAGGGAAGTGCCCCAAGTGCGACGCTCAGGTTTTCTTTAAATTTTGCACACACGTCGGGCATAGACTAAATATCAATTCCTCAAAGTGTTTAGCTAGCGCTTTGAAGGCGAAGCCGAGATATTCAACGATCTTTGCGGCTGAGAGAGTAATTAGAGAGAAAAACACTTTGTTGGCCATAACGTTGCCATTTCGAATAAAAAAAATTATCTTTTTCTCGAAGCATTACTCTCAGCAGTAGAATTAGGAATGAAACTTTTCGTGCCAGAATTCGGCAAAACGTGTTAACTTTTCGCCAACTTTGGATCTAAAAATCTCGCTTGTATCTGCAAAGCGATTGGATTCTCGCATAGATCCTACAAAAAATTATTCTAAATTTGTGCCATGTTTCATCAAAATCTGAGCGTCGCACTTGGGATACTACCCCCTTAAGCTTGAAAAATCACATTTCAGAAGTACAATGAGATAGTCCGGATAATAAGTGACAACTTTGACTTCAAGCCCACCGCAGAGAACAGGTGAGACAAAGTTTTTTGAAGAACTCAGGTATAGTACATGTAGGGCCAACTGCAGGTTACAGGAGCTAACCGAAACTTGGAAACGGTAGGGCGCTGCTCGGAAAACTTACACGGAAGCAGCTCGCGTATTGGGGGCAGCTCGAAACCAAGGTGGAACTGAGCTCCGGCAAACTGCGAAAGGTGTTCTCCGAGCAGAGCTGCCAGAAGCGCCCCGGTGCCAATGCGCTAACTGAAAATTCCCAGCTAGCTGAAAATGGTCGGGTGCAGCTCGGAAAACAAAGTTTTGCAACTCGCCGAAGATACGTTTCTGCTTAGTTTCGAGCTACCTGCGATATAAGAGCTGTCCTCGGGTAAATTTTCCAGCTGCACCCTATCATTTTCAGCAAACTTTCAGTTAGCGCATGGGCCCAGTTTCAAAGCCTAATCCTTACTTTCAGGCTGCTCGGAGAACTGTTTCTCGAAACTGCGGTCCGTCGGAACATTTCCAGCGTGGAAGAGAAGGCCAAGCGATTGTTCAAAGGCTTCAAGAGAGATTGTGCGCCCGAAAAGGAGTTAGTGGAATGTCCAAGGTAGGCCGATTCATAGCATTGAAGACATTGATGAGCAAGACACAAAGCGAATACTGTTTTGTTTTAGGATTCCTCCGGAATGGCGCCGCGCGGTCTATCTTCAGGGACTCAAGAAAGAAACTGGGAGGGAATTTTTGGAGAGGTATGGAAAACGCATTTTGTCTCATGCGTGGTCCGATTTCTTGAAACTCGAGTGCCATCGACTTGCAACAACATTTTAAATGCGTTTTGTAAAAAAAGCATTTTTTTATAATAAATACCTGGGCATACATACACTGATGGCATACATACTATGTAAAATAAAAATACGGATGTCGAAAAAAGTGCAAAAAACAGTATTTTTGCACTGTACCTCTGAAACTGTTTAAAAAACAACGGAATGCCGTGAAAAAATATAATAGAATTTCAATTTACAATTTCAACGTAAAAAATGATAACCCAGTTTTTTCAAAAAAAAAGCCAGGCGAACCCAATGGGCCAAACCTACCGGCCCCTGGACCTCGCAAAACGAAAGTCGAAAAAAGAGCGCTCTTTTCAGTGCGAAATCCTTGCGTCTTTTTTGGGAAAAAATAAAAATTTAAAAGAAGGATTTTTTCACCTGACATAGCTCGATGACATTTTATACGACGAAAAGTGTCTTTCGTATAAAATGTCACTCAAACAAAAAAAATTAAATCTCCGATCTCTTAATTGAAATGTCGCCTAATTTTTGCCACTAGAAACTTTTTTGCACTACAGAATGTATTGGTGACATTTTATACGACGAAAAGTATCCTTCGTATAAAATGTCACTCAACAAAAAAATTAAATCTATGATCGCTCAATTCTAATCTCGACTAATTCTTGCCATTAGAAACTTTTTTGCATTGTATAACGATTGGGTGACATTTTATACGACAAAAATTATCTTTCGTATAAAATGTCTCTCAACCAAAAAAAATTTAATCTCTGATCTCTTAATTCTAATGTCGCTTAATTTTTGCCACAAGAAACTTTTTCGCACTATAGAATCATTTGGTGACATTTTATACGAAGGAACGTATTCTTCGTATAAATTGTCGCCAAGCTTATCACTTTATGTAGCCACAAAAGCTACAAGCCAAATTCTGATGTAATCGGCGGACAAGTTGACCTTTGAAACTTTCGCCGTAAGATAAACAAGCGGAAAATTTCTGGGGCTAAAAATTTTTTAATTAACAAATTGTTTTACCCCTGATAACACGTCCTTATAAGCGAGCGTTGACGTCGAACTTGTTCTGCATTTGATAACGGGTTAATAATAAAGTCATTCGACTATTATCTGTTGCAAGAATGAGACTAATTGTCTTGACGGTTGCTGTTTTTTCGATTGGTTTCGCTGATGTTCTGAAGGTCCCGTTGGGCAAAGTTGAGGTCAAAGATGAAGCCGGAAAGAAGGACTATTACGACAAACCCTTTGAATTGTATGAAAGTAAGCCGATTTATCGATTTTTTGAGCAATTAGAGAGTTTTGAAAAAAATCAATAAATTTTGTGACACTTCGTCAAAGTCTGAAAAAAGCAAAATATGGACAGATTAACGTCTAAAATTGGTCAAGATACAACGATAAAATCGTTTTTTGCAGCTAGAAAAAATCCAATAAATTTTGTGACATTTCGTCAAATTTTAGTTTTTCCCTGGATTAGATAGAAATTTTTGATTTTTATCTTATAAATATGTTTAGAGTACATTTTTTCAGTAACAGATGCTATTTTTTGGTGTAAGCGCTGTAAATTCCAAAAAATCCATTTGCACGGTGCAAATAAACAAAAAACTCCAAAATCAAAATAATCAAGTAAAACCCTGAAATTTTTCAAAATCAAATTTCAGAATCCTTCTACACAGTTGACGTCAAAGTCGGAAACCCACCTCAAACCTTAAAGTTGGGCTTGGATATTGGCTCAAACCAATTTTGGCTTCTCGACTCGAAAGTTATCGGGAATGTCACAGCCAATGGTCCGACTTTTGAAACCCGGTAAGTGATTACAGTGAAGGGCATGGACAGTTCTCTAGAACTTCAAAAAAAGCCTTGGCGAACTTGATTTCTTTGTTTTTTACCGATTTTTTTCGAAAAAATCGCTTTAACTCAGTCAAATTTTGTTTTGAACGCCGTACTCGTATTTTAGCGACAATTCAGCTGTAACGGTATTCACACACAACAGGCTTCATATCCTTCATTTTCAGCCAGTCCACAACCCTCAAAGTCAACGAGACCAAGAAATATTACAACTTCTTCGACAACGTCAATGTTCATGGTGTCCAAGGGGAAGATCAAGTCAGCGTCTTCGGCAACGCCCTCGATTTGCAAAAATTCGGGCTTATCAGCAAAGTCAATGGTGAGGGGCATCTGGACGGAGTGTCTGGTGTAATTGGCGCCGGCCCTTTGGGAGATGGGACCGAGTTTACCGGCGCTCCATGGGAATCGTTGATTCATAAGGTCGCGAAGAAGGTCTCGAACGGCAAATTCACTCTGTGGCTGAACTCCAATGAGAACAGTGCGGAAAAGGGGCAGCTGACGTTTGCGGATCGTGATTTGGAGCACTGCGAAAAGAGCACCGTTGAGCCGGGAGCGCCAAAGAACTACAGAGGCAACTTGACGCAGTGGGGATTCCCGGTCTCTGGGTAAGTTGTTTTCTGCGGTAAAAAGACTGAGAATACTCGATATATCAGTCTGTCTGGAAAATAATGTGGATTTCTCGCGCCTTATAATCACCCTAAAATATACGCGAGAATCCAAGCTCGCGCTTTGTAGAAACAACCGAGATTTTTAGATCGAAAGTTGGTGATAAATTGACAACGTTTAGCGTACTCTCTTGGCGGCCAAGATCGTTCAATATCTCGGCGGCGCTTGCAAAGCGCGGGCTAAAAATTTCAGGAAGTGATACTTAGTTCATGCACGACATGTATGCAAAATGTAAAGAAAATATGAGCGTCGCACTTGGGGTACTTCCCTTGTTATCCTAGGCGTCTTAGGTTCAGGATTTTGCTTTATTACTGGGCGTAGCTCGCATTGACGTTCCATTTTTTGCGGTGGTGTCCAAAATTTGCGGAGCTTTTTTCAGGTGCTGTCAGTCTGTCGGGGAAATAATGAGTACTCTGTCGCATCGATAATAGCATCATCGCCGAGAAAATGAATTGTGTCGCGGCAAAATCAAATTGCTTTTCACTTCAGCGACAAGATTGGCGTAGAGACATACTGATAATATATAAATTTTCTCCGTTTCTGATCCATCCCCATTTGCAGATTCGGAAGCGGCAGAAACCGCTTTGGCCGCGCCGGCAACGTCTTCTTCCAGAACGACGACAAAATCATCAAGACCCTGGCCAACACCTACAATTCGTTGGCCAGCGTCTGGCGTCTCTCCTTCGACAGGAAGCTGAATGCGAGAGTTGTGAAGTGCGCTGATATCGGTAAATTGCCACCGTTCTTTTTGAACGTCGACAGAAGCACCCTCGAGTTCCCGGCCGAGATTTTCTTCACTCCAGTAAGTCGGGGGAAAAAAAATTTTACAAGAAAAGTACTTCTATGTGGTATGGAGTTACAGGTCGAGAAATATCAAAAGAATCGAAAAATCTTTCTGATTCAGAATATGTAAAAATTAACTGCCCAATTTTGGTTTGTAAGGGCAAAAAAATCGTCAGAACTTTTTTCGCAACACCATGGAAATGCCCCCTTTTTATATTGGAACTACTAATTAAGGTGTAGTACTAATAATCTAAATTGATATTTTACGGCTTGTCAAGATGCCAAGGTTTACTTTTGCTTCAAAAAAACGCTTTTCAATTCATAAAAACTTGGTCAAAAAGGCATTGAAAGTGCTTTCCTTGTTAAAAGTCTTGATTTTTTATGATTTTTTTTCTTTTATTTTTTTTTTATCATTCTGTCGGGAAAATAATGTGGACTTGTCGCATAAAAAAATAAACCTTTTTTTATATAAATACTATACTTTCAGACCGAGAACAAGGAAATTTGCCGATTCATCGTCGACGCCGCGCAAGCCGGACCAATCAGCGAAGTCTTCCAGCTGACTCAAGACTTCTTGAAGTACGTCTGCGTCACTTTTGACACCAACACCAAGAGCTTGAGCTTCAGCAAGGCCATTCCGAAGAACTAATTTTGTTTGTTGAGTTGAATAAAGCAATGAAAAAACGAACGAACTTTCTGAACGACCTTTTTAGTAGTGCCTAGTCTACGGGAGGTAGAGGGCAACTAGATAAGATCAACGGGGAATAAGGCCCGGATCGACGTTACAATAGCCAACTGGGATATAGCAAGTATATTTATCCAGCAAACGTCACGATAGCACACAATACAACAACAACGTGGATGGTCTCGAGTAGTCGGAGGAGGACGAGGGAGTCGACCGTCCACCGAGCCGGAGAGTCCAATTGAATGAATGAGAATCGCGGATCGGCGCGAAGTCGAGCGGTCGGAACGGATTGTCACGTAGAGCGGTTGATCATGGGAAACTCTGGGAATCGGTCGAGAATAGGCTTGGATTGACGGACCATCGGGGTGCCGCTGGTCCTACTCGCTCCCCTCATATGTGATGACGTCCCGACATCAAAACCTGAAAATAAATGAAATTAAAAAGCCCCTAAACAATACCTGGATAACCCTACAACCTCCCCCCTATCCGTCAAACGACGTCTCGGCGTTTCAGATGGATGTGTTGTGTCTGAAAGCGCGAAGTGCCATAGCTCTGACAACAAATCGGTGTGAAATAAATAAATGGTCGAAGCGCGGACCAAGAAAGCAAACACCTTTGACAAAATACAACGGTAAACAGCAAACTGTGCCATAATGTCACAAAGATGTTGGTCAAACAACAAACCTGACCAAAATATCGCTTTAGGCCTCGCATTGTACCTTGATCTCTGGTATCTTGCTACCACTTTCTCATTCAAAATTCGATTTGAATACCAAGGGAAATTTGCGGAATTGGAATCAATTTCCGAGTTGATGGAAGCTGTCTTGAACTTGCAACCTTTTCCCCGAAAAGCTGGCGCAGACGTTGCGTTTTCGGTATTGTGGGAGTCCAAAATTCTCTCTTTGCGATCTGAATCACAGTAGGAGGACCAACTAAAGTAACATGAGTCTTCCAAGTACTCAAAACCGTCGTTTCTATCAAGCACAATGCCCTTTCTGATCCATTTTTGGTTTCTTATCCAAGATTTGAACATAGAATTCTCCAAGATGTCAGGAAAATCGACGTTGTTTTTATTCTTGACCTTGATCCAAGATGTGAAGACGGTTCCAGACAAGTCTTGGGTGTAATCGGTCTCTTTTCCACCTTCTGAGGCCTGATTTTCCTCTTTAAATAAGCTTTCGAAGTTCCAATTCTCGTTTTCAAAATTAATTTGCACGGCATTCTGAGAATGGATCAACCCCAAGTTTTCCGCTTCGAGTTCTTTTCTTCTCCTCTCTGATTTCTCGATCAAACCCTTGACGAAGTTGACGGTATAAGCATCCAAATTAACCTCATCGATAGTCGCTTTTTGAGATGGACCGTTACTGGGTGCTTCAGTAAGAGACTGAACTTGGTTTGAATTCACGATCTGATTTTGACCGGGGATCAAACTTTGAGGAAGACTTGGTTGAATGTCACCATCTTGCTGTTGGAGTTGAAAATGTCTGTACGCTTCATCTTGCGACAGCAATTTTGGTGGGAGGATAACGTCCATATTGGGTGATATCGAAAGTAATTGCCTATCGAATTCAGCGGAAAGTGCTAACTGGGCCGAAAGAATGTCGTTGTACTTTTCCTCTTGTTGAAGTTTACTAACTTCTCCAGTCCTTTCAATAACCAAAGGAGAAGACTCGGTGGCTAACAGGTGACCGTTGAGATCCGAAGTTTCTTCAAAAATTTGAGGTTCGGTCTCTGCGTTCTGTATAACCGGAGGAATGTATGAAACATTGCGGGAGATAGTTGGGTCGCTTTGACTCTGGGTAGAGAAATTCAGATTGATCGGGGCAGAACTCGGAGTTTTTTTGATCCTTTTCCTTTCCTGGTCAGCTTTTACATTGCACTGAGCTGGATTGTGGTAGCCTCTGTGACAATAGTTACACAACTGGCGCTTTTTATGACCCGGGACCATGCGCTCTTTTACAGTCCGGGTCTCTGAAAACCCTGGTTCCCTTCGTTGGACCTGTTGTCTTCAGAAAAATTTCTAGGACCTTGATCATTGCTCTGGGCTTCTCTCTGATTGAGATTGAGCTGTTGTTGAGGATGAGAATTGTCTCGATTTCCAAATCCGATTCCTTGTTGAGGGGAAGGACGGGTGTACTGAACAGATTCTGCTCTGATAGCTACATTGACCATAGCTTGGTAGGACAGGTCCACGCACAGTGCTGACGACAATGCCAATTGGACATCCCGACTATTGACTCCAGCCAAGAACTTCTCAACTGCCATTTTTTCAAGTGTAAGGCCATCGACAGTTGGGAAAGCTTTGAGGATGATGTCGTACACCTTGTCTGCAAAATCTTGGATAGGCATACCAGGACGACGAATTAGTGGCTTGATGAAGTCGGCCGTCAAATTCTTGGCCCCAGATACTCTGTTCTTCATTTGTCTTTCGAAATCCTCCAGTAGAACATCGAATGGCACGTCTCCGAGTTGTCCCCTGGAACGTTCAAAGAGGCTCAACGCTGAGTCAAAAAGTTTGGACAGCAAAACGCTTTCTCTTTGAACGGCAGTGAGGGTCGACGAATTCAAGCGAAAAGTGATAAAGAATTTTTCGACATCAGCAGGTTTTTCTCGACCCGTCAGCTTTCCGAGGATAGTTTGGAGATTATACAACTGAAACTGTGCAGCAAATGGGGTAATATCGGCTGGGATAGCGGGTTTAGGGACGACAACCGGCGTTTGAGGTTGAGGTTTGCTAGCGAGGAGCTCTTGGAGTTGTTCTTGAACCGCAGCTATGGTGGAGGTCAAGGTCGCGCTTTGACCCGCATCCGCTTCCGCCTGGTCTAACCTAGCATCTAGAGAAGCGAACGTGGTCGTAATTCTGTCCACTGCTTCTGCTAGCTTCCCAATATCACTCATATTGTCGCCAGCCATCTTTATCTAAAGGCAGAACACACAAAATCAAATTCTTACTTGTTGATCTTGGAGAAGTTTTTGCCGATGGGAGGACAATCAACTTCGTTTTGGACCGGTCTGCTTGATCTAGTTGTCTGCAAATAACAACTGAAACTCAAAATACAGAATATGCACGACACGGACAAAACACGAGGATTCTATAATACAAAGGAAAATCCGATCGAATACAAGATAACCTCGTAAAGTACGATAGAAATCAGGTAATTTCGATGAAACAATGTCACAACACGAATAAAATTCAATGAGGGACAACAAAAATATCAAAACCTGCAAAAGGCCGATATTATACTAGGTATCTGATCGATAGACCTAGAAAAAGATGGATTTCGGGTAGAAATCGGTTTGAAATTGGGTAACACAGGTACCACAATTTTCTCAAACACAGGAAACTGGGTTTCCGCTGCGTTGCCAACCAAAAGCTGGGAGGAAACGCAATTCTTTGAAGTGAAAAAAAACTTCAAATTTGATTCAGATCGCCAAAAGCGGGATTGAATCTGATCCAACTCGCCAAAAGTGGGAGATGAATCGCCGATTTCCGAAGAAAACGGGTCGAAATTGATGGTCCAAAGGGAGTCAACTTCGAGTTCGAGCGAGACAAAAAGTTTGTCTTGGCTCTGGCGTATGAAACAGAAGAGGTTCTGCGCGAGATCAACCAAAGTGGAAGTTCGCTATCTGGTCTACTTCAGCGAAAGTCGGAGCGTGTAGCCGTGGTCGCCAAGTAGTGCCTAGTCTACGGGAGGTAGAGGGCAACTAGATAAGATCAACGGGGAATAAGGCCCGGATCGACGTTACAATAGCCAACTGGGATATAGCAAGTATATTTATCCAGCAAACGTCACGATAGCACACAATACAACAACAACGTGGATGGTCTCGAGTAGTCGGAGGAGGACGAGGGAGTCGACCGTCCACCGAGCCGGAGAGTCCAATTGAATGAATGAGAATCGCGGATCGGCGCGAAGTCGAGCGGTCGGAACGGATTGTCACGTAGAGCGGTTGATCATGGGAAACTCTGGGAATCGGTCGAGAATAGGCTTGGATTGACGGACCGTCGGGGTGCCGCTGGTCCTACTTTTTTTTTGAATTTGTCATATTTTGGTCATAAAAAAAGAAAAATAAAAAAAAATATTTAAAAAAAAAATTTTTCAAAAATTAAATTTTTAAAATTTATTTTCATTTTCAATATACATAATGCACAGAACAGGATGCGTAAACATTTGCAAGATTAAATATTGAGCGCAGAGGAAAGTACAATTCGTTTTGAAAGTCATGAGATTCGGAAATATTCGATAGGGCAATTGAATATTATACTGGATGAAGATCAAGGTGAAAAAATATAGAAAAGTTGAACAATGAGAATAGAATTGAAGCCTAGCTAACCCGGAATCAAGAGGAAAATGGTGAATAAGCAGTGGAAAAGTGGTGGAAAATGGGATTTTTTGAAGAAAAAATGATTTTTTGAGGTATTGAAAATTTGAAAAAAAAAAATTTAAAAAAAATTTAAAAATCAAAAAAATTGAAAAAAATCCGATTTTTTAGGAAAAAGTTAAAATTTGAAAAAATTTCAAAATTAAAAAAATTTCAAATTTCAAAAAATCCCAAAATTCAAAAAATCCCGTTTTTTGGGAAAATTTTAAAATTCAAATTTTTTTAAAATCTCAAAAATTTTAAAAAATCGAAAATTTCAAAAATTTCAAAAAATCCCAAAATTCAAAAAATTTCAAAAAATCCATTTTTAAGCCTGGGCTTTCGCCTTGGTCTTGCGAACCCGTCTAACTTCGACTTGATTGCTCTTTGGCAGTCTTCGCTCCTTCTTGACTCCCCTCACAATGTCCATTTCGAAGTCCTTGTCCAAGTCGGTCCAGAAGTTGACCCGTCTCAGCGCGTCATTTCTCACCGAAATCTGCGGGACGGACTTGATGACGCCGATCTTGATCGGCTTACCCGGCTCCACCTTGCTCCACTGCATTTGTGGGGTGTTGGGGCTGGCGTTTTTCACGAAATTGGCGAACGTGTCGACCAGACGTCGTTGGGTCTTGCGGTCCTGCTTGTTGAACTCGAAACTGCCGAAGAGATGGTTGCCGAAGAGGTAGGGGTATTCGGCGGCGTGGGAGACGGCGCGGAAGGGGAGCTCTTTCTTGAGTTCTGAGTTGACGTGGTCGAATTGGAAGAGGTAGACCGGAGAGCCGTGCAACGCCCGAATCTTGGCCTCCCACACGATGGGAACGATGAAAGCAACGTCAGAGGCTAGCTGAAAGAGAAAAGAAATTAATTTTAATGTCTTTAAATATCCGAAAAAAGCAAAAAATCGGGAAAAATCATCATTTTTGAAGGGAAAAATCAATTTTTAGGACCTAAATTTTAATTGATTTTTTTTCAAAAAGTATATGTTAGATTTCCATCAAATTCGGCATGAAATATCAGTATATACCATAAATTCACCCCACAAATTTTTGGATCCAAATTTGAGATTGTCGCTGAGATATTCAAAAAAAATTTTTTGGCCGAAAAATCCGAAAAATTGTCGAAAAAACTTTTTTTTCAATTTTTTCCTTGAAAAAATCGTTTTCCGGGTTGTTAAATTTTATTTTAAAGCCTTTACAATTGCCTAGAAATTTTTTCAAATAAAAAAAAATCAATTTTTTTTTATTTTTATCTTCCCCTTGCTTACCAATGAGTATTGTTCCAAATAATGGGCGGAATCACTTTCATTTTTCCAGTTGTCCGCGTAGAACTTGATCAGCTCTTCAGCCAACAGCTGCTGATCCGCTGGATTCAGCTCATCCACTCCTTTGGCGGCGTTATTTCGCACAAAATTGATGAACACATCTCTTGTGTAGTTGCCCTGTTGGTCCGGCTGAACGGTGAGCCCTCCACGGAACGCCATCACCGAGTTGGGGAACTCGATGGTCAAGAAGACAGCCTCGTGTGTGTTGAAGCCCATGAGCGTGGGCATTTCGGCGGCTTCTTTGAGGAGCTCCGGGTAGTCCTTGTCGAAGAAGTCGCCGTCCATGCGCGGGTTGTAGTTCAAGAAGGCGAGTTGGTCCCGAATCAGCGGGAATTCGGAGGCCGCGTCCATAATGTCGAACAGATCCATGTCTTGCAGACACTCCTTCATCTTCACGGTGTCATCGATGGGACAGTTGGCTTGTTTGGCCAAGTCGCGGGACATCTCCACCACATGCTCGTTTGAGGCCCAATGAGCGTAAGGGGAGCCGGAATGGAGGATTAGTTGGTGGAAAAGACCTGAAATGAGGGAGTTAGGAAAAATTTGGGAAATTTGGATATATGGGGGGTAAAAAAAAAGTTTTTTTGACGGGAAAAAATCGTGCCAGGACCAAAAAAATTTTTTTTTTAATTTTGAAAATTATTAAAATTTGATGATAAAATTGTCGAATATGCGATCTAAAAATGACGTTGAAAATAAAAAAAATTTTGAAATTAAAAAAAAAATTTATTTTTTCAAAATTTTTTTATTTTTATTCTATTTTTATTCTATTTTTTTTTTATTTTTTTTTAGTTTCTCTTCAAATTTTCTCACCTTTTCCATGTTTGCTCAGCGACAGCATCGAAGCCGACACACTTCCAGCACTTTGTCCCCACAAAGTAATTTGGTTCTTATTCCCTCCGAACTTCTCAATATTCTTATTCACCCATTTCAGCGCCTTCAACTGATCCCAAAGCCCGATATTTCCGGGCAATTCCTCATCGCCATTCGACAAGAATCCAAGCATTCCCAGACGATATTGCAGCGTCACAACGACAATTCCTTGCGACACAAAGTTGTCGCTCACGTTTGTGAAGCCGAATTGCGAGGCGGCGCCGGAACAGAAGCCGCCGCCGTGGATGAAGACCAGGACGGGATAGCCGGAGGGTGGAGCGGGCTTGTGGGGCGCCATGACGTTGAGATAGAGACAGTCCTCTTCATAGTCGAAGCTGGCGATTGGATGATGGGGGACGCAGCCGGGAGAGAAGTTGAGAGCCTCTAGGGGCTCGGTCCAGTTGTCGGGGTCTTGGGGACGCTGGAAAATGAAAATTGGTAAAAAATATGAAAAATTCAAAAAATAAAATTAAAATTTTTTTTGGCTTTTTTTTGATTTTTTATGTATTTTTTGGATTTAAAATTGTTTTTATTTTTTTAAAAAAGTCCAAAAAATTAATAAATCCAAAAAAAAATAATTTTTTTATTAATTTTTTTTCTGCTTTTTTTGATTTTTATATATTTTTTTGCTTCAAAATAATGTTTTGTTAAATTTAATAACGCCCAAAACATTATTTTTTTAATTAAAAAATTTGAATTATTTTTTTTTATTTTTATTTTTTTAAATAAAAATAAAAAATTTCAAGTTTCTTTTTATTTTTTTAATAAAAAATTTCAAAATTTATTAAAAATACCAAAAAAGTATTGTTTTATTAAAAAATTTGAATTATTTTTTTAAAATTTTTTTAAATAAAAAATTAAAAAAATCCCAAAAACAACCAAAAAAATCCCCCTCTAAACCACAATTTTATGACCATTTTTAGACCAGTTATAATGTGCTTTTGCTCCAGAAACTTTTTAAAACCTGATTTTTGTCTCTCTTTTCCGGAGATACCTTCCAGAAAATTCTGAAGCTTCAAAAAACTGAGCGTCATAACAAACAAGTTGTAAAGCGAAACGAAAAGCAAATTTGACGCACTCATTTTTCATTTTGTTATGACACCAAATTAAATTTTTTTGGTCGCTCAAAACAACTTTGGACTTTTGATCAATTTTCATTGTTCAAAATGCGATCTATGAATAAGGAATAAGGACATTACACAAACAAAAGATTAAATTGGTGAAGTTTGATTATCAATCGGGTTGGAAAAATTACTGCAAATTTTAAAAAATTTAAAAAAACAATAATATTTTTTTTTATTTAAAAAAATGGATGTTAATATGTCACCCTTAAAACTTAATGTTTTGAGGGTAAAATATGTAAAAATACAAAAAAATTAGATTTTTTTTATTTTTTATTTAATTTTTTTTTTTAATTGTCCAAAAAATATTAATATTCGTATCTATACCTTTAAAAATTAATTTTTCTCATCTAATTTTTCTTAAAAAAAAGTTTTTTGATTATCACACGGGTCAGAAAAATTACTGTAAATTTTAAAAATATATTAAAAAATGCTTTTAATATTTTTTATTTTTTTTTATCTTCTTTTTATTTAAAAAAATGGATGTTAGTATTTCACCCTTAAAACTCAATTTTTAATTTTTATATAGTAAAATATGTAAAAATACAAAAAAACTTATATTTTTTTTTATTTTTTGTTTTTATTTTTCTTTTATTTTTTAATTGTCCAAAAAATAATAATATTCGTATTTTACCTTTAAAAATTAATTTTTTCACATTCAATTTTTCTCTTTTACACTTTTTTCCCCAACTTTTTTCGCAAAAAATATCACATCTTGTGCTTTCAAACTTCATTTTTTAGTGTAAAAAAAAGTTTTCCCAAAGAACCGTTTCAAATCACAAAACGATATTTATCAGGTATTTTGTGATTTAACCCAACAAATCAGAAGGTAATTACACTTAAACTTTTTTTTCCGCCAAGAAGCTTCGAGAAAAATTAAACTCTGTCTTGAAGGTTAGTAAATAACTTCCTGGACAGTTAAACTAAGATGCGATTCCCCGAACCTGATTCTTGGTTTTGAATCATCGTCTTGCGGTTGTAAGAAAGTAGGAAATTTGTGAAAAAAAATTTAAAGTATTTTTAAAGTATTTTTTATTATAATTACAGTAAAAAAATCGGAGAATTTTTTAATTATTTTTTTGAATTTTTATCGGAAAGAAAACTGTGTAAACAAATAAAAACAAATTTTTTTTAAATTTTTTTTATTTTTTATTTTTTTTTATATTTTTTGAATTTTCTCGGAAATTACACTGCAAAAAAAGTTATTTTTTCATCTTATTTTTTATTACTTTTTTTGATTTTTTATCGGAAATTAATGTGTGTAAAAAATAAAAAAAAAAATAAAATAATTTTTGTTTTTATTTTATATTTTTTTTAGAATTTTCCCGGAAATTACACTGTGCAAAAAAGTATTTTTTATTTTTTTTTTATTTATTTTTTTTTATTTTTTCTCTAATTTTATTTTCCAATTTCCCTACCTCAAATCTCAGCGTGCCCACAGGCGGTTTGGCGAACGGAATTCCCAAGAAAATGTTGGCCTCCTCAATGGGGCCTCGTCGTCTGTTGATAGCGTCCAATTTCTCCACGAATCCAATGACTGGCCCATTCGCGGTGTGCACTTGAATGTTGGTTGGATCGGCGGAATCTCCGTGCTCCCGGGGGTCGGGTTTGGGCTTGGGATGGGCGAAAACTGCCGAAATTAGGAGAAGCGAGAGTAATTTGTGTAGGGTTGTCATTCTGAAATGATTTGGGTAAAATTTGAAAAAAAAATATTTTGGGATTTTTTGAAAAAAATCGCGGGAAAATGTAAAATACGAAGTTAAAAATCGGCAGTAATTTAATAAAATTTATAAAAATAGGATTTTCCTTTATTTTTTTATTAAAAAATCTCATTTTTAAAAAATCGATTTTTTTGAAATTTTTCAAAAAAAAAATAGAATTTTTGATTTTTTTTATTAAAAAATCTTATTTTTAAAAAATTTATTTTTTTGAATTTTTTATTTTTTTTATTTTTTTTTGATTTTTTTAATAAAAAATCTTATTTTCAAAAAATCGAATTTTTTGAAATTTTTCAAAAAAACAGAATTTTTTATTTCTCAACATCTCAAAATTAATATACACCACTTTTTCCCACTTTATCGCTAATAATAATCCATCATTTCCCTCACTAATCTTGAAAAATGTCGCAAATCATAAAAGTATGTTCGTAATGTCAGCCAAAAAAAACGACACTCTCTCCCACATGTATATGGAATATTGACTGCGGGAGGACGGAAAACCTGTTCGTCGCCGGGGGGCGGGGCGCAAAAGGTCAATCGGAAATTCGGTTGGACAAATGGACGAGTTTCAAGGTTGGACCGAAAAATTTGGAGAGAAAAACGGAAAGAACGTTGAAAAATGGGTGGCAGCGAGAACGATGATGACCTGGTTTGGCATGCTATGGGAGAAAAAGATGATTTGATTAACGGTTTTTTAGGGGAAAAGTTGAAAATTGTAAAAAAGGACTTATTTTTAAAAAAGTCGTTAAATTTTTGATCTTTCATACAAAAATCGATTTTCTTTGATCAGTAAAAAGCTGGAAACTGGATTAAAATCAAATTGAGAACATAAAAATTTGAAAAAATTTGGGAAATTTTGAAAAAATTGAAAATTTTTTAAACGGTCATAGCTCAATGTACAGCACTCAGATTTTCCTCAAATTTGGCACACATCTGCTACATAGGGCGTAAATCAACTGCTAAAAATTTCAGCTTATTGCATGCAAGCGCAGCTGAGATATTCAACAATCTTTGTCAACGAGAGAGTACGGGAAATACGGAGAGCGGTCAGACAGAAGCCCGTTTTTGGCCATATCTTCGCCAGTTTTGTGTGGAAAAAATTGATTTTTTGTGGAAATATTACCCTCTATGGTAGAAATAAGCATGAGATTTTTGATAGCAAAATTTGCAAAAAAAAATTTTAAATTTTGAAAATTTTTTGATCTAAAAATCCCGGTAATTTTAGTAAAATAAAGGCCAAAAAATGTCGGATAGACTTTAAAAAAATTTATTTTAATTTTATGACTAATTTCAACGAAATCTGAGAGATTTTTTGAAAATTAAAAAAAATTTTTTCGTCAAAAAATCGAAAAAAATATGTTTTTGAACCTGAGACTACCTTACAATACGACTAATCAAGCGCGGTAGTACATGGCAAGCCCGAAACCTCCCAACTTTAAATAGCCCCCAGACGGACTGTAAACCCGAATTCGGCGACCGTAAAGTAGTTGCTTAAGCATCTTGTCGAAAACGCCCGTATTTTTCTAGCCCTTTTTTCGCGGGTGACCTTAAAATTCAAAGATTTTTATCGCGATTCGTTGAACACGATCAAAAACGGTGCAGATTGTAAGACGCAAGCGTTGTCAATTACACATTGACGTGGGGAGTTTATCAAAACTGCGAGATGATTTACAATTTGTTACTTTAGCTTGAGGAAATCGGGGGAGAGAAGGTGTAAAGTAGTCGGGGAATAAGTTGTCAGTTTGAGGTCGAGGGGGTTGTAATAAAAATAATAAAGTGAAAGACATAAAAAAAGTAAAAAAATCGAAAAAAAAACAAAATTTTTTTTTATTTCCCCTAAGGCGATCCTCGGATTTTCCTGAAATTTTGCACACACATTTGTCATAGGACACATATCATTTCCTGAAAATTTCAGCTCGCAATTTGCACGGAGCGCCGAGATATTCAACAATCTTTGCAGCCGAGAGAGTACGGGAAATGCAGAGAGCGGTCAGAGAAAAAACACTTTTTTGGCCGTATCTTTGCCAGTTTCGCGTGGAAAAAATTGATTTTTTGCGGAAATATCTCTCTCTACGGTAGAAATAGCCATGAAAATTTTTATACCAAAATTCGCGGAAAAGTGTCTCATTTTGCCGACTGTCGCAAGAGCCATAGCGACAATCGGGAATGGCCAAAATGGTCGACAGCCAAAACCTGACACCCTCAGCCATCGAGATTTCGAAAAACACCACCCTCAAGATAATACTAGCCCGCTCTTCTCCTGCTTTTCAACCTTCGTCTACCTTGAAAGTTATTTTTTGTTGACCTGCCAGTTGCGTAATCCGGTAATTTTTAATTGTCATGCCCTTCGCTTTTCTTACATTACAACAGAAAACTTTTTGTGAACTTTGTCATCTCAACAACTCTTTAGTGAAAGGAAGTCAAAGGGAAATTGGAAAGGATTGTGGGCTGTTCTCGTTGAATGGATCAAAAGTGCGCGTCAACAGAAGCTTATAGGTTTTGAAGTCAAGCAAAAATACGATTCTTTTTGTGTAAAACCTATTCAATTTTGAGAAAAATGAAAGAAAATCGTGAAAATCGATGACAAATCCAGAGTTCGCGAATTAGAGAAAGACTTGACTCAATGGGACAAGTGTTCCTCTCAATGGGTCAAGTCTTCCGCTCTTATCCCAGAGGTTGGCAAATCATGGCAAGAGGAAAGAATAGTGTTTCCAAAGGCGTATTTAGCGTAGTGGACGTTTTTGTCCCCACCCCGGTTTTGTCCCCAAGACGGTTTTGTCCCCAGGACGTTTTTGTCCCCACTTTTTTCGAGCCTTTTTGTCCCCAGACCGGTTTTGTCCCCAGGACGGCTTTGTCCCCAAGACGTTTTTGTCCCCACTTTTTTTATTTTTTTGTCCCCACACCGGTTTTGTCCCCAGGACGTTTTTGTCCCCAAGCTGGATAATACGATTAAAAATTATGCATTCAGATGTTAATGCTGTTGGTTTGGTGCACAGTACTGCTCAAACAACTTGTTCTTAGCGCTGGGTACTGTATAGTACGATGTGGTACTATATAGCACGAGGTAAAAATTAAGCCATAACACGTCAATGCTATGGGTTTGAAGCCCAGTACTTCTCAAAAATGTGTTTTAGCACATGGTACTATATAGCACGAATTTGTTTTTGCACAAAATGAACGTCTGGTCAGTACTGCATACCAAAACAACGTCATTCACGCGTTATAGCTTAATTTTTACCTCGTGCTATATAGTACCACCTTGTACTATATAGTACCAAGTGCTAAAAACACATTTTTTGAGAAGTCCGGGGCTTCAGACCAACAGCATTAACGCGTTATGGCTTAATTTTTACCTCGTGCTATATAGTACTACCTTGTACTATACAGTACCAAGTGCTAAGAACATGTTGCTTGATCAGTACTGTGCACCAAACCAACAGCATTAACATCTGAATGCATAATTTTTAATCGTATTATCCAGCTTGGGGACAAAAACGTCTTGGGGACAAAACCGTCCTGGGGACAAAACCGGTCTGGGGACAAAAAGGCTCGAAAAAAGTGGGGACAAAAACGTCCTGGGGACAAAAGCGTCTTGGGGACAAAACCGGGGTGGGGACAAAACCGGGCCCAATCGTATTTAGGATTTTTAAACTGATTTATACGAGAATTTCCGACTAAGTGGCTACATATTTCTCCTCAGTTTACATACTCCTTCGCCCAAACAGAGATTGTCTTATATCTCGGCTGTCCCTGTATACCATGACATTTAACCTTCAGGATTTGATATATGGTCCATTCAGGGTGTGTATACAAGGTAAATTTAATGCTACCTATGCAGAGTCGTTATTGGGTACCCTATTCAAAAAATCGTCAAAAATCGATGGCCAAGTCGAAAATCGACCAATAAATAAAAAAATATTGACCGCCAAACAAACAATCAACCAACACATCTTCGCTTATCTCACTGGGAAACCTCACAGTGAAAAAAAAATCAAAATTTCCCCCGCTAACACCCAAAATCAACCACTAAATCAACTCTGACTACAGTACCCCTCAGAGGAAAAAACAATCTCTAAAGATCGACCACTCAAACCAAACGTCCGACCAGAAACTCTTCTCCAATCCCAGGAGCCACCCTATTTAGCCTTCGAATCCCGTTCCCGCAGCGAACCCCGCAATGAATCAAGAACGCAAATCGGAACGCCGAAGGCGCCGTTTTTATTTCCGCCGCCGCACCCGCCTTTTTTCGGCTTCGACACAAACCCATCAGAAGTCTTTAGAAACTACAAGTTTAACAGAGTGTGCTGTGTTTTGTGCGCTGGTGTTTAGACGGCTGGAGTGCAGCGGAATCAGATGATGGGAGAGTAAATTCTAATTAAAAAAGTCATCTATGCAGTTGCCGGAGATTGAAAATCTTTTAAAAAAATCTCAAATTTGCAGAGCAAAAATTGGCCAATCGTAAATGGAATAGTAAAGTCATCGAATTTACGATGGATGGTAAAACTAGAGATCTTTTCGGGAGCCAAAAACAAACTTGTTCTTGTGACTTTTACAACAAGCCCTATTGAATTTCAAAAAACACCGACAAAAATAGAAGAAAAGGAATGTTTTCAGAAACAGAATAGATGTTCTGTCAACTACGTTTTAAACCAAGAATCAACAAAAACAATGACGAAAGTGATCAAATTCCGAGAAGTTCGGTAGTGAAATTGAAAAGGGAAGTGCGCCAAGTGCGACGCTTAGATTTTCTTGAAATTTTGCACATATGTTGGGTATAGATCATATATCAATTGCAGAAAATTTGAGCTTGCTCTTTGCAGCAACAGCCGAGATATTCAACGATCTTTGCGGCCGAGAGCACACGCGAAACGCGAAGAGCAGTCGGAGAAAGGCGTCTTTTGGCCTTATCTTTGCCCGTTTTGAGCGGAAAAATGGATTTTTTTATGGAAAAGTTACCT